CCCACGCGTGAAAAATAGCAACTTGCCTAAGCTACCGAGGTGGGGGGGGCAACTACCTGCATCAGTGGAACTGGACCCCAAGGTCTTCAAGGAGGAAAAGTATAAAGCAAAATAAAACCATACAGACCGACAAGAGACAAACCTGGCCACGTCAGGAAGGTGAAGCCCGAAGGGTCTTCAGATACACGTGTAGAATCTCACTGTGATTTCATACTCACTGTGAATCTCACTCCTGATTCAGACTGAGCGAAAGACAGTCAGTGAAGTCAGATAAAACTTCTGAACAAAAGGCCTGACTGTTCAGTGCTTGCCTGAGTGATGGGCAGATTTATTTCACCAATCAAACGGGCCCATTACACGACTGGGTGAGGTTGTGGCCGATTCTATTTGCACAGTTAGGTCAGCATGCAACATTCAATTAAAGTCCACCAGACAAAATCAAACAAGGAATCAGCCATAACTAGGAAGTAAAGAAACTCTTAGTTCTATTCGCACTTGCATTTACTTGTGCGTGAAAAAGTCTCAAAGCACTTCAAAATAATTACAGTTAAATGTAGTGATCGTGGTCCCATGAGCAGAGGGGAATGGCCAATACAATAGAAAATCTTTTCTCTTTCCAAACTGTGTTACGAGTTCCCTAAAGTCGATCTGAACAGGCACCAGGGCCTTGCTTACTCTGCCCACGCCCTTTGGAACTCATCCCACAGTCTCTTGCCTCCTTCAAAACCCTCCTCTTTGACCTCACCTTTGGTCACCCTCCTAACCCCACCCTCCCTGCCCTCCACCCCTCCTGATCTCAAGCCTCAGCTTGGGTCAAAGCACCTTGGGACGTCTTCCTGACATGAATGGCGCTATACAAAAGGTAATTTATTGTTAATATTCATCCGAAGGACGGCACCTTCAACAATGCATCGCTCCTCCAGCCCTTCACTGGAGGGTACATAGACTGAGCTCACAGTCCCTGACAAGGGAAACTGCAACCTTCTGACTCAGAGGTGAGGATGCTACTAACAGAGCTGGGTTGTCTTGCGAAAATAACTCAATACTTTAAGAAAACACCTCGTCCATTTCTAAGAAAAGGTTTAAGAGCTCTCTGGCAAGTCTTGGTATAAATGGGCACTTAACATTGAATCACCTCAGATCAGTTGACATTTTATCCATTTGTACTAGATTCAAACTAAAGCGCTGTAGGTGAAAGAACAGTGTGCAAACGCATTGCAATTCCAAATCCCAGTATCGTCTAAGGAAGAAATTACAATCTGTTATAAATCTATGAGGAGGAGGAACAGGAGGCTGGAGCCAGCCGAGCAGAGGGTGGTGGAGTCTGGAAGAAGCAGGTTGGAGAGGTAGAAAGGATCTTGAAGTTGATCCATTCTGTGACAGGGAGCCAGCATTGCATAAACTTAATCCCATACCGAGACCATACTTCAGGTATTCTCCTTATGACTTCCCCGCTCACATGAATAGTTCTATAGGTGTTCCTTTATGTTTGATCCTGACAAGTGTTATCACAGGGGAACTATTGCCACCTGATGTTAGTTCACACTATGTAATTTTACAATTAAATCATGGGGGGGGAGGCAATTGTCAGCCTGGCTCAATTGCTTTACACCTCCTCTCTGAGTCAGAAGGTTGTGAATTCAAGCCACACTTTGGGACTTTGACGCTCTAAAGCAATGCTGAGGGAGCGCTGCATTGTTGGAGGTGCAGTCCTTCGGAAGAGACATTAAACCGAGGTTGCATCAGCCTGTTCACGTTGATGCTAAAGTGTCCACGGCGAGATTCGAAAACAGAAGGGAGTTTCTCCTGATGTCCTGGGCAACAATCCTCTGGATAAAATTAGACATTCACTTCATGGCTGTTTGTGGAACACTGCTGTGCACAAATTGGCTGCTGCATTCACATACAAGTGAATGTTTATGTGACTAATTATATTGACTCCCTGTAACTTAAAAGTAAGGTCTTAGCTGGATAAGCAGCAGGAAAGCTTGCCAGACAACGCTTTCAATGTTAAGCTCTCACCAGTTCTGGTCAGGCTCCACTGGCTCCCCATCGCCGAACAGATCGGCTTCAAGATCCTCACACTCGTGTTCAAATCCATTCACTCCCCGGCACCTCTCCGACCTCCTCACTCCCCAATCCACCACCCAGCGCCTCCGCTCGACTGGCACCAACCTCCTGCTCGTTCCTCACACCTTCCACCCCACCATCGGAGGTCGTGCTTTCAGCCACTACGCCCCAAAACTCTGGAACACTCCCTCAATCCCACTGCCTTGCCCCCTTTCTCCCAAGTCCCGCCTGAAAACTTTTCTCTTCAACCGTGCTTATAGCCTCCTTCCCCCTCCCTGGAGTCAGCCTCTGCCACTGTTAAGCGCCCTGAGCCGCCACCCTGTGTGGGGGGTGCTATATAAGTGCAAGTTGTTGTTGTAAACTTTATAGTAAAAAGTGTTTCGAAATGTTTCAACTATGATTATATGGCACCTTTTACCATAAGAACTTTTTCTGATAATGTTTGCACTGCAGTCAGCTCAGCAGGGCAGAGGGAATGAAAATATGAGACAACATTTTGTAGAACAGATGTAGTACATTAAGTACATTCTACAATGAGTAAAGAATATACATTTGCGAGGAAGTAATTAAATCAGAGGTTTAGCTGACACCAAATTGCAAGAGTGAGTTTCAAAAAGATCGAACATCCAGCAAATGAACGCTGATTTTAGAACACAGCCCTTTTTTTTGGTTGGCCAGGTGTGACACATGCGGAAACCATGCTTAAGAGTATCCAAACCAGACAGAGTTCCACATATGCCACCTATACACGGAAGTTCCAGAGGTATTTACTGGAAAGAAATGCGGACTCTCTCCCTGGAGGAATGCATCCTGCTTACCTAATTCTGGAGATTATTAGGCTCAGGTTGGCAAGAACCAAGACTTAAGAGACCATAGGACCGCCTTACACGGTAGCGCTTTGGTTTGCAGGGTTAATGGGAGCTGAGTGGGAAGAGGCCCTAACCCCAATCTATCCTTCCAAGTGCTGACAATGAGCTGGGCTAGCCATGTTGTCATCAGCCAAACACGTCACCTTGGTGTCAGTCAAGCTGCAAAGAGACCCTACTTACCTCCCCCTCAAAAAGGATAGTCACTAACTGGTCAACAGCCGTAAAATTATCAGACGTCCATTACTCCGTATTTTTCATGCTGTTTTAGTTTGCTTCCATCAGTGTTAAATTCCTCCACAGCAGCACCGCCAACCACTCTGCATATCGGCACTTGCATTGTGGACGCAGCTGCAGTGTAGTAGATTGGCAAGGTCAGAGTTTGAACTTACCATGAAGCTGTTTTGATTGTGTACAAGTATAGAAGGAGTTTGTGAGCTAGTCTGAAGGAGTGAGCCTCCTAAGCGCACAATAATATTACCAGAGAGAAGAGCAGCAACAATGGCAAACAGAGACTTTAAAGGTAGGGTGGCCATACATCCCCGGATGAGATATTGTGTCCCTGTCCTGTCTTGAGTTTAGCAACAAACGTATAACAACAACTTGCATTTATATAGCACCCTTCCCGCAGTGTTTCGGAGCCCTTGACATTGCCGGAGCCCGAAGCGAGCCAGGGGTGGGGGAGAGAAGAGGTGACCGTAAGCACGGTCAAAGAGGAAGGTCTTCAGTGGTGATGTAAAAGAGGGGGAAGTAGGGGGGCAAGATGGAAGGATTGAACACATTAACCGGGAACACAAAAAAAATCTGAAACGGATACACGTATCAGAGACAGAAATACAGCCATTAATCCAACAAGCTTCTCCAGTATTGTGACAAGTTCCAATTTTTTTCAAAATATACGTGCGGCCCCAGATTTGGTTTACAAAATATGGGGACCCCAAAGTGTGCGTCGGGGGGTAACTGCTGGAGTCTATCCAGCTTAAAAAAAAAGAAACACACAGCTTGACATTGAAAGCTTTCCTGCTGCTGAGTGGAGTCCAGGTGGGGTCCTGTAGCTCAGGGGTTAGAGTAAGTTTCCTTACTTCCACACAGAGCCTTATAATAATCCCTCCAAAAACAATAATAAATTGGTCATTTTCAATCCACGACTGTTTGTGGGACATTGCTGTGCGCAATTGGCTGCCGCGTTCGCCCACAAATATACAGTCAATTCACTTTACAGTGTGTTCTGTGAAGCGCTTCGGGACGTCCTCCCGACGTGAAAAGCGCGATATCAAATGCAAGGATTATTATTATTATTATCCTGCTTAATTTTAAGTCACAGGAGCGAGTATAATAATCAGCATTATTATTTCACATCACATTAATATAACAACAACAACACTATACTATATAATAATGCCGCACGCACTCACTCCCTGACCAAATTTGCTGTGTCTGGAGTTCAGGCACAAACTGAGCCATTACAATAAAATAGTAAAACACACAACTGTGCACTCACCAGAGACAGAAACACACTGTACATCCAATATATATATATACACACAATAATGTATAAATATACACAAATATATAAATAAGAATGTCCTGAAAGTGTGGGGGGGAGGGGGTGTAGGGGGAGGGAGGGGGTGTGGGGGGGGGGGGGGGGGGGGTGTGTGTGGGGGGGGGGGGGGTGTCTGTGGGGGGGTGTCTGTGGGGGGGAGGGGGGGGGGGGGGGGGGTGTCTGTGGGGGGGAGGGGGGTGTCTGTGGGGGGAGGGGGGGTGTCTGTGGGGGGAGGGGGGGTGTCTGTGGGGGGAGGGGGTGTCTGTGGGGGGGGGGGGGGGGGTGTCTGTGGGGGGAGGGGGGTGTGGGGTGGGAGGGGGTGTCTGTGGGGGGAGGGGGGGTGTCTGTGGGGGGGGGAGGGGGGGTGTGGGGGGGGGGTGTCTGTGGGGGGGAGGGTGGGGGGGGGAGGGTGAGACAGTAGAACGAGATGCTCTCAATGACCCTGAGAGCGAACGAAAAAAGTGCCCTCAGTGAAGGGGAGACTGGAGGCCTCGGCCGTCCCTCCCCGACCCACTCCTCACCGTGCGGTCCCGGCTTTCTCTCGCCCTCAAGGACTACCGCTTTGCCCAACCGTCCAGAAGCAGCTGCTGGTTCCACGTCCTCCAGACCTCCCTGCCCCCCGCCCCCCTCCCGCCGCTCTGAGGGGCAGGGTTTGGCCGGCGCTTCCGAATACGTTCGTAGCCCAAATCACAAAAAAAACCCGCGCAGCCTTCCCGCCTACATCTCCCGGCAGCCCCCGCGCAGCACGTGCCGCTCCCGGGCGGGGCACCGCGCTCGCTGACGTCAGCGGGAGGCGAAAGGCCACGCGCCGCCGGCCGAAAGGGGGCGGGGCCACCTGCTGGTTGGTTGGTTGGTTGGTTGGTTGGGGGGGTGTGCGTGTGAGTGTGTGAGGGGGCGGGGTTTGGGGCGTCACGTGGTCTTTCGGTTTCATTCACACAAAATGATGGTGGCCCGTGGCTGATGGTAATGGTCGTAGTAACAATCCTGGCATTTGATACAGCGCTTTTCACGTCTTCTCGACGTCTCAAAGCGCTTCGCAGAATAGGCTGTCAAGCGATTTGACTGTACATTTGTGGGCGAAACGCGGCAGCCGATCGCGCGCGGCACCGAGCGTTCCCCACAAACAGCCGGGTCATTCAAAATGACCCATTTATTATGGTTTTGTTTTTTTGGAGGGACTATTCCTCGTCGGGAGGGCGTCCATCCCAAAGCGCTTCACAAGTTTCCTGGGTGCAAGTGCGATGGCTGCGTGTGCTTTACTGCGTGGCGGCCAATTTGCGCACAGCAATGGCCCGCCAACAGCCAGGGAGCGAGTGACCAATTTTATTTTGGGGGAATGTCAGGCCAGGACACCGGGAGAAACTCCCTTCTCTTTTCAGATCGTGCCGCGGGATCTTTAAAGTCGACAGGAACAGGCAACCAGGGCCTTAGTTTGTCTAATCCAAAGGACAGTATCTCTGGCCACCTGGCACTCCTCCCAAGCACATTGAGCCTAGATCTGTCACAAAACAACCTACAGCTGCTTAAAGGTATCACCTTGACTTGCCTCTGGAATACAATCTCATAGTATAGTCGAGGGATACTGCGTTGTGCGGTGCTGGAGTTGTTCTTTCAGTGAGACTGAAACTAAGGTTGGAGTGAGTGCTATTGATCTTATCTTCGAAAGCCTTCTTGAAACCTACATCTTCATCTGTACCTTTGATTCCCATCTGTTGAATATTCATTGTATTTGCCAAGAGTTTCGTGACCTTCTGTTATGTGAAAGACACTATATAATGCAAGCTGTTAGTTAATCTGACTGTCCTTTTAGACAAGAGAGTTGAATTTAAGGTAAGTTAGCACTGAGAAGCGTAACACAGATGTAAAACTTTAGCTGCATTGACAAATGAAGTTAAGACACAAGGCAAAAGGAGCTGCAGTGCTCTGAGAATTTTGTTTTCAGTAACTTGTCCTCAGCAATACATCGCGAGTTCCCTTAAACAACTTTGAAGATCACCAATGACCTCCATTGCAGCTTTCCTTTCCTCCCTTTTCCACTCTTGTCTTCCATTTGCACTTTTTGCATTTTGCCTCCAATTCTCTGTCTCCTTTTCCTGTTCTCTTTTGATGTTTCCCTATTTCCTTTCTCCCTTTTCCCTGTCCTCTATTCTTTGCCAGAAACTGTATTTAATTGCATTAAAAGTGGCCAATTTAGATGAGCTGAATGCTTTTGAAACTGTGCAAGAAAGAGTCCTTAAGGGGGGCTGAAAAAACACATATTGCAGGAGAAAGCCATTTTTCCCCCCACATACATACACACACACGCGCGCTATAACAAACCAAAGAAAAACCGCCCGATTGGGCGTGAACCCGCCCAGTCTGCCCGCGCTGCCGTAAAGTTGACAGCAGTTTGCGACAGCGGGCGCGCCGGCTGTTGTGTTCGGTTGACGGCAGCAGGTGACCCGTCAGCTGAGTTCACCGGGAGCGCGCGGGCGGCGGCGGCGGCGGCCGAGGCTCCCAGTCCGTTAACATCAGAGCGGCCGCCATGTCACTCTTCGGGGGAGACGATGACGACGGCGATTTCCTGTCCCCGAGCGGAGGGTGAGTGACACAGACCGACCGGGGCGGGAGGGGAGGGGCAAACGGATCGGTTTCCGGGCTCGTGCAGTCCCGGATTTGGGAGTCGGGCCTCGGCCTGACAGCTCTCTCCCCCCCCCCCCCACTCCTCCTCCCCCTCCCACCCCCACTCCTCCCCACTCCCCCCACCCCCACTAACCCCCCCCCACCCCTCCCCCCCCACCCCAACCACCCACCCCTCCCCATCCCTACTCCCACCCCTCCCCCCCACCCCTCCCCCCCACCCCTCCACCCACCCCACCCCTCTCCCCCCCCGCCCCCCCACTCCCACCCCTCTCCCCCCCGCCCCCCCACTCCCACCCCTCCCCTCCCCAGGGACGCCCCTTCACCCAGTTTCACAGTGTAAGCTGCCCTGGACCGCACTGGCAGGACCGCCCACACATCCAAATCATGTTTTTGTTTGGGTTGTTGAGAGCCAAACTGAAATAAAATTACTGCCCGAAAGGGAGGTGGAAGCGGATTCCACAGTAGCTTCCCCCCCCCCCCCCCAAAAAAAAAGGGGATTGGATATGTACTTGGAAAAGGCTGCGGGACAAGAGCGGGGGAGTGGGACTAGACGGGCAGCTCTTTCGAAGAGCCGGCACAGGCACGATGGGCTGAAGGGTCTCCTTCTGTGCTGTAAGATTTTGTGATTCCTTCCCTCCCTCCCTCCCTCCCTACCCCCAACGCACACTTTGTGATGCTCTGATTCCGAATTCCCTCGGCACGAGCCGGACAAGCAGCGGGAGGGGAGGCTTACCAGTCAGTACTGGTCGGTTCCGGTCGATTCTCGCAGTGGCGGGTTGCGTTTGGTTTCAGCTTGTTGAGCTTCAGCAGTTCAGACCAACGCACGTTTCTGAGGTTCCTCAAGCCTGGGCTCTTGCCAGCCTTGATACTTTCAACAACAACAACAACAACTTGCATTTATGTAGTGCTCTTCACCCGGGGTAGCATCCGGGAGAGCTTGACACTGGCGGAGTCTGAGCCAGAGGGAGAGGGTGGGAGTGGGGAGGTCAGCATAGCACGATCAAAAAGGAAGGTCTTCTGCGGCCTCTGGGCAAAGAGTGCACATTCTATTGCAGTCAATTCACTTTACAGTGTGTTCTGTGAAGCGCTTTGGGACGTCCTCCTGACATGAAAAGTGGTATAACAAATGCAAGGATTATTATTATTATAAGTGAAAATTGCTGTACATATGTAGAACGCTCGGTAGTTTGGTTAGGAGGCTCTTTACCATGATGGGTTCCTGCGAGTTGAACACCCGGCTACTCAAAAACAGAAACCCTTCTGATCTTGTTTTAAAATTGCGCAATTTCCTTTGGGTGGCTGTCACAACCCAGAATAGGTCAGTACTTCATGTTTTTCGGATTTTAAAAAAAAATCATAAATCTCGGTGGTTTATGGTGCTGATTCAATCGTAACTAGGATTAAAAACAGGAAGCAGCTGCCGTGAGGGAGTCTTGTGTGGAGTGAACCTCTGGAACATCAAAGTGGTTGACACTTCATGTACTGTCCCCAGTAAGTCAATCCACCACGATGAAGGCAGATGTCCATCAAATAGCTGATGTGGAACTTCTGAAGTTTGAGATGACAGAGGGTGTTACCCGGAGTCCGGGTTTCTGAATACACTCGTATATCAAGCTGCTTATCACTCTGCACACCAATCAAGGTGGATACCAAGCCCTGGATATTTTCTTGTTTCTGAAGCTGGATTGTGGAGGGTTTAATCTATACACTTCCCAATTCAGGCTTTATTTTCTGCTTTTCCAGAGAGACTTCCGACATAGATAGTTCTCTTTTTAATTCCCACATCCTCTTGATACTGCTTTTGTCCCACTGTTTACTGCAGATAGAAATCTGCATAGTTTTTCTTTAATTTAACTCATAATTAGAGTGGACTTTTCAACTTACGAATGCAGATGCAGCTGAGACCTAAGAAGGGAGCTGTGCGGGACATCTAAGCAGGGGCTTTTATTCGAATATTTCTAGGTTGATATGTTCATGAGTCCACAAAGACCTTTCTTTACATGCGGGCTTTAAAACATTAGGAAAGTTTGAGCAAGCACTTCCTTGTTTCTCCCGCCAGCCCCTCACTGAATCATTTTTCTCTTGGTGGCACAGACATGATGGGTCGTTCTGTGCAGAAAGTTGCTATTCCACCTTTCAATATTTCCTTAATCCATACACCTTTGTTTACCTAATAGTTGTTAGTCGATTGGCAGATTGCTTTCCATGGATAATAATCCTCGCCCCCAAAAAATGTTGTCCCTCGATTCATGACTGTTTGTGGGACACTGCTGTGCAACATTGGCTGTCATGTTTCATCTACAAAATACACAGCCAATCCACTTTACAGTATATTCTGTAAAGCACTTTGAGATATCTCAACAACTTGACAAGGCTCTTTCTCAAATGTAAGTATTATTATTTATGTTGGGAATCTTCTGGCCTTCACTCGTGCCTCTACACAACAGCACAGCAAAGCTGGAAGTTGGCTGTGGAATTGGTGCTTTATTCCACAGCCAGCCACATACGTCTCACCTTCTATTCCTACCTCCCTGCCCCAGTCGCACATCTCCAGCTTGAGAGTTGTTCACCTATTGGCTGATAACTGTAAATTGTAAATTTTACAAAAATAATAGTTTTGAAAACCACAGGAAATTCCAATTGGGCTTTCACAGGTCACATTTTCTTCCTGGATGCTGCACACATTGCAATATTTGTTGCTTTTATTCCAGCACATTGACTGTTCTCTGCTTTGCTGCTTTTTTCTGTTCCATTTAATTTGCAGTTTTACTCACTGATCACTGCAGTTGGAAGAGGAAGATTAGTTAAAGACCCTTGCTGATCACACCAGTGTTTATTCTCCTAAAGAAGCCATTGCTTGTCTTTCCTGCTGGCAATCCTGTCGCTTCTGTGGTAAACCTTCCTTTGGTGCTTGGCTGAACTTCTCTTTGTGACTCGTCAAAGGGGAGCGTCTCGGTGATTTCAAAGGTGTCTGAAGGGTGTCCATTCCCTACTCTTAATAATTCTTGCATTTGATATAGCTCCTTCTCAATGCTGATATACTGTAAAATGGATTGACTGTATCTTGTGGGTGAAAAATGGCAGCCACAAAGCAATGGCCCACACGCAGCTATGAAGTGAGTGACCAATTTTATTTTTGATGGATTTGTTGGCCGAGACACCAGGAGAAACGCTTCTCTTTTCATATTGCACCATGGAAACTTTAGCATCAACTTGAACAGGCTGAGGCAACCTCGGTTTAATGTCTCTTCCGAAGGGCTTGAAGCCACAACCTCATGACTCAGGGGCGAGAGTGCTACAACTGCGTCAGGCTGACGCACAGCACCCAGCACTCAGACCCCACTGGCTCGGAATCACTTGACTGTAGCTGGTGTGCTTGTGTTTTGTGTGGGTGGGCTTGGAGTTACCTGACCTGCGCAGGCAGTATTTTGTGCTAAAGGGTGTTTACAAACTCATTTTCACCTCCGGGTTCAAGTCCTACACCGGTACTTTGACCTCTCAATCTAGGCTGACATCCACTGCTGGAGAGCTGAGATTTTGGTGATGCCGTCCTTCAGATGAGGTGTTAAACCAGAATGCTATTCAGCCTGCACTTTATTAGGTGCTCAGGCATATAAGTCATCTCGTGGCACATATGTAAAACATTTTGTTTTGCTCTTTTATATGAAAAAAAGCACAATGTGAAAAGCTCAGGTTTTAGAAAACTGTTGTGTTGAGAGGGATTGAAGCATTTGCAGTGGCTGAAATATCAGCTAAAGCTGGGAAGATTCAAGGAATCTTGGAATGTGGCGTGTTTCTCATAATGCAGAAGTTTTTGAAGCTATTCCTGTTAAAATTCCTGTTGTGATGTGTGCGGCCTAAGTCAAAGAGCCCTGTGTGTTGAACTCAGAGGGGCCTAAAAGGCATGACATTGAGTGCAATGTGGTTCCCTCCTCCTCTTTCCCTGACTCACTCCCCCTCCACATCATTCCAATTAAGATGTGTCCTATGCTTTCAATTAGTACACACAGCTGTAAGGGAGCCAGGCAACTTGGTTGAGCCTGGCTGATGGCTATGACTTGTTTACTCCTCTCCGAGAGACTGCTCACCCTGTCACATTCAACACCGGTGTGTGGTATGTGACACACTGATCCGTTGACTGTACGGGCACATCCCTTGCGATCAGTCAGAGATGCAGGGACGCGGGTGCAGTGAGTACATGTGGAACGAAGCCCAAGGGTCAGTGTCGCTTATGGATTGAATGTATGTTTTACAGTGAATCGATTCAAGACACGGAGGGTGAGGCTAAATTGTAGCCCCTCCCTTTCTCCACTGGCTTTGATTAATATAGATCTGGGAGTTGAACCTAGAATTCTGATCACCATACAGTGCACTAACTCTGATTCCTTAGTGGTTCAGTATGTTTTACAAGGACCATGTGGGTCGTTGGCATGTGGGGTAATGCCCTTGTGTTTCATACTTGTCCTTTTGGCCCCCCCCCCCCTCTCTTTTCTGACTTTTTTCATTTATCTCTCGTCAGCCAACCTATAAATTGCCCTCCACACTTTTAATAGTATCTCTTGAGATTGATATCAGTAGAGTGAATACAGGTCCTTTGGATCAGATGTTAAACCGAGGTGCAATCTGTTGGACTTTGGAAGGAAGTTTCTCCCAGTGTTTTTTTTAATTCTCTTTTGTGAAATTTCTTTCAAACTCTTTGTGTCTGTTACAGTGCCAGAGTTACACTAGAGGATAACTAGTTTGGGATTTGTTCACTTGCTATTCGAGTCTTCTCTTCGAAACGCATTGCCAAGTGCTCTGTATGGCGCAGCGTTTGCTTTTTGTGTGTGTGTGTATGTGTGTAGTGAGCCCGGTTTGCTGGTCAGTGTAAGGGGCAGCTGCCCCCACTCCCCCAAGTGTGGTGGTGGTGTGTGTGACCAGAACCTTTCTGTGCTTTCTTTTAGCTTGTTAGTCACTTTTAAACTATGTGAAGCGCTTTGAGACGTCTCGAAGACATCATAAGGCGCTATATCAAGTGCAAGGATTATTATTATTTAGCCTCAACCTCCGTGGCTTGATTCGATTCACAATATCAAAATGCTAGGATTATTATTCTAGCAACCGCGAGGTGAAACCCTGAACGTCTGCTGCATGTCTATACCCTATAATGCGATCTAATAGACACAAAACCTCATACGGTCAATAAACTCTTTGCATATAATGAGTTCAGCCTATTGATGTCAAGCAGACCCAAACACCCCTGAAACGGGGTTCCTTCAGGAGAAAGGGAGAATGACAGTGATTTAAAGAAAGTAAATAAATAGCACTGGGTTTATTACAGGGAGCGACAAGCTCTCCCATTACTTACTGCACCTAAACCTTTTCCTTTATTTCAGTAAACCATTAGCTAATTTTCCTTCTCTTCCCCTCCTCTCCGCAGTGCCAAACTGGCCTCTCTCTTCGGCCTAGATCAGGCCGTCGCAGGACAAGGTAATGAGTCATTCCAATACACGGCCCCCAAGCAGCCAAAGAAAGGCCCACCATCTACAGGTAAATCCATGGGTTTTGGAGAAAGAGGGGATGTTACCTGAGGAGTGGATGGCATTTTATTTCTGCAACAAAAAGGTGGGAAATTCAGAGCATCCAAAGTACAGTCTGGTGAAGGATATAACAACGATGGAAAGAGTTTTTTTTGTGTGACGGGTTGAATGCTGGCAGACTGGCGTGGTGGAACAAGTCACTTAATGCCCTTCGCTGATCCATGCCCTTCTTTAACTGGGGGATTGTGGATTGTCCTTGTGCCTCCAGTCCCACCATGCCACAGATGTGTTGGCATTACTCTAGGCTGCCAACGATTTGTTTGAAGGGGGGAGAAACCCTGGTTTTAACAAGGTTTGGTTTGCATCTTTGCAGCGTCTGGGATACATTATAGTGAGTTGTCACTATTGGGTGACTGATTTGAAATTCTCGTAAATCTCCGGTGTTTTTTGTTTGCAGTGGCTTCCCTCTGTGTTCTGACTGCTGAGCTCTCGTCCTCTCTTGTTCCACAGGACCAAGTTCTCAGAAGCCGGCGGCTGCTGGGGCTCCAACAGTTCTCATGGCGACTGCAGTGCTCGCATATCGATAGTAAGTGTCGTGAGGAGGGGCCTGGGTAAGGGTTAGGGGAATGGGCAGGCTAAAGGGTGGCCTTGGCTAAAGGGTGGCCTTGGCTAAAGGGTGGCCTTGGATAGGAGTCTTCTTGGGTAAGGGTCGAGGCAGAGGGCCTGGATGAGGGTCATGAGGATTGGGTGGGGACAGGACTGAGATGGGGAATGAGGTGCTGGAAGCTAGTGTTCTATTCCAGCACACGACCTCCAGAACAAGATCACATTTTTTTTTGCACTATCAGCAGTCTGCTCCTACAGACTGAAGACCACCACTTTTAATTGTGAAAATTCTTGAAAGCACATTCATTCTACAGCAGAGCTAAGGTGACCAGAGCGCTCCTGCTCAGATCCAAGAGTAGAAAGCCACCTTGAACCATTCAGCTACCCATGAATGGTTAAATTTCCAGCCGCTGGTTGAGATCTCTGGACAATGTTTGCTGTGACCAATGCACTGCAAAGTCCCAGCTCTATCACCGACTCTGCTTTTGTGTTGCAGTGTGAATGGTCAGTATGTGAAACAAGGGAAGCTGGGAGCTGCTGTACTGGGAAATCAGGCTTCTGGAGAGGTGGGTGTAACTGGGGAGTGGGGGAGATGGGGGTGTTGCAGTAATCCAGTATAATTGAATCTTGCGTGTGTGTTCCTTGTCAGCTGACTGTTCTGTTTCTTCTTTCTTCCCCTCACCTCCAGTACAAGATTCTGCTGTATGTAAGCCAGCAGAAACAGGTCACTAATGCACGCATCTCTCCGGCATTTGCCTTCACCGTAAGTTACCGTGTCTACCGTTTCTGCTGAAGAAAGGTATCTTGGGATGTGGGATTGTGAAATCCAGATCCATGCGTATTGAAGGATGAATCTGTTTGCTTATGGTTGATGGGAACCCTCTTTATCTATTAAACTGTTACAATGAGTCTTTAAGATCTTTTTAGTTCGTTCAGTAGAGGGCCTGTTATCTGCATTATTTAGGAGTCGCTCCATTGTGCCCAGCAATTTGCTGTGAAATGCAGTAACTGTATTTTGTAGGTGAATACTGCAGCCAATTTATGAGATTGTTTTGAAGACCAGACAAAGTGCGATATCAAACAGAAGGATTATAACTCTGAAAAAGGCCTACTTTTCCCTTGACCCCTCATCACTCAAACTTGCGGGTTGAATACTAGTTCGGTTTACTGGTGGAGCTGTGCTGTGATATATTTAACCAACAACAAATTAAACCAGCCATGTTCCCTCCTATTTAGGTTCAAGCCAATAATTACTGTATGTTTTACGATGACCAGCGACAGAACTGGTCGGTCATGTTTGAGTCTGAGAAGGCAGCAGTGGAGTTTAGCAAGCAGGTAAAGTCCAGTCTTTTGTTTTTGACGAGGGGTGTGAAGGGGAGGAGTGTGTGTGTGTGTGTACGTGTGAGGGAGAATGTCCCACACTTAGTATTGCAGTTGGGGACAGGGTAAGCCAGGGACAAGTCACTCTGTGTTCATATAAGACTTGAACGTATGGTCGGGCCTTTACTGAGCCATAAGACCGCGATCACACTTTTGTTCAAATGAAATCTGCTTTGTACTGGTGTCCTTTGGATCTGATGGAATGCCTCAGTGCTGTTGATGAATCTACTGTGGCTTCCATCAAACTTTGGGACCGTCCGCAGCACCGACAGTTGGTTTAATTGATCCCATAATTGATCCCATAATAAAGTTCTTGCTGACGGGCTAACTGTTTTTGTTGTGTCACCTGCTCCAAATGCCCTGCTCTGATTGCACTCCTGTTCACCTGTCCAGGTCTGTTTGGCAAAATGCAACAGTATCTCCTCCCTGGAATCAGTGCTGACTCAGGATTTGGCCCCGGGAGACGGGCAGGCAGTTGAAGTGGGCGACTCGCTGGAAGTGGCGTACACGGGCTGGCTGTACCAGAACCACGCATTTGGACAGGTAGAACGGGGACAGCGACGTTCACGTGGCATTGGGTTCCGCTCGGAATCAAACGCAGTTCCTGAGTTGGGGAGGTTTGGGGTGGCAGTGGGAAAGTGGAAATGTACTATCCTCAGGGCAGGCGTTTTGATACTCGCACCCACCAAACCAGTATTGAGTATCTGAAGCTTGCGTAGAAACTCTTTAGTGCAGTGGTGAGCGCTGCCTTGGATGAGATATTAAACCTTTTTTTCCTGTATTCCAGATGTTTGACACAAACGTCAACAAAGATAAACTGCTGCGGCTGAAAATGGGATCCGGGAAAGTGCTGAAGGTGGAGTAGTTTGCCAATCAATAGAAATAATTTCTACCTTATATACCGTATTAAAACCGCTCATAACTTTGACCACACGTCACATGAGAGGTTTTAATAAGGTAAATAGGTAGAAACCTTTAATTCTCTCATCCTTTAAGCTTCCTTCAGTATAAGTTTATATTAAGTGCCTTGGTGGGAAAGAGAAGCACGCAAGCATGTGCGCTCTCTCTCTTACGACTCAAAAGTGTTTCACTCTGCTGTTGCTTGTGGTTGCAGGGCTGGGAGGACGGGATGCTGGGAATGAAGAAAGGCAGCAAGAGGTTGCTGATTATTCCACCGAGCTTAGGATACGGATCACAGGGAGTACCAAACCGGATCCCTTCTGAGGCCACGCTACTGTTCGAGATTGAGGTGAAAAGGGTGAGTGTCTCCCAGAGGGAGGGTTCAGCACACAAACACTGGGACTGTGGGCTGTCATGCTAAGGTAGGGAATACAGTACTTTAAGGGGAAAGACTACAGCCTTCTCAGGGCAACTAGGAATGGGAGTTAAATGCTGCCAAAATGCCTAAGACATAATTTTTTTTAAAAAAGTGAGTAGTGATTACGCCTTTAATGGGGTGACTTGACTACTAGGGCCAGACTATCTTGTGGGAGAAAAGGATAGATGGCTTGGGGGAGGTGGGGGCAAGTACTCGTAACTTTTGATCCTTTGACTTTGGCACTTCCTTACATTGCGAAGCAGAATTCACCCAAGTGTTGGATGCTTTGTGAGACTGGGTTAGTTTTACTCAACTGATGATGTGGGCTTGGAGTATACTCAAGTACAAGAGGAAACTCCTGGCCTAAACATCTCATGGAAGTGAGTGGGGGATGGAGAAATGCTTAACGTTTATAGTGATGAGAGAACTGATGGGGGGGTGGGCATTTGGATGGCCAGAGAAAGTTTGTAGGATAGGAGAGATTCGGAAGGGATGAACGTATTGGAATGAAAACTACCATCCTTCACACCCTCCCTCTTTCAATAAATAAGATAGGTTGAGCTGTACAAGTGCACAGTGCAAGTTGAGACCAGCACAGGGTTGAGGGGGAAGGTGTGATTGGGAGGGGGGGCTGGGGAGAGAAGGAGTACGAATTGGTGAATTTGATTTTCATTCACTGTGTTTAGGTAAAGTTTGCAAAGGATTCAGGCTTCGACAGGCAGAGCATCAGCTCCCGGGATTCAGTGGCCTCTTCTCCAGCCCCCAGTATAGAGAACCTAGCCGTGGAGACCACCATCCCAGCTCCGCTATCCGTGCCTCCCAAACCTGGGTAAGGAACATGTGACCAACAGGGTTAAGGGCCAAGGGTGGGCTTGAACTCATTTCGTGCTGCAAATTCTCATTGTAAACTTGTGATTGATCTTACTTATGGTATAGAAAGAGCTGACTGTAGAGTCCAATATCGTAGTGGTTAGAGCACTTGCCTTGCAAGCGAAAGGACCCGGGTTTGATTCCCGGGCTGGGCAAAACCTTAGGCATGTTTCCTTACACAACACTCCTCTGTTTACCTAGCAGTAAGTAGGAACCCGGTTGTTAGTCGATTGGCAGATCGCTTTCTGGGGGTAATAAGCCCTCAAAAAAAGTTGTGATCACTCAACCCCACAACTGTTTGTTGGACGCTGCTGCACACAATTAGCTCTCAGGTTTCGCCTACAAAACGCACCATCATTCCACTTTACAATATATTCTGTGAAGCGCATTCAGAGTCTCAACGACGTGATAAGGTGCTACATCAAATGCAAGGATTATAATATGCGCTGGAATACACTGAACAGTTTAGCCTGGCCTGACAGAATATCTCTGATCAAACTGCTTTAGCTCTTCAGAGGAACAGGTTCAGTGTGTGAAGCATAGTTTTAAGACTGCCATTGATTGATTGCATTAGAGCGTTAGCCTAGCTTGACCGAGGTCATACCCTAACACGTGGCTTGAACGTTACCTGACCCAGAGAGAAGAGTGTACGAACAGAACCAAGCTGATGCACTTTGTGGCATCGCATTGAACTGAGATGTCCCTGTTCCAAGAACAGTTTACGTAGGATGTTACTCCTTCAACCTATGAGCTAACTGGAGTTCCTGTTCTACTTCTCGCTTGGCTGCAGACCTTCGAGCTTGCCAGCTCGAATCAACATGATTGGCTTTGTGGAGGGAGCCTGTTATTGCATCCAGAAAATGAGGTCCATTCCACTGGGCTCTGGGATGAAAGTAATGCATTGTCTTTCTGAAACAGGAAGTGAATGAGAGTCTCATGTGGTGTTTTTCCTAGATTCATGTGATCGGAATTGTGTATGGGTCTGAGTCAGGACGAGGAGAGCTGCACCAGGAGGAAACTAGGATATTAATCAATTGTTAGTCGATCGTTCGTTTTTAATTTTTGATTGATTGTTTGTTGGTTGTTAGTCGATCGGCAGATCACTTTCCGGCTGTAATAATCCCCCGTTCCCCCAAAATGTGGTCGCTCACTCCATGATTGTTTGTTGGACACTGCTGTGCACAATTGGTTGCTGCATTTCGCCCACAAAAAAACAATCCACTGTACCTGAAGCTCTTTGAGACGTCTCAACGACGTGATAAATGTCAAATGCAAGGATTATTATGTGCGGTGGAGTGTGCTGAGTGTGTGGTACCTAGGTAGTTTGGGGGAAGACTGTTAGTTGCTGAGAACGATTAAGGTTAGGGTTAGGATTGATTGTTGCTCCCATAATACTTGCTTGGCTCCATCCAACCACTCCGTGTTTTTCAGGGAGCATGTGGTGAGAGCCAAGTCCCACTCGCTGAACGAACAGCTGGCGGTAAGTTGTGTATATGTGTTCCACCTATTGCTATCGCACTTCTATCCCCTTTTCATCTCCTTCACTTTCTCTGAGCAGCCAGCATTCCTCTATTCTAAAGCCAGGCTGCCGCCCAGACTCAGCCTCTGCTGCCGTTGACCCGCACAGTAGGTGTCGCTGGAGAGAGGGTGGGAAGGGAGCTGGTGCTTTGTTTTACAGCTTTGCTTTACTGTGAAGAGAGATGCTGTCCTTGGGACACGGCGGAGAACAGGACAATATATTGAGTCTCTCGCTGGTGTCAGCTGTTACTAAGGCAGTCTCTCCTCTTGTTTGTAGAATCCCGATTCCACTAAAGCCAAGCTGATCTCTCGGATGGCAAAGATGGGACAGCCGATGCCGTTTCTAACGGGAGCCCTGTCCACACAGCCAGATTCCAGCGACTCTGAGCTCGAGGTAAAAAATTACATGTCATTCTATTTAATCTTTCTATTCTTATAATAATAATAATCCTTGCATTTGATATAGTGCATTATCACATCTTCGAGACGTCTCAAAGCGCTTCACGGAATATACTGTAAAGTGAACTGACTGTATACTTTGCGGGCAAAACATTTTAAGTTTTAACTGCTATGAACTCCCGGGATTCCCCGGAATTATCACAGTATCAACGTGGAATCCCCTTGGTGTGTCGTAACGTTCTGTACCATTACCTCAGGATCCTTTGGCATCGCGAGGAGGAGGAGCGCCGCTCGCTGCCCCATCTCCCGCTCAGCACGCTCCCCAGCCCGTACAGAGTCTGCCTCCACAGCAGCCACCACAAGGTAAGACGTGATCAGCTTTCCTGTGCCTCAGTGTATCAGCTCAGGTCCCCTCAGCACTGGCCATCCCAGTAGTCATTACGTTTCTTTGAACCCAGACCAGTTGTAGTTGGGGGTGGGGGGGTCACTAAGTGTCTCGACACTTACGCTGTCAAGAAAGTGTTAGTGATCAGTAGTTGTAAACCTACTTTGTACACATCAGATGGGTTTGTCTGATCCTTAACTTGCTCATGATGACAATAGTGGTTGCCTAACCATGTTCACTGTCTGTTGCATTGCTGCTGTGTATCGGATTAGCACTTGCACATCTGTGTGTGCTGCTCTCAAGCTTTTCAGCAGGGATTGTACCTCTTAGCTATGATTTTTTTATACCCCCCCCATAAATGTTTTTTCTGCTTCTAATTTTGTCTGTTTGAATGAACAGTGCCCATTGCTGTCCACCCATTATCCTCCGCAGCACTGATTCCAGTCTCGGCTTCTTCACAACATGCACTGGCCAGCACTGGTCAGTCCTTCCAGGTAAGAGTGACGATTGGGTGGGGGCAAGTTATACTGTAATGAAAGGCTGTTGAGTTTGGAAATGTGTTCTTTGGAGAGGAGAGAGTGGGTGGGGGGGGGTGGCGAGAGAGTGTGGGGGGAGGGGGGTCGAGAGGGAGATGGAGTGGCGGGGAGATGGGGTGGGAGGCTAGAGAGGAGGGAGAGTGGCGGCAATGCTCATTGCAGCTTATTGTGCCCATCTTCATAATCCCAACAATTCCATCAACCCACCCCTTTAATCTCCTTGGATCCAGAGAATATGAGCAACTCTTATCACCTGGGAGAGAAGATGTCATGACCAGAAAATTAGGGTAAAACGGATAAGGACCGGGATGCAGAAGAATCTCTTCTCACAGAGAGTGAGAGGAATGTGGAACAGTGGAGTTGAGAATTAATTTTAACAGTAATTTCTTCTCTAAATTAGCCATACGCAGCCTATGGATACCCACAAGCTTCTGCTATTCAGACTGTGGGGCACATGTACCCAGCCCAGGCTCCCCAATATCAAGGTACGATTATAATGTATAATCCAGGTTTTTTTTAAAAAAAGTGACATTGGCTTAAAGGAGAATTTAAAGACCGAATGGTGATTTGCCATGATAAAATGCTCAAGAGTGAATTACGGGTAATGTCTCCTTAAGAGTCACTTCCTAAGTCGAGCACAGCCTTTTGTGACACCACTTTCACCACTTTGGAGAAATGGTTGCCACGTTTCAGGTCCTGTGGAGTGGGCTGTGGAGACCAGTAAGAAGAATTAACATTCAGCGTATGTATCTTTCTTTGCGTTGACTGCCTGTTACATTGCTGCTGTCAGATTGGCTGTAGGTGTGTTCCGTGTCCGCTCTCAATACCCTGATGCTTGCTGGCTTGTCCACGTGACCTGATTTTCTCTGTTTTCTGCACAGCTTCCAGTGATATCACTTCCTTTCTGATGACTGAAGCTCGGCAACACAATACCGAGATCCGTTTGGCTATCGGCAAAACGTCAGACAAAATCGATCAGCTCGCTGTTAAGGTAAGTGAGGCTGGAGTCGATGGCAAATAATGAAAAGCCTAAATTCCGGAGTAAATGGAAAAGCTGGTTAAGTGGGCAGAAAGGTGGCAGATGCAGTCTATTGCAGAGACATATAATGTGATTCAGCATCTGAAACTGTTGCGGGTAGTTAACAGAAATGTGCAGATCACAAATGAATGGTACAAAAAAAAAGCAATACACGTGACTAATTGCTGCAAAGCACTCTGAGGCGTTCAGAGTTAACAGAGGTATAAAAATGCCTGATAGCTAAAAGAGTAAAAAAAATTGAGAGGTTTTAAAATTTGTATCTGACTTTTTATAAGACTAAAGGTGATCCGTGTGCAGATGCACGAACCAAGGATTAGGGGTCGGGGAGTATACAGCGGTGTAGAAAAAAGGTACACGGGTATAGGAATCATGAAGGACAGTAAGTCAGTTATATACATAGGCTGATGTCCATTCTCCTGTGTTGCAGTTGGAAGGTATTCAGAAAAATGTGGGCTATTCCAACATGCTGCCCGGCATTTCATCAGTATCTATGGAAACCAGCATGATCATGCATAACATCCAGAGGATTATCCAGGTGGGTACAGCATCAGCTGGAGATCAACTGGAAACTGAACTGAAACTGAATTGGTCTCAAATGGGTGTGTGGGAGGGGTATGAAGGTGGGTATGAGATTCCAAGGCATTATTTGAAAAGAATGGGAGATTCTCCTGAACAACAATCCCCCTACATCAGTCAATTGGTCACTTATTTCTTGGCTGTTTGGCAAACTTTGCTGTGCATGTCAGCTGCCCTGTTTGCCAACAGCTACACAGTCTGTGTTGATCCCATTCCTTCACTTGATTCTGTTCCACAGGAAAACGAGCGACTGAAACAGGAAGTGTTTGAAAAGAGCAGTCGGATTGAAGAACTGAATGGGAAGATTGGTGACCTGATACAGAGAAATCAAAGGTACGAGGAAGAAGGCTCACTCACGCCCAGCGGAGCGTGCATAAGGGAGACCAGCTATTAGAATAACTTTTAGCTCATCAAATCAGTCAAATCTCTAAGAATCCAATGGGTGGTTTATGTGGAGGTGGCATTGGAATCCAGTTGAATGAAACGTTATCAACCAGTGATAACTATCCCTCGGTGCGTGCATGTGCATGCCCCTTAAAGAGTTGCTCTGAGCTATCCGTTTGTCTTAAAGTGGTGTATTTCACTGGTGTAATTGCCACTTACCTGTCCTGTTGCAATCGTAGAATCTTACAGCACAGAAGGAGGCCATTCGGCCCATCGTGCCTGTGCCAGCTCTTTAAAAGAGCTATCCAACTAGTCCCACTCCCCCGCTCTTACCCCATAGCCCTGAAAGTTTCCGTGTTCGAGTACCTATTTCCAATTCCCTGTTGAAAGCTACGATCAAATCTACTTCCACCCCCTTCGCATTTCAGATCGTATCAACTCTCTGGGTTTAAAAAAAATTCTAAATGTGTTTTTTTTTTTTGCTTGTGCATCTCCTGGTCTCGTTGCTCGCACTCTGGCAGGTACGTGGAGCAGAGCAACGTGCTGATGGAGCAGAGGAACGACACCCTGAAGTCCTCCAGTGAGAACAGCCAGGCACGGTACCTGCTGGCCGAACAGGAGAAGGTGAGGCTGACCTTCTGGTTTGCTGTAGGGGGCTACAGGGAGACTGTGGGGCATTCGTGGGGGGTGGTAGAAGGGGGCCAACATGGACGGAAGTTACTGGGCTACTGGTCATTTAAGAGTTTGGGGGAAAGGTGAGATCTTCTCCCAGTAACTGCTACGTAAATATTCTCTTGTTTCCTGCCTTTGTGTGTACACGTCAGACCATTGGTTTCTCAATGCTCCCGCAGTTACTGCTCAGCCTCTCTCTCTCTCTCTCTCTCTCTCCAACCCTTCACCAAAAGCTGAAATTGTCTCGTTGCTGCTGCAGAGGAACTGAGGAACAAAACCTCAAATACCTTTAGACGATTGGCGGATCGCTTTCCGGGTGTAATAATCCCTCCAAAAAAACAAATAAATTGGTCACTCAATCCACGACTGTTTGCAGGTCACTGGCGTGCACAACTGGCTGCAGCTTTTCGCCCACAAAATACACAGTCAATCCACTTTACAGTATATTCCGTGAAGTACTTTGAGACGTCTTAACAATGTGATAAGGTCCTATATCAACCCCCTCTTCTCTCCCCCGCCCCCCGGGGCTTTATTACTTGTCCCTAGGCTCCAGCGCACTAACCCTGTGCTTGGCTAACCCTGCGGTTCACTGTCAGTCTACTCTTTCTTCCCAGCTTGCACTGCCAGTGGAGTTGGTGAGAGCCCAGGTGAGGGATCCCATCTTGTGCTATTTGTTGCGTGTGTTAGGTATCATTGTAACCCTTTCCAAATTAGATGAACCACAAGAACCTTTGGGCAAATGGGCAATGTGCCATTGCCTAAAACGTAACCTAAAGCCTGTGAATGCAGATCACCCGCTGCAGCTTTGAACACTGCAAACGGAATCTACAAACATTACCTGTTGGTCCTGCAACCCCCCCCCCCCCCATCTCTACTCCCTCCCTATCTTACCACCCCCCCTCCCGTCTCTAATCCCTATAGATTCTTCCCACACCCTCCAAGTCTCTGCAGATCACACGCATGCCACATTGGATCCCTGCACCTAGACTCCTGCTAATGCCTCCCTTTCCTTTCCTATTATACGGTTTTATTAATCTCCCTTTCCTGCTCTCTCCCCTCACCCCTCTCATGTTGCTTAATGTTTCCCCTGAATGACTATTTTATTCAGTGTTGTGTGGTGAGGAGGAGCGAGCGGGGGGTTGTGCTGAATGAGCTGACAGCTTCCCACCTCATGCTATGGAGCAGGTCCAGGTGACGTGTCTCAGAATCTGTAAAGTGCCATCCTGTGGCATAGAGGTTAGCATGCTCACCTCGCAATGGGCAAATTACCAGAGACCCAGGTTCGATTTCTAGTCACGGCAAAACCATAGGCAAGTTTCCTTACTCCACACGCCTCTGTTTACCTGGCAGTAAGTAGGAACCTGGTTGTCAGTCGTTTTTTAGTGAATCGTTTTCCGGGGGTAATAATCCCTCCAAAACAAACAAACAAAAGAATTTGTCACTCAATCCACGACTGTTTGTGGGACACTGCTGTGTGCAATTGGCTGCCACATTTCGCCCACAAAATACGCAGCAAATCCACTTTACAATATTTTCTGTGAAGCGCTTTTGAGACGTGATAAGGTGCTGTAATTTCGCCTGGTATGTCAGGGTTCATCTCTGGCAGCGTCCAGCTGTTGCTAATTCTGAGACATCTCATAACACCTGATGCAGCTTTGAAACGCGTGTGAGTGAAACTGATGTGGTGTGAGTGGTTAGTTGTGGGGGGTTGGAGGGGGTTACAACCTCCTCTGAGTCTCAGGGTCTGTGTCACTGCCTACAACCTGCTCCCCACTCTCCTGTAATCTGTATAGCCCAACCATAGCTGGTGGCAGAGGTTTAAAATGTTGCTGCATGCTTGCCTGAGCAAACAGAATCTGTTTGGTGCCACATAAACTCATTGAAAACCAGGAGTGTATTTCTCATGTAGTGTAATATTCTGACCCAAACAGTAGGCTTTAGGTAATTGCAGAATCAGGTGTTCTATTGCGTGTTGCTCAGATATGTGCATAAGATGTAGATGCCACTGCAGTCACCCTGGCTCAGTTAGTTATACTCTTCTCACCTCTGGGATGGGAGGTTTGGGGGTCATGTCCCACATTGGGGCTTTGAGCTCAGCCCAAGCTGGCAGTGCAGTGCTGAGAAGGAGGTGGGGGGTACCCAGCAGTAACAGTTCCTTCGAATGAGACGTTAAACCAAGGACTCGTCGACCTGTTCAGGTAGACATTAATGATTCCACGGCACTATTTGAAAAGAGAAGGGAGTTTCTCCTGAGAATCCTCCAGTTAAAATTGTTCCTTCACTTCATGGCTGTGGAGGGATTCAGTGACTGGAGCTGGGCAGTAGCTGATCGCTCTGTTGCGTTGCTGGTGCAAATACCCACAGGTTGAAACAGGTTGAGGCCACTGGGACTTGTTTTAGAAAACAGCTTGATGCTGTGATGGGAGGATGATAAGGTGGGTGTTCTGAAAGAATGAGATCAGATGGGCCGAAAGGTCTTCATCTGAACTAATCTTGTGAGCGCCCTGACTGCACATTGAGTGAGCGAGCGAGTGAGCAGGGTCTGTTCTGTCAGTTTATGGTGCCCAGGAGCTGTGTCCTGTTGTACTTATTCAGTGACGATCAATTCAGAAAGTATTATTTTAAAGAAAAAGTAAGCAAAAAAGAATGCCTTTAAATGTACAGAAGGACCCCACTTTTCTGGGTCCCGTAAAAACAAGCATCGCATTATAACCCGCATTAACATCACTTCCTGTGCACGGGGCATGTCCAAGAGCCATGGCTGAAATCCATTGCCTGAAAAATGGCCACCGCTGACAAGACTTCCTGCACGCTGAGCATCTGCGCTGGTTTCCTGCGTTCCAGGTTGTCAGCATTTCCTGTGCGGTGTCCAAACTTCGCATCTACTTCCTGCACATGGGAAATGAAGTTGCCGACCCAATGCGCCGGAAGTTGCCATTGTTTAGAATGGAAAGCCGGCAAGGCACTTGACCTTTCATCGTCCCCTTATAACTGGGTTCTGTTGTACTTACACTGATTGTCTGTCCCTAGTCCTTCCTTCACACCAGGAACACACCCGCTGCTTGTTCAGAAGTTACTGAGAGGCGCAGGGGGTGCAATGATTTACTATCGTTTGCCCAAATCGGCCTGAAACTCAACACTGCCGTGGTGAAGTAACCAGCCAAGGGATTGAGTGACTGGGATTGTGCAGTGGCTGATCGCTCTATGGCTTTGCTGGTCCTTATATTACAGTCACTAGGTCGAACATGGGCTCCCATCCCCAGCTAGGGGACCCATTCAGCACTGTGAAATGTCCTACTGACGTGAACGGTGCTTCACGGAAAACTCTGAGATGATTGGACGTAATTGCTGGCTTTTGGAGGCTTAAACTGAGCTGATTTCTCTCTCTCTCTCTCTCGCTCTTTCTCTCTCTCGCCTTTGCTGGTGGCAGATGAAGGTGACTGAAGAACTTGCGGCTGCCACTGGCCAAGTCTCCAAGCTGCAGCTGGAGCTCAGCGCCCACCAGAAGAAGGAGATGGAGCTGAGAAAACAGCTGGCCTCAGCGCTGGAGGAGGCAGAACAGCACGGCGTCCGGCTGAACACCCTGGAGTCACAGCTGACAGGTAAACACAGCAGAGCATCACACTTGGCCGTGGCTGGGGAGATGGTGGGAGTGGGAGGGAAAGCAAGTGTCCTTCTTCCCAGGCCTATCAAACTGTAGAAACGTCACAGCCCAGCCTGATATGCCCTCCGGGTGCACTTTGCAGTGGGCTCGCTGTATATGAGCAGTGACCCTGTAAGGTTCTCCCTCTCCTAGTCTGCGGAGTCCCGTAACGTAGCACGTCCCTAGAATCTGTGACCTGGTTAGCGCAGATTGGGGGACGTCAACCCGCCTTTACCACGGGAGTCAGCGGGTTCTCTCTCTTGGGGGAGTTCGTTCACTGGTAACCGTTCTGTCTTGCTGGACCCCTCTCAGAGCTGCAGGAGGTTACCGAGCACGCTCAGACCCGCTACAAGGCAGAGAAACTGAAGTGCAAGCAGCTGGAGGCAAAGTCGAGCGCCATGGAGGAGGAGCTGCTGGACCTGCGCGTGGAGAAAGAGAATCTGGAAAAGGTAAAGAGGCACAGAGCGTAACGAGAGAGAGTGACCAGAGCGACTGGTAATGAGAGAGAGAGACTCGAGTGACTAGGAAAGGCAAAGGCAACAGCTTGCATTTATGTAGCGCTCTTCACAGAGGGTAATGTCTGGAGAGCTTCACAGGGATGGGGAAGTCACCGTTTGGCACCTTTGCAGAATTAGGGTTTGAGGCAGGTCTGGGAGGGAGTGGGAGGGAGTGAGGTTGGGGCTGCAGCCACTGATGGTGGTACAGAGACATGTGTAACTGTGTCTAGAACCTGCCCTCCCCCCCCCCCCCCCGCGTTGATACCCCTCCATATATTACTGTACATTACTGGTTGGTTTTCAAGCAAAGAGAGTGATTTTTTAAAGACTTATTTTGAGGCAAAGGCTAGACAGGAGGCAGTGGGACAGACAGATGGACGCAGGGGGTGGGTGGTGGGGTGGGGAGTTGTGATCACCAGCCATGTGGCTGGGCTGAGCTGTTGGGTATCTAACAAGCAGGGTGTGTGGGTTGGGGGGGTGTCCGTAGAGCGTGGCGGAGAGGAGGAGGAAGGCGTTGGCGGAACGGCAGCGAGCCGATGAGGAGACGGACGAGCTCCGCAGGTCGTACGAGGAGGAGCTGGAGAAGCTGAGGGCGGCGCTGAAGAGAGCGCGGACGTCGACTGACCTCGCGGCAGCAGAGCAGGTAGGCAACGGCACATCGATCTGCCCTCTTCCTTCCCCACCCCCCACTCCATGTCTCTCCTCCAGACCTGCGCTGTGTTCTCTGTAATGAATGATGCACGGTGAAGCTGGTGTAAATTTGCGTTTGTATGTTACGACAGGAAGGAGTTACTGGGTGTCAGTGTGGCTCAGACGAGGCAGTACCCACTCTCACTTTGGCAACAGAAGATTGTAGGTGCGAACCCCACGCTAGGATTTGGAACTCCTCCAGTCTAAGCCGATGCTCCCGACAATGTTGTCGGAGATACCGTCCTTCGGATGAGACAAGCGAAGGTCCTGTCTGCCTGTTCAGGTGGACCTTAAAGATCCCATTGGCACCACTCGAAAAGGGAGCTTGTCCCAATATTCTGGCTGATAATTCCCATCCTGTGGAACTCCATCCCAGAGCCCCTACACCTTGCCCCCTCCCCTGTCTCCTTCAAGGCCTATCTCAAGACCTTCCTCATTGACCGCGCCTCTGGTCACTACACGTTACAGTGAATCCCTAAGGAGCCCTTTGAGATCTCGTTCCTGACATGAACCCTCGCTGATTCAAATAACAATTACTAAATAATATTTTGACTCAATAACATTTGCCATCTCTCCTCCCCGCCTCTCTCTCTCTCTCTCTCAGGTGGGGGCGATGCAGGGGGAGCTGGAGGCAGAGTGGAAGGCTCGGAGTGAGCGGCTGTTGACGGTGGCTAAGGAGCAGCATGGACAGCAGTGCCGGGAGCTGTGTGAGCAGAGAGACTCCCTGCAACACAGGTTCTCCCAGCTGGAGGAGAAGGTCAGTAACACAGTGTCCGCGCTCGTCAGTCACAGGGAGCTCGTGTGTGAGCCTCCGCCCCCAGGAATCCTGGCTCAGTTGTGGTTGTCTCCTTAAACCCCCACCCCCCCACATTCCCCAATACCAGGCTCCACTGAACGGATCGATTTCAAGATCCTCACACTCGTCTTCAAATCGCTGTGTGTGTGTGTTGACAAGAGGCAAAGGAGGTTAGAACAAAACACACCTTAAACCCGCCACCCCTCCTGATCTCAACCGTAATCGTGGGTGCAAATCCTTGACTGTCCAGCGCCTTGGGACGTCGTCCTGACGTGAAAGGCGCTCTTCAAATGTCATTTGTTGTTGTTGTATGTGCTGTGTGTATTCTGTTCTCGGATTATAACCGTTCTTGGTTTGTTCCCCAGCTGGCGGGGTTGAAGCAGTGCCGAGACGCAGAGGAAGAGAAGCTCTCGTCACTTCAGGAGCAAGCGGAGGAGCTGCAGGCCCTGAAAGAGCGGGTGTGTGTGCGTGCGAAGAGCAACGTGTGTGATTCTAGAGAGGAGAGGGGAGGTGGACTGTGTGCATGTGTGTGTTTGTTACTTGAATGTGCGTGCGCCTGTGTGTGTGTGTGCGTGCGAGCTCCTGTTATTCTGGGCTTGTGTGTCTCATTACCTGTTACTCTGGGCTTGCGTTTCAGTACTCAGCGCTGCAGAGCCGAGCAGCTGCTATGAAGGAACACTACGATGCAGAGATCCGCTCACTGCTGCAGAAGCAACATGCCGGCGAGGGCGAGGGCAAGGTCTCGGGGAGCCCGGTGGAGGAGGTGAGCGAGGAACTTGTGTGACCCTAAACCCCCCACACCCCACACCCCCAGCACAAGGTTCAGTGTAGAGGGAAAGGAGGGAACGAACAGTGGTTGCGAGTGGTTCTATTCTTTTGGACCAGTCAGTACTTGATGTCGCCATTAGGCGGCGGCAGAGCTCCAGTCCTAGTGCTGGTACCTTGTCAACGGGCAGCAAAATGGTGTCAGTGGTGGAGTCCCGGAGCGCAGTGGTTAGCGCCCTCGCCTCGCAAGCGAGAGGACCGGGGTTCGATTCCCGGTCGAGAGGGGGGAGAGAAACCTTGGGCGAGTTTCTTTACTCCGCACGCCCCCCTTTACCCAGCAGTAAGTAGGAACCCGGTTGTTGGTTGATTGGCGGATCGCTTTCCGGGGGCTAATAAACCCTTCGGAATAAACGCGCGGGGGGGGCAAAAAAACGTGGTGGCTTCAATCCACGGCTGTTTGTGGGACGCTGCTGCAAGCGATCGGCTGCCGCGTTTCAACCACAAAATCCACAGTCGCTCCACTTTACAGCGTATCCTGTGAAGCGCTTTGAGACGTCTCAACGATGCGACGGAGCACTATATCGAACGCAGGGATTATTATTGTGTTGTGACAATGCCGTCGGCGTCTTTCAGGTCAAGAGAATCATGAATGGGGTGTTCCAGACCCTGCGGGGGGAGTTCGACTTGGATGAGAATTACAGCGGTCGGGCAGCCCTGGGAGTCATCATGAACACAATCAAGGTATGAGTGTCTCTGCCTGTCAGCACGGCCCAGACGCTTCACCTTCACTTGCCATACAGTAAGCAGTGATCAGAGCCCTGAGCCACAGTTGAGCTACTGTGACTTGGTTCATTTACCCGCCGCTTTCTTCGCTGTAGCTCTCTGTAGAACAAACTTATTTGACATATCTTTCTCTTGGGCTCTGGGCTCCTCGTCCTGCAGACTGGGGAGTTTTGCTGACTGACACAGTGTTAACTGTGTTGATGCAGGCTGTTGAGGGTGAAAGCCTCTGTGCTCTTGGGAACCAAGCTGATTTTTACTCCAGAAGTTTCAGCTCTTTGACCTTCTCCAACCCTCGCTCTCCGCTCTGCAGGTTTTCAGGCTTCTCACCTTGCTCTTTCCCCCTTGACAGACAGTTACCCTGCAGCTCCTGAGCACCAGCCAAGAGCAGCCGTCAGTGCAGAGCGAGAGCGAGGGGGAGGCGGAGGAAGAGGAAGAGGAGACTGAAGAGGTGGCAGCTCACGTGGACACCACTTCTCCGGAAGCTGCAGTAGGCGAAGGGTTAGAATCTGGCACTGTAACTGTCAAGAGCTCGCCAGAGTTTACTGCTCAGCCAGGTGGGTCACAGCTACAGACTCCAGAGAAAGCGATTCCTGAAGAGTCAGAAGCAGCTTTGAGCTCCATCCCAAATGGTTCTGCTGTCGACATGGCCGAGAGCCAGGGAGAGCATGCAGGGAGCTTGGGAGAAAGGACAGGTGAGGGTGAGGCTGAGGCTAAGCAGGAACCAGCTCAGTCTGTTCAAGCAGACGATTCAGAGACTGTTAAAGACTATCAACAGGCAGAGGCCACTGAAAGCATAATGGTGAAGGATGTCACCTCACTGGAGGCTCCTCAGTCAGAGACCTGCTCTGTTCCAGACCGTTCAAGAGCCGGAGAGACACGGGAAGAGACATCTTCAATGGAGAACCTTGGAAGCGGGCACAGCAGCCCCGCCATCAAACAGCCGGAGTCCAAGAAGGTCCAACACGGAGCACTTCCAGCTCTTAACGGAACTGAATCTGAGCTTTCTGAGGGTCCAGGACTTCATGTAAGGAACGAGCGCTCTGAGCTGCCGAGTGTGAGAGATAACGGTTCCGATCAGGAGAAAGCTGCCAGTGCCACCCCCAGCTCCACAGCCAACACCAGGTAAATAAATGGTTATCTTTACCCCCAGTTTACTCCCCCCCGCATCCTGCCATCCATTCTAGCCGGGAGGTAGGTTCCCCACCACCATAGCCTGATCGATTTTCCTTGAAGGGGTTTAAATCCTGTGTGCTGTCACTCAGCCCTGCACACAACAACAACAAATTACATGATGGTGTAAACTTGCCTTTCAATCTGCTGCTCCCACTATAGGGACAGCTCTGCTTTAACCATGTGTGGATATGGAGAGCGAGTAGCTGACGCCTGGGCCTCTTGTTTGGCATTTCTCCCCCCACCCCCTTGCAAGTTGCCAGCTGGTTGAGGCTGGTGGGGGTGGGGGGGGTGCAAATTAACTAAACGGCGACGCTGAGACTTTCTGCTTTTAGTCTTTTCAGTGACGACAGTGGCTTATTCCAAGCCGTGACCCCACGGATAGGGAAACCGGTGACATCACCGACCGAAGAGGAAGAGGACGATGATGAAGTGGTAAGAGAGGGACCAGTGGGCGCGCGCATGTGGTGTTGTGTGTACGTTATCACACTGTATAGGGATGCAGTTCTTTCCACTGTGTGCAGATTCTGCCAGAAGTGGGCTCTCTCCCTGCCTAACCGCAGCCACTCAGTTTCATTGGCTCTGTTCTCTTGCTATTAACTCGCCTTCACATGACAAGTTTAACAAGAGCGGCTGGTGCATTTCTAGACGTTTAATGTAGCTGCAGCCTACTGGCTCCTGTTCACCACTGTACGTACATTCAGCCTCACCAATTTGACGGTTTAATGTATGGAGCTGAAACTCCTCGAGCTCTCCTTGACCCTCTCCTGCTTACAAAATCTGTCTTTGTCACCTCCTACTCCCCAAAACCCATTTTGAGATCTAATACTGCAGGGTGTTTCCAAAGACCTGTTACCCCATGTTTTTTTTTCCTACAGTGCAACTCAAACATGTGGAATAATGATAATTGTGTTTAGAAGTTACTTCATTGTATTCAGTACAAGTGTTTTAACTGTATTTAGACATCCAGAGGATCAGTGAGTGTGTGTGGAGTCCTGTAGCTCAGTGGTTAGAGCAGTCGCCTTGCAAGCGAGACACCTGGATTCAATTCCAGGCAGAGGGCGAAACCTTGGGCAAGTTTCCTTACTCCACCCACAGTCTTATAATAATCCCTCCAAAAACAATAATAAATTGGTCATTTTCAATCTACGACAGTTTGTGGGACATTGCTGTGCGCAATCGGCTGCCGCGTTCGCCCACAAATATACAGTCAATTCACTTTACAGTGTGTTCTGTGAAGTGCTTTGGGACGTCCTCTCGACGTGAAAAGCGCTATATCAAATGCAAGGATTATTATTATTATTATTTTCATGGCAAATAATGTTCCATCGTCATGTTCGGTGCCACCTCTTCCGTAACGTGGATGGAGCGAGTGACGAGAGCGAAACACATTTCTGACACCTCGTTTCAGCTCCTCCATAATCTTGTATCGCTGTTTTGTAACAGGGATAACAGGACTTTGCGGCCACCCTGTACATGAAAGGTTCAAGCTCAACTTGAAGCGCAATTGCTTTGTTAGCAGTGCCCTCGGTGTGGAGGCTAACTGTACAGTGTCTTGTGTGTGTTCTGTACAGAGTATGAAGGGCCGCCCGCCCCCAGCGCCACTCTTCGGAGACGACGACGATGATGACGAAGCCTTTGGCTGGCTCGGGTGAGAACTCCGCAGAATCGCCAACAACAAGCGTCCATGTCCGGTCTGGAAGAGCACAGCGACTCGGTGATGGGATCCCAGTTGGATCGCTGTGTTTTGAACTATTTCAGTAATTTATACCCCAGCCCCTGGCCAGGTCACTACCACTGCTGTGTCTATCGCCTGTCAGCACTCGGGATGCAGGTGCACTGAGGGGAACTAATTTTATTCCACGGGCGAGTAGATTGCTGACTTGTTGTCTTTTTTAAATCTGTGCTGAATTTGAATATATTTTTATTGCGGATACAGGTGGAACTAATGGGAATTAAAGTTTGCTCTATCCCCAAATATAAATAAACAGGATCCAATGCACACAACTGCGTGGTCAGTATTAACCACAGTTACACCATATAAACATAAGTTTGGGTTGAGTTTTGTTTAGTGAAGTGGTCAGGAGCGAGGTAGTGCTGGGGAGGGCAATGGCGGTCAGACAAGGGCAAGTGTCCAATGTTCCTGATCACTGCCCTCTGATGTTGAATGAGAAACAAACAGCCTAGGGTAGGATAGGATGGAGAAGGCACTTTGTAGTCAAATAGCACAATATGTGCCATGAGGTTTGCTGAAGCCAATACATTTCTATGCTGGTGGGTGGAGACAGACCTGGTTCTTCTGGCAAGTACAGCAGTTTGTCTCCTTTCAAATCGGTGAAACTTAATAATACTTGCATTGGATATTGCGCCTAACCATGTCGTTGAAACTTCTTAGGAAGTGCTTCACAGAATAATCTGTATATTTTGTGGGTCAAACATTTGAGTGTCTTACACTAGAATGTTTAAGATTCCTCATTACCCTAGAGTTTGGAATCTGCTGTTAAACAGAACCTGTTTTGTTCCTTATTGGTCTAAGACCAAACCAGCTGAGTCTTGAGTTCACCTGCCACTAGCTCGAGGGATAAACCCACAGCTTCATCTGGAACCAGTTCAAGGTGAGCCATGTGTGGCTGTGACCACTGCACACTGTCCTGACCAGAACAAGGGCTTGTTTTTTTAAAAAAAGTATCCAATACATTTGGAATAAAGTTCAAATAAATATAAAATCTTTAATGAAAAATAAATCCATTCAGTCAGCCACAGAGAAGATAGTTGAGCAGTTACAAGCCTAACATGCAGTTCCAGTACTGAGAGCCAGGTAGATGGGCAAGATATGTGACTGACACATCATCTCCTTGGTAGCAACAAGAATTCAACAACTTGGTTTGAAATAGCGCCTTTCACATTGGGCAGCAATATGTGAGATGCAGTCTATTCCCAGGGAAAGTGCAGCACGTGGGGGTAAAAACTTTCCAGCAGCCCCAACGTCTTCCCAACTGTGTTGGGGTGAGGAGTGGAACAGCACTGTATGGATATGTGCCATGCCTAACCTCAGGGTATGGTCTGGGTCAAGGCTGGATTACTTAAGGCAGCTGTGGTTTGGAGAATCTGCCTGAATGGACAGATGTGACCAGTCCTGATCTGTTGCTGGGGGTTGATGTGGCCTCTGGGGAAATCATCCAATCTCAGTTATAAATCACTGCTTCAAGCAAATTACTCAAAGAAGGTATTGGAATAGACTTGGAAGTTTAAGTATCAACTACTTTCAGTAAGACTTAAGCACCTTTCTCCACCTTGGGGACTGAAGCAGGAAGCTGTGTAGTTCCATCCCAACAAAGTCTTAAGTGAAAGGTCAGAAGTGGGAAGGAAAATAAATTGATTGCAAAACAGGCTAACTGTCTGCAATGCTGTACTCTATTCAGGCACTGGGTTACCGAGCTGAACAATTTATGCTGTGACAACAGCCTAGGCAGCCAGCCAGACCACTGAAGGAACACAGAGCTCTGCAGTGCTGATGTCAGTGAAGTGTTTTTTTTCAAAAAGCAGTTCCTTTCATAGAAGCTTCGCAAAATCGTACATTGTAAATCTGCCCTGAGCACAGACAGTGTAGAATTATACAAGGTCTGAACGTAAAACATTGCCCGTGGGAACATGCTGATCAGGGCAACAAAAACACAAATCTAAAATTCCTCCAATATAATATTTCAACACATCAGAACACTTTCTACTCACGTTGATCGACAAACAACTTCTAGCTTTACATCCTATTAGTGGAGTTCAACATTCCCATGAACCCAGGACAGGTTATAACACTGCAATATCTAACCTGAACCTCTCTAGCATTGTAATAATAATAATAATCCTTGCATTTGATATAGCGCTTTTCACGTCGGGAGGACGTCCCAAAGCGCTTCACAGAACACACTGTAAAGTGAATTGACTGTATATTTGTGGGCGAACGCGGCAGCCAATTGCGCACAGCAATGTCCCACAAACAGTCGTAGATTGAAAATGACCAATTTATTATTGTTTTGTTTTTTTGGAGGGATTATTATTAGGCTCTGTATGGAGTAAGGAAACTTGCCCAAGGTTTCGTCCTGCCTGGAATTGAACTCAGATCTCTCGCTTGCAAAGCGAGTGCTCTAACCACTGAGCTACAGGACTCCACATTGTAGGGGGTGTGGGGGAGAAACAGAGGCCATCTCTTCCAATAACTCGCATACATCCAACAGTAACTCACAGCACCCTCCAACACATCACCGGAACCATTCAACATTAATTCCAAAGCACTGGGAATAAGCCAGCAATTTCTAGGGTCTTTTCCATTCTAAACGCTGCTACACAGATCGCAAACGGCAACGCTCCTCCTGAAGCACAGACCAGCTAACGTCAGGGCTGACACTAAATTAACAAATCAGACCAGCAGTGAAAAGGTTATTGTTCCAACAGAACGCCTCCCCTGGCTGCAGGCAGTCAGTCACACTGCACAGTGAGCAGTGTAGCTGGGCTATAGGACAGGACTGGACCAAGTGAAGGACGTTTCAGGCAGCTCTGTGGAAGAAAAAGTGAAAATTAACTACTACAAATGTCCAAGCAAGAAAAGATATAAACAGTGAAGTCTTTGAGAGGAGCATAGGCAGCGAACAGGAAACATTTGAATAGCATCCAACGGGGTCCGAATGGAACCTGTGGTGGATACAGACAATGCAATCAAACTTGTGATTTGTAGGCCTCCTGTTGCTTGTACAGCTAAGACCACCCTAACTGTTAGGGCTCTGGTTTACAGGGTTACTAGAAGATGAGTGAAGAGCACTATTGCCTCCATTGACACGGATCTGCTCTTCCAAGTGCTGCTTACGAGGCAGGGTGGCTGATTAACGTACACATTCACCAACTCTTCACTTGGAATGGTGAGTGATCCGAGCCACACGGGGGCGGGGGGGGAAACAGGTTCAATCCAGGAGGGTGCGGATCTCAGTCAGACAGAACTGACAAGCACAACAGAGAAGGGTAATCGGTCAAGCTGTCTGTCCCTGCGAGGGACATTGCACAAGGGATCTCTTCAGTCAAATAACTGGCTACATGTTCTCCAGATGTGCCTTTGTTTCCCCCCCAACACACACACACAAGGAATTGTTGAGGGAGCAGAGGGTGGTTGTTGTCTAAGTAACTATCTCAGTACAGGCCAGCGGCACCAGGAGAAGGGCAGGGTGGGAGTGGGGGGGAAGAGAGAGAGAAAAAGAAATAAACCTTGCTTCACAATCCCTCCCATTTCCCACACTTGCTGCCATTTTCTATCCATCCCAGAAGCAGAGTCTCACATTGCAGACCTCCCCAACAGCAACATTTTACCCAAAGACAATCCTTACAGGCGGAGGGCAGGTACAGGCCAGTGTTCTGGGTGCACACATACATTGATGAGGGAGGGACGGCCACTCAGGACGTACGATACATGCGGATTTTCTGTTCAATGCCCGCACGGCAGAGAGGGCAAGTGCGCAGGACTACAGCACAGGGCTGACAGCAGCAAACGTGACCACACGGCAAGAAGATCATCTGGCTCTGAAACAGAATAAACAAGTGAGATTTCATCACCTCGATACTCACCACAGCTGCTCATGATACCTCGCTACGCAGCCAGTGACTGGTCTGCCTGCCTGCAGCTCCTTTAGCTCTCAGCTTAGTTCAGTGGCTTGTGCTCTCGCCTCTCGAGTCAGACGATCGTGGGGTTCAAGCCCTATCATCAGGGCTCTAAGTTCACAATCCAGATGGACACTGCAGTGCAGCAGTACTGGAGGTTACACTGCATTATCAACAGTGCCATCCTTCGGGTTACACTGAGGTCCTGTTTGTTTGTTCAGGTGGATATTAAAAGATCTCAACACTGAAGAGCAGTTTCTCCCGGTGAACTGACCAACAATCCCTCAGATAAAAGGGTCTGAAATGTCTTAAATGCTCAGGAAATAGATTTTCAATGCTGTAAAATTGGGAATTCAGCAGGAGGCTACTAAGTGAATATTTTCTGCCACTCACATAGCATTAAAGCAGGAATTGCCACCCATGAACTTGCATAAGTCAACATGAACCTTTGTTGGAAAGAAAATAGTAGCTGGAGCCCGGGCAGCCCTGTTGTGAATTTTACATTAGATTCTTGTGTCCACATCACAATCTTCCCTCACACACCTGAAAGTTCACTGAAGCACTGCACAAAACTGATGCTACCGTTTCTCACAGCCTTGTTTGTGATACCCATTGCCCTGGGAGAGACTGCAATGGTCAGCAATACAGAGTATAGCCACTTACTTCTCGCTCCAGACAAACGACACACTCGGACTGAGCCACCACCGCCCGGGAAACCTTCAGTAGAGGGCTTGAGGGTCCTGCCTCACCCTCCTCCTCAGCAGGGGCACTGGGCTGTATTTCAGCCGGAGCACTGGGCTGCACTTCAGGAGCAGAGCCTTTCGCTGAGACGGGCAGTACTGTGGGCTCTACAAAGGGATAGAGAGATCAGGACGTTAGGATTCTGTGATCAAGTATCTAGCAGCGCAGCTCCCCACTCCTGTCTCAGTAATAGCCAGGATGCCAAAACCTTGATCTCTAAAACCTTTCTTGTCAGTCAGTCTGACACACAATACACCTATCACAGTGCTTATGCTAAGAGTCTCCGAATCATACTGAGAGTTAACATTGATCCCATTTATCTGCTATCCCCTCCTCCCCCCGGAGGGGATACACCGTGCTCACTGAATCCTGCAGATCTTAGGTATAAGTTGGCAAAGGCCAAGGTTTGTCCCCCAAGGGTACATTGGAGTAATTGTTGGGAGTTTAACTAGCTGCAAAAGCACAGCTTGCCATTGTGAAAACTGTGGCAAACTCCCTGCTGTTTGTCCAGTTAGGACAACCTTACCCAACGTGGCCTTTGGCTTGCAGGGTTCCAAGGAACCAGATGAGAAGAATCCCTGTCCCCAGTGATTACTACCCTCCTCCCACTCCTGATCACAGGGCAGGCTGATGGTCTGTCAACAACACCAACTTGGATAAAGAAGGCCCTTTGATCTCATCCATCCAAACCACCCAACCTAATGTCCTCCTATTCCAGAATCAAGTGGTTTCTTCAATGACTCTGGCCTTAGTTACCTGGCCTTGCACCTTCTTGAGCAAGTCGTAGAATAGCCCGCTGTAGTCTGCCCTCAATGATCCCAATCTGTGAACAGAGCAGGGACACAATCAGGATCCAGCCAGCATCTCTCTTACACTTCACAATATGCCCCTCAGTGCTCGACTCCAGGACATTGTTGCCCTATCCAATTGCCTGTCAGACATGAAGTCTTGGATAAGCCTCAACTTTCTTCAGCTGAACATCAGCAAATCCGAAGCTGCCTGAAAGATGACAGTGAAAATTTCACCTTCGATAAATATTAAGCCAACAGCGCTGTGTAGGGCAAGACCATGGACAGATTTGAACTGGAGAACGAGGAACTTGAACCTGATCCCCTGGGGGATGAGGAGCCAGTGCAGTTGAGCGAGGATGGGGGTGATAGGCTCGCGGAGCCTGGTGTGGGAGTGGACACGGACAGCAGAGTTCTAGATAGTCCGCAGTTTGAGTAGGGAAGAGCTGGAGTGTTCAGCAAGCAAAGGATTGGTACAGTCTAGCCTAGGAGTTATAAAAGCGCAGATGAGGCAGTCCGAGGGTCGAGGTAGTGACAGAAGCGGGCAATGTTATAGAGGGAAAGCTGAGTGGATAAGAGCACAGATGTGAGGTTTGAAAGAAAATTGGGAGTCGAACAGGACACCGAGATTCTGCACAGCCTCTGCGAAATGGAGTGAACATCCAGCAAGTCAATACCTGAGGTGAGGAGGCACTGATGGCACCATGCAGGAGAGCTTCTGTCAAGCAAGTTAGAGCTCATTCAAGTGGTTAAGTTGATACATTCCCACCCGTCCCACCCCAGACCACAGTTAATGTTCATGCTTTCCCTTAGTGCAGGAGGGTTGGTACCTGTTGCAGATCGGCAGGAGTCATGTAGCGTAGCATCTTTAGGGTAATTCTGTGATGTGCAAAAAGGGGCAAGTACCGGTCTGCAGAGAGATCCACCAACAAATCCACCAGCTCCTTCTCTACACCCTCCTCCTGGAGCAAAGACAAGAGACAGGTCAACAGCTTGTGTCTAATACAAACCCTTCAAACAACAAAGCCCAGAACAAAGAAATGCAAGTCCCCGGTTTGTTCCTGCCAGGCTGCTAAGTCATCAACAATGCCTTGAAGCCCTACCACCAAAACATTTCAATGCCCTTCATGAGCAATTGCTGCCAATGTAGTGCTAGGCAAACAAGTCATTGTGTGAGTGATGGGGGGATAGGTGGCTGTTAAAATATCCCATGCCATTGTTCGGGAAAAGAAAGGAGTTTCTCCTCGTGTCGTGGCCAACAATTCCCCCCAGATAAGAAAGATCATTCACAGAGTGACCGACTTTATTTAGGGGTAGGAGGGGGGAATTGTTGGCCAGGAGAGTTTGCGGGACATTTCTGTATATCAACTGCAAGGATTATTGTTATTATAATAAAATGGCTGCTGCCCAAATGCACAATGACAGCAATTCCCTAGGAAGCACTGTAAGAGGATTCGACGTTACAGTTGCTTCAGTAAAGGCAAGGAATATTAAAGATGGCCCTGAACCCAAGTGGGAATCAAAGCCAAAGTCCTGAAGCACCCACGGGATCAGATTTCTGTGGATTGCTGTAAAGGACGACTTAAACAACACCAGCTGTCAGTGGCAATGATACAATGGGCCAAACTATTCCCTTTCTGTGCTGAATACAGGATTGCTATGTCTCTGTTACACACTAGGTCCCTTATTGTTCTGAGTAACGTAATAATAATAATGATTCTTACATTTGAATACAGCGCCCTATCACATCACTGAGATGTCTCAAAGGGCTTCGCAAAATATACTGTCAAGTGGATTGACTGTATCTTGTGGGTGAAACGTGGTGGGGGTGGTGGTGAAGAGAGTGTATTATTACCTTCGGAAAGCGATCCACCAATTTTCCACCAACTTACCGAGAAACGGAATCCTACCCACTGCCATAAATAGAGGTGTGGAGAAAAGAAACCTGCCCAAGGCTTCCCACATGATGTCAATTCAACAAGACCCCCAGAGCCCAGACACTGACACATGCCCCATCGATGAATCAATCATGAATCCACAACACGGACACTGACCCGTGCTCGGAGAGACAGGGGTTTCTGGTCCATCAGCCGCTGGTACTGAATCAGCCAGTAATTCTCCTGGTTGGTCTCGTGCTTCGTCTCCATCTCCAGCTGAAACACAGAATCAGATTCCAACCACTTGCAGTCACCCAGTGCACCACTCCCTCCTGCTTGGCTCCCTTCCCAGCTCCACCCACAACACCCCCCCATATACACACCCCACAAGCAAACCCAACTCACCAACCCCCTGCCCCCCCCGCACACACACACATACCAGCAGGTCTCCCAGCTCCTTCTCTCGCTGCCTCTTCTCTTTCAGCAGCTGTTGCAGGAGGTCGCTCAGTGCTTGCCGCTGTTCTGCCAGTGTTTCCTGTCACACGACAGGGAGAGAAAACATCTCACACAACGTCCATAGAGGGTCCCGGGAAGGAGTTAGTGGGAAGGGAGGGGGGAAGGAAAGAGAAGTGGGCTCCCAAGAGGCAAGGACAGTGATAAAAACCTCCTCAGAGAAACTGGAGGGAGAGCAAAGAGCGTCAGAGAGAATCCAGCCGAGTGATCGTGTCAGTCTCAGCAACGTTGACAACAGCCAGATCTCGTGAAGAGGGAGTGATAAGAGACAAATGTCAAGGAGACGGTTTATTCAGTGGGTGAAGCTGAAGGGCCCGTTCCTCTGACTCCCTCCCTCCCACCCATCCTCTCTCTGTCCCGTAAAACAGACACGGAATCTGATGGAACGGCTACAGATGAGCCACAATGTTAGTTGGGATGAGTCTGGAATGGAAACAATGGGATTGGGGTGTGAGTGGAGGAGAAAACATAACGGATAGAGAGAGAGAAAAAAAATGGAGGAACAGTGGGGCAGGGAGTGTGGAGAGCGCGAGGCAGAGAGAGAGACAGAGATAGGGAGGGCACAGAGAAAGAGGTGCAAGGAGGGAAGGAAGAGAGAGAGAGAGAGAGAGAGAGAATGAGAAAAAAACAAGACAAAAAGAGAGGTGAGGGACCTGAGCAGTTAGTTGTGGAACCTTTTGTCATAAGAAAAAGAAGAGCCGGACAGAGCCTCACAACAAGACTGGAGAATGTGAGAGGAAACCTCAGCAATTGCACTGACAGACCAGTGCGAGGGGAATTGGGGGGAAAAGAGGGAGAAACAGAGCTGAGGTTTAAGCCCTACCTGCAGATCCTCCAAGTCAACCTCTCGTCTGTCTAACTCGATCTTTGTCAGTTGCATTAACTCACTCTCAATCAGTTTGATCTGAACAAACAAAACACGGGATCATTAGACACTCGAGGGCGAGACCTACAGCCCCCAATCCCAAGGTGGTGGGGTGGGGGGGGGGAAAGAGAGGAGAGAAGAGGATCAAACCAGCAATGGAAAAATGAGACTGGATGCAAATGTACAATGGGATGGGAGATGGAAGTTGTGTATATGGAGGGCTCCGCTCTGGAGCAAACAAGAAGAGCAAGATGGACCCAACCCCATGGATCCAATTCCAGGATCACAACATTGTGGAACATAAAGAGCATTTAGTGTGTTGTGTTGGCCAAAGAGCTCACACATTAAAGAGTCACTAAACTTGACAATAATTACTATAAAGTATTGTTTGATTTGACTACAAACCACTTTAAAATGTTCTATGTCTCTCTCCCACTCACCTCCTTTCAACCTCCCCACCCACCCCACCCCCTCATTTTCTTGATTGCGGTTAAAGCACAACTGTGTACGAATGGGGGCTCAACAAAAGGGGGAGGGGAAGAAAGAGATTGTAACTGGAACATGATCCCACTCCATCTCCCCCGACAAACGCTAGGAAATTGACTGCATGGGATTCCAGGACTTCCAGGTGCAATGAGCTCCCCTTCCCCACCACCAACCCTCCCACACTCCAGCGTCAACCGGACCCATCACCTGGTCTCTGATTCGTGTATGTTCCCCGTCCTTCTTCATCTGCAAAGTTTCAAACGCCACTTTCTGCATCTCCGCCTGAAGTGGAAACAAGAGTCAGGCTCAGCCCAGGGCCACAGACCTCAATTCACTGTTATAATAATAATAATCCTTGCATTTGATATAGCGCCATATCACGTCTTCGAGACGTCTCAAAGCACTTCACAGAGTATATTTTACAGTGGATTGACTGTGTATTTTGTGGCCGAAACTTGGTACCACAGCAGCGTCCCACAAACAATCGTGGATTAGGTGATCATTTTTGTTTTGATCCACCAATTAACTTTAACACCCAGGTTCCTACTTGCTGCTCGGTAAACAGAGACATGTGGAGCAAGGAAACTTGCCTAAGGTTTCGCCCCGTCCAGGAATCGAACCCGGGGCCTCTCGCTTGTGAGGAGAGCACTCTATCCACTACACCAATGTCAAAAGAGCATGTCAACATAGGGTAAAAAGGACTGATTCACTCTTGAACGCTGTTCAGCATCTGCCCTAACATAGGGAGGGAACAGAGTGAGAGAGGGAGGGAAGGAGAACAGAGGGAGAGAGGGAGAAAGGGAGATAAGGAACACACTTAGGCAGGGAGGATGGGGAAGGGGAGGAAACAGAGAGAGAAAGAGAGGGGGAGAGAGGACTGAAACGGAGGGAGGGAGGGAGAAACTGTGACAGAGGGGAAGAGGGTAGGAACCACGTGAAAGAGAGGGATCTCTGCAGAAATCCTTTCCTAAGTAAAACCCCAATTCAGGAATTACAGGGAGAGGGAGGGAGGGTTGGGCTCTCCGCAGTCAGGCATCTCTAACAATCACTATTCACTGCTCTCAGTCTCACCTCAGCCAGGATCTGCCCGATGGCCTTGCTCTGATCTTCCTGCTGCCAGGTCTGGATTTTCTGGAGCTTCCCATCAATCTCAGCCATGCTGCAGGTCAAGCAGAGAAGAGCTCACACTGAGTACCGTTCGATTCAATATCAGCCACATCGGCTGCACTTAATCATTTACTTATCAATAATAATACTCGCAGTTGAGTGTCAGCCCCTCACTGCGAGCTCAAAGACTCGACCCGATGCTTGAATCTGTCTCCAGAAGTGCGAGCGCCAGGCTGGCATGTACCTGGAGCAGGCTTCCTCTATCAGGCACTGCCGCTGTGTCTCGTAGACGGTCTGCAGGAGTCTGTTCAGGTTACTCTCAGACAGCATCGCCTGCATCGCACCTGCAGAATGTGAGAGGCGGGTCAGGCGGAGGAGAGAGACGGGTAGAGGCACAGAACGACAACTCACATAGACCGACCTTTACCGTAGCACAACACTTTGGGATGTCTTCCAGACATTATCAATGTAAATGTGTATTGTATAACATCCTGAAGCACTCAATAACAATGTTGGGGAATGCGGGGGCTCAGTGGCTGATAGATAAGATAAATAGATGACCCATTCTCAAGCCCAGCACAATCTCTGGAGGAGCTCATGCCACAAGGCGGCAGCAGTGCGGGGAGAGAGTGTGTATAAGTCAACAGTCTGTGCATTCGATTCAGCCTCTTTCATGTCGGGAGCACATTCTTTACAGAATACACTGTAAAGCAAAGCATCTTGTGTTTTCTTCGTTTAAGTTTTTTTTAACGTGAAACTCAGAAACTGGAAGGAATCAGGGACTTGAACCTCTGGACTATGAGGACTTAATGCTTTCTGCAGTTCTTAAAACTGCAAAGCAGTGGTGTCCTGTAGCTCAGTGGTTAGAGCACTTGCTTTGCAAGTGAGAGACCTGAGTTCAATTCCAGGCAGGGCGAAACCTTGGGCAAGTTTCCTTACTCCACACACCTAATAATAATCCCTCCAAAACCAAAAACAATAATAAATTGGTCATTTTCAATCTACGACTGTTTGTGGGACATTGCTGTGCGCAATTGGCTGCCGCGTTCGCCCACAAATATACAGTCAATTCACTTTACAGTCTATTCTGTGAAGCGCTTTGGGACGTCCTCCCGACGTGAAAAGCGCTATATCAAATGCAAGGATTATTATTATTATTATTATTATTATTATTAAAAAGAAGCAATCTTCCAAATTAAGACCAAATGTAATAAATTTTCCACAATTCTGCATGATCTTAAATTGAGACCGAACGGCCTCGCTAGCGGAAACTGGATAGATTTCCGGGGCTCTGAGCTTTACACGGTACAATCCACGACTATTTGTGGGACACTGCTGTGCGTAATTGGCTGCTGCGTTTCACCCACAAAATACACAGCCAATCTATTTTACGGTATATTCTATGAAACGCTTTGAGACAGCCCAACAATATAAGGTGCTGTGTCAAATGCAAGGATTATGTGCAAGTGAGCAAGAGAGAGAGACAGAAAGAAGAAAAAAGAGGGGCAAAGTGGATGTTACATGGAGATGAGAGGACACCAAGAAACTGTACCTCAATAGAAGTCAAGAGAGGACAGCGGCAGAACATTGATAACAAAAAGGCTGTTCTGACCTGCCACCTCTTTCTTCCGTAGCTTCTCGTTCTCCTCCTGTGTGATCTCCATCAGCTGCTTCACTCTCAGCCTGCGGGTAGGTACAGACAGGAAGGTTACAGCCCACAGCCACTGACTGCAGGTGGAGCATCCAGGAGCCCGAACATCTTAATCATTCAAACACAGAGATCTTCCTAGCAGGAACCAGGGTCTTGGCAAAGCTCAGATACATAGCTCACTGAGCCTCCGTAGATCAGAGAGCAAAATTTCCTCCCTGAGCAGCTAACCCGAGTCTGTACACGTAGTGCTGCCCCCACTGCCTCTTTACTGACCTCTCTATCTCCAGTGAATTCAGCAGCTCAGAGTTCTGTTTCCTTCTGAAAGACAAGTTAATTAGAAATCATGTTAAAGCGGTTGGACTCCCTTTTCTTTTCCCCGACAAAGCAGTGTTTGTTCCCCCCAGCACCGCACTGGCGCGTTAGCCTGAACTGTGAGTTCAAAGTCCCTAACGTGGGACATAAACTAACAACCTTCTGGGCAAGAGAGAAAAGCAAAAGTCATTGAGACACCTGCAAGAAAAAAAAGAAAAAGCACCCCACGTCCTCCACCCACCAAACAGGAGAACCTTTCACCTCTCGCTATCCTCCAAAAGACTGTGGATGACGTTGTCTACTGTGTACTCCGCCTCCTTCAGCTCCTGCTGCAGTCGCCGACGTCCCAGCTCCACGGAACGCTGCTGATCCCGGAGATCCCTATCCAGCTTCCCCTGTTCCTGGTGGGAATAATAGGATGAATGAGACGAAGAACATCATGGAAAGAAGTAATCAGTGTCACCAAGCACACCTTATACCACCCCCCCCCCCACCCCAGTAATTCAATCCACAAACCTACCTCTCGGGGAGGGGCTGAATGGCCGGCCACTGTGTTTGCTGGGTAGGGTAAGTGGGGGGGAGGGGGCATTATGTCACTGATGCCCAAGACCAAAATTTAATTTTGGTTTGTGTGAGCGGAATTAATCGATTATTGCATGTGACCAAATGGACGGGGGGGGGGGGTCGGGGTCTGCATTTCTTTACGCTGCCGAGTCACAATTTAACAGCAGCAGATTTATCACCCGTCCACGGACATGACACTTACACCCACCCACCCCCCAGCCATGCCAATCCCTTTGAGATGTCTTCCCAACAGATAAGGCGCTGCATAAATGTAATTTGAACGTAATGCATTCGGATCCCCGGACACCCTTTCAGCCACTACACTCCCTCAACCTTGCCCCTTCCTTCCCCATTTTCACATGATGCCTGAAGACCTTCCTCTTGGACCGTGTTTACAGTCACCTCCCCAATCCCTCTGACTCGGCGTCGTGCTCCACCACTGGCAAGCGCTTGGGGACGCTATCCTGCGTGAGGGGCACTAGATACATGCAAGTTGTTGTTGCTGACAATGGGTGCGGACGCCCTGCTTGACTCCTCACTCCCGGGATGAATTGGAATCTGGTGGGTGGATCCCCGAGGACCCTGAACATGTGCAGTAGCTTCACACAATGGCCGCTGCTCTCTGCCGCACACGCTGTTCTCCTCGCTTTCCATTCAATCTCATTAACTTATAATCATGATATCCCTAACCTTCTTCCCGATACCAACCACCAGCTCGGGTGCAAATCCCTGACTGTCCAGCGCCTTGGGACGTCCTCCAGACGTGAAAGACGCTATACGGATAGAATTTGTTGTTGATGGTGGTTGTGGTTGGCGAGTCAGTAACCAGTAACTCTGTGAGATTCTGTACCTGTCTGATGGAGTTAAGGATCTGGGCTTTGTGAACGTTGTTACTCTGCATGAGCTCAGCTCGCTCCCGCTGATCCTGGTTCAGTCTCCTCTCAAACTCCAGCTTCTCCTGCTGCTTCTGAACCTACAAAGCACAAGATCGGACGAAGGTTTAGGAGCCTGTGGTCGTCGGCCAAAACAATAAAATGTTGCTGAACAACATTGGCAACGACTTATACAACAATGACAAACTGCATTTATATAGCGCCATTCAAGTCTGGAGGCCTGGACAGTCAATAGTTTGCTTCCAAGATGGGGATCGGTTTGGGAGGAGTGGCGGGACAAGGGGTTGAGGGACAGAGTATTTACGTAAATACAGTGAATTTATGCAGCTGAATCCACAACATGATATATCTCTGTTTATGGGAAAACTGCTGATGTGTGAAGAGCCGGAGATCACATGGAAAGAGCTGGCAAGTATCCAGCTAGCTGTTAATGAAAAGTCTATGGTCAGAGCAGGAATGGAATTGTAAACTGGAGGAAGAGTGCAGAGATTGCTAAAATGAGGTGCTCAATACTGACACCTTCAGTAGTCAGTTGCACTCCATCACTGAGTGGGGGAAGAGAGGGAGAGGGGAAAAGAACAGGTGTACATTTCACCTTCACATAAAGCTATGTCCTTTTTAAGTGCGATAATCTGCAGGGCCAGGGATAGTTTTTCAAAACCATCACAATAAAGACAGTACCCCTTTAAATATAGTAAAAGGTTTCATAATCTCAGGGTATTTAAATGTAACAATCGAGTCCTAGACAACAAAAACTTGCATTTATATAGTGGCCTTCACACAGAGTAGCTTCCCTGAGCGCTAGACGTAGAAAAAACAGGATAAACGTAAGGGATTCACTTTATCGGGATTTTATATTGTGGGGGAAAAAAAAGCAAAGGGCTTGGAGGATTCAAATCCTGTGCAATGGGAGGGAATGGGAAAGGTTCTATGCTGGAGTCAGAAATGGCCATTTAACTGGAGTCGAACATTTTTAAAAAACAAACAGCCTCCACCCTCCCCCGTTAAGAGTATTTGACCTTGAATAGAGGAAGAGACGGGAGAAATACTAACAAGGAAATAATGTTCAAGCTCCATCTTACCTTCCTCTTCTCATAGTCCATGAATTTACTCTGCAATTAGAAGAAAAATGCGTGAATGCAACTCCCTCCGCAGTTAAGCTTATGCCAGTGTTAGCCAACCCATGGCTTGCAGGCCGGGCCGTCAAGATGTGGCCCGCTGAACATTTGCACGGGTCTCGGTGGGTCTGTTTTCGATCAATGTTTTTCTCCCCCCCCGGTTCTTTCTGGGTGGCGTAAATCATGCAATATTCAATCAAAGAAATTTATTTTGTAACCTCCTCCGCTGACTTACGCCTCCTCACCTGCCACTGCGAGTCTTCCTGCTGCTGCTGGAGGAAGGCGCCGTTGGTCTCCATGGTGGAGCCGTCGCTCTCCAGCACGGACAGCAGGTACTGGGACGGGGGTATGTAGTCGATGCCGAGCTCTGCAGACAAAAAAAAACAGTGAGAGACTGAGCAGCTTAGGCTGAGCAGGGCCAAGCGTGTGAGTTGCCTGTTAATTCACAACAGTTCAGAAAGTGAAAAGGAGAGCACCCGTTCAACCATATCCCAAAGCAAGTCAACACTTTCAGACAACAATTCTATCCCTCGCACTCGATATCGTGCCCGTAACGTCCAAAAGCCTCCAATTGCTTCCCGAGTGTTACAGAGTATTCTGTGAAATGTGCATTTGGACTCTGGAACGCTCTCCCTCAATCCTTCCGCCTTGCCCCCTCTCTCCCCTTTTCAAGTCCCGCCTGAAGACCTTCATCTTCGACCGTGCTTACAGCCAGCTCCCTCCCCCTGGCCCGGAATCAGGCTCCGCCACTGTTAAGCGCTCTGAGACGCTACTCTGCTTGGAAGGTGCTATATAAGTGCAAGTTGTTCTTGTTGTTGCATTTGTAGACGAACCCAGCTAATTTGCAAACACCAATGACCTACAAATAACCATGAGGTGGATAACAACAACAACAAATTACATTTGTGTAGCACCTTTCACGTCGAGCAATTTATCTGGAAGATTGTTGACCAGGACACCAGGAGAAATTGCCTTCTCTTTCCAAAGAATGTCACAGGATCTTTAACATCCATCTGATCAAGCAGACAGGACCTTGGTTTAGTCTAAAGGACAGCACTTTCAGCAATGCACTGCTCCTCCCAGTAGAGTCAATCCAGATGAGCAGCGGCCAACCTTTAGGTCAGCCAATTTTTCTTTATTCATGTCCACACCATAAATAGCAGCTCAACAGTTACTGGAAACAAAATATTGACTTAACACAGACTTTGAGCTCTAAGCCCTGACATCGGGCTTGAACCCACAATCATCTGACCCCAGAAGCAAGGCTGCAATGGACGGAGCGAGGCTGATACCAAAGCACAAGACAAACATGCACTGAACACTCCTTGCATTTGATATTGCGACTTATCACATCATTGAGACATATCAAAGCGCTTCAACAACAACTTGCAGTTATATAGCTCCCTCCACGCGGGGCAGAATCTCAGCCCGCTTAACGATGGCAGAGCCTGAATGTATTACAGGATATACAGTATTGTAAAGTGAATCAACTGTATATCATGTGGGGAAAACACCAGGGTCAATTTTTCCACATCGCATACTGCCTCAGAGGAGGATTACAGCTTGGCTCTGGAATAAGAGAGAGCAGAATCGTTACAGAATGGGAGAGTACTCGTAAACTCCTGTTGCCGCTTACCTTGGCACAGGAACTGTTTGATTGCTTCCGTTCCACCTCTGCACACGCTGCTTGGAGGGTACACCATAATCTCTTCATCCAAACTGAGAGACTGCAGCGGGAGCCAGGAAAGAAGAGAGAAAACAAATATGCAGTCACTACACTCAGCAACAACCCACAGAAAAGTCAGTCTTAAGTTGATGGAATTAAACAAAAGGCTTGTACAGTATTAATGTCATTTCACCCACAAAATACACGGTCAATTCACTTGACAGTATATTCTGTGAAGTGCTTTGAGACGTCTCAAAGGCATGATAAAGCACTATATCAAAATGCAAGGATTATTATTTCAGCCCATGTTATCCCTACTGGATGCTGGACTTCATACATTATACCCACAGGGCTAAGATTTCAATTGAGGCAACTGTCAGACATTCATCAACTCAACACTATGAACGATTCACATTGTACAGTCTCGCTCAACACAGAACAAGCTTCAACCAGTAACAAGCTGCTCAGTGAGTGGCACCACATTCTCAGGCCGAGCAAGGGAGGGGGCAGAAACCGGGAAGGATTACCTCAAGTGTCCGGATGTGAGCCAGATCCTGTGGCAGCTGCTGGATTTGGTTGTGGCTGCAATCCAGGGTACGCAGGCTCTTCAGTCCACTCAGCAATTCAGGTAGCTTCTTGATTCGGTTTCCTGGGGGACGGGGGAGGGGAAAGGAATTGGATATTTATAACTAGCTTTAACAACAACAACAACAACAAGAGTACAATTGTTTCACGTCGGGAGGACATCCCAAGGCGCTGGACAGAGTGCAGCATTTAAGTGAACATTCAGTGCAGAAGTACTACAGGCCTCAGAGGAGAACCTGGGTTCAGCTCAGTTTGCAGTTGCTTTGTGGTGCTCTGTCCTTGAAGAGCGCCATACCCGATCCTCAGTGTTTGATGTCTTTCACAGCGTTGCACAATGGCAAACACCGACGGGCTGAAATTTTCCTGGCCAAAATATGTTGCACCTTTGGCGACGTGGGTTAACAGGCCAATGCACTAGGCATAAACCTGCCTGAAACTTCAGCCTACAAGCGCTCGGTGTTCCATTCCCTACCAACGAATCCCTTAATCGTGAGTGCAACAACAATAACAAGATTACATTTGTATAGCGCCTTTCACATCGGGAGGACGTCCCAAGGCACTTCACAGTGTACAGCATTTCAGACACGAGCTGGGGTCAGGGAGGAGAAGGGAAACATTCATCCAAAATTATCAATCTGAAAATCATTAAAGATTCTCTGTAGAATGTCTCCCAGTTGATGTTGTCCTGACTGTGTTAATGCCAAACTATATGTGGCATGGCTTCAAAATGACATCATGACATTGGCCAGTACTTGTATCCTGATTGTTTCCAGATCCAGAATTAAGTTTCTTTCCATCTGTACACACTCCTGTCAGGTTGAGGGTCCAATTTTAACTCTTACTGAAGACCAGAGGTTCTCCCTTTCTCATACCTCACACTGTTGCCGACTTCAGTCAGACGAAGCACTGAGAAAACGTTATGCTTTGCTGAAGCTAGACTAAATGCTTGTTCCACGTCTCTCTCTAACTCCCATCTCCTGATCCCAACCCCCAGCTTGGGTCCAGATCCCTAACTGTCCAGTACCTTGGGACGTGAAAGACTCCATACAAATGCAATTTTGGTGGTTGTTGTTATTGCCTGTGGAGGGAAGAGTTGGGAAGGCCAACAAGCAGGCCGTTTGCATAGTCGAGCCCGGAGGTGATGAAGGCACGAACGAGATTTTCAGCAGCCTGAGGGGTGAGGTAGTGGCGGAGTCGGGCGATGTTACAAAGAACTGTTTTTATAACCTGTAACTAGTGGATTCAGGGATTACGAGAGCAGGGTGCGCCCCGCCTAAAGAGAATATAATCACGTGATTCCAGACAAACAGTAATATCTGTACGTATCAGTAGTTCGGTTTGGAAATTCAAACGTTGCGATGGTTTTCCGTGTTACCCGATACCCAGCAGACCAAAAGACAGAGGATATTTGATAAACCAGCAAGACAACCTATTACAAACAACCCTCACCACAGACCCATTTCCAGGCAGTCGAATAATGGTTTGCATTTATACAGTGCCTCTCGTGAAACAAACATCTTGAAGCACTTTCCAGAATAAAATTGATTAAATACCAATGGATGTTTTAACAGTTTGCTTCTTGTGCTAGGCTGTAGGACCACACCCACACACCCTCCCATTCTTCTCTGGCACCCCAATCCAGCCTACAGATGAGCTGGCAGAGCAGAACAACAGTGGGGGGTGGAGGTCAGGAAAGAGAAAGAGTTGGCACTCAATTCCAAGCCCTTTGTTCAGTCTACACTTAGCACAATAACGATAATCATTCTTGCATCTGATATAGCGCTTTTCCCATTAGGATGTCTCAAAATGTTTCGCAGGCTTTCCAGTAATATATCGTAGCTACGTATTTTGTAAGAGAACATATCAATTTGCACACAGCAATATCCCACAAACAGCCATTAAGTGAATAAACAAATGTATCTGGAGAATTGTCAACCAGGACACTGGAAGAAATTTCCTTCTCTTTTCGAATGGCACCATGGGATCTTTAACTTCCACCTGAAAAGGCAGACGGGACCTTGCTTTAAGGACGATCCTCCAAAGTGCTACTCCAGCCCTGCACTGGAGCGTCAGCCTAGAGTTTGGGAGCTCAAAGTCTCATGGGGGGGGAGGAGGTCTATTTGGTCAGCTGAGTGTCATGCTTAATGGTAGTCAAACCAAACTGATAGTTCCATATACACAACCTACATGTGGAAATTTGTACGTCTGGAATGACAATGCCTTCCAGCATCTTTCAGCCCAACCCTCAGAGTTTCCACATCAGCTGTTCAATGGACACGTGCCTTCAGTATTGGGGCTTGAATCCACATCTTTCTGACTCAGGTGAGAATGCTAGAACCAGGCTCACTACTACGCTCACTACTTTAGTATTAAGCCTGCGATACAACAACTAACATTTATATATATATAGCACTTCAGTTAGGGTAATGCCTCAGAGGGCTTCACTAAGATGGGGTTGGACATCAAGCGAAGTAGAGGGGGAGATGGCTATAGTCGCATTGAAAAAGACAAGATTTGAGGTGCGACTTACAGAAAGAGAGTGGTGGAGGGAGGGAGGGAGGGAGATGATCAGAGAGATAAGGTGAATACCTTTGAGATTCAGTGTTTGAAGCTGATGCAGTGACCCGATGGAGTTGGGCAGGGATTTCAAATGGTTATTTTCCACCTGAAGGACCTGAAATTGAAATAACACATTGATACAATTAGAGGACTGACCAACAACACAGCAAGTACAATTCACTCTAAGTAATTTATTACTTCTAGTTACTGAGTAACTCTAAGAATGACACAAAATGCCATGTCCTTTAACTCAATACAAGGGATAAAGTGAAACGGTTCAAGGTGGGGAAAGAAGGGGCAGGTGGAAGTGAGGGAAGTAAAAATTAGGAGCAATATCACGAAAAAAGTGTGCCTTCCACCAGCTGTTTGTGGAGCAACAACAGACATGGGGCAAATCCAAGACAAAGCCATCCACCCTCTCCGTCAGGACCAGGAGAAAACACTCTCTCCCCACTACTCCAAACAAAGACCCAGTCAATGAAATTCCCTCTTAATCCAGTGGGAAAAAATGTAAAGCCCTGGCCTCCACTCTTTAAAACACTTTACCTGGAGAGATGACAGCTGACCCAGTTCCTCGGGAAGTGAACTTAGCTGGTTGTCGTGGAGATCTAAAATCTGGAAGAACAATAGAAAAATAACCTTCGGCGATATCCTTGCACTGTTTCAATTGGTAAGGAATCAACCCCTCCCTTCCTTCCTCTCCCTAACAGATCTCTCAAGAGCCTGTGGTTAGGCACCTCACTGTTCAGAATAAGTATTCTGAAATAATAACTGATAATAACTCTGCATTTACTACATCAATCGTCTCAAAGCACTTCAGAGGGAATTTCTGTGTGTTAGCGGGCAAATATTGCGGCCAATTTGTGCACAATGTCCCGCAAAGAGTCAGAAAGTGAATTGAGCCAGGGTGTGGGGGACATGACTATAAGCACCTGAAGATGGGGAAAGGAAGGGGCAAGGCACAGGGATTGAGGGAGTGTTCTATAGTGGCTGAAAGCGCAGTGGCTGAAAGCACGCCCGCTAATTGTAGAATGGAGGGCATGGGGGACAAGTAGGAGACTGGAGGCAGTGCAGCGGAGGCGATGGGTAGTGAATTGGAGAGTAAGTCAGTGGGAGAGGTAGGGAGGTGCCAGGGCATGAAGGGATTTGAAAACGAGCGTGAAGGTCTTGAAATCTAAGTCCTGACACAGGGCATGAAACCCACTACCATCTGATTATCCGCCTTAAAAAAGAAATCTTAACCTCAGCACAAAATACTGAGCTGCTTTTACCTTCACCATTGCCAGGTCCTGGATGTTGCTCAACTTTGGGACTAGTGTCGACAAGTAGTTGGTGTGAACGATCAAAACCTGGAAAGCAATATTTGGAATGTCAAGAGGCTCTGTAGGGAAGACTGACCATGTCCTTGTACAGTCACAGTGACCACATTCCACAAAACACTGGAAATACAACGTAAAGATACTGAGGTCTTTGAATCTAGGAACTGGGACGAAGCTTTAAAAGTAGCTGCACAAGTTGGGGTCACCCCCCTCTCTACTGGTAATAAGTGGCTGCATTGCGACAGGGACAAAATTGCCCAGAATTTGCCCCTTTCTTTAACTTGAAATTTCATTCTGTGAGAACAAAAATAGAGCATTGAGTCAGGCGGCAGAGCAGTGGAGTATTGAGGGGCCAGTCCGGGGGAGCTATAGTTACCGCATGGGAGATCTTACCTTCTTCTGTAAGACTTTAAATGTGGAGAAGACACCGGGTGGAATCTGATAAAAACAAGATTGAAAATAATTTTCGTTAAAGAACCAAATTGGTCAATTCTACTAAGAAATCTTCTGCAAACGAATCTATGAAAACGGTATCTTACTGTGTGACGTCACAATAGACAACAACCCCAGAACTATCACCCACTTCAGGCTCAAAATATAGACATATCAAGATAAGGAGGCCATTCACGCACTTGTGTTCCATTATCGAGTGCCAAGTGTGTAATGGGGTGCATTATCAACCTCTGGTTTCTATCCGCTCGTGGTACTGTGCTTAAGGAGTCATATTAAGGAATGTGTCAGGATGTGGGACAAGGTGAAATCATGGTCAAATCTTTACTCCCAACCCGTTCACAAGTAATAGATGTTAGATCTATCCTGATGTAGGAAAACTGTAACAATCTATATCTAAGTTGTCCCTCCCATGTACAGCTGCACCACTGACATAGGTTACCTCAGACAGTTCACACCTCGATATGTCCAGGATGTCATCCGCACCCGCTTCCCTGGTCTGTTACAAAGAGAAAGAGTCACTTTTTAAAATGCTACAAACAATAAGAAAGGTGTAGTTATTTCATAATGTGCTCAATGTACAAGGTTTCCAAACGGTTCCTCACAAACCAAACCTCATACCATAAAACTCGGCCAAGTTTTATCTTTATAAATAGTATAAACACCTAAATCGTACATTCACCCGAGTCCCATGTAGTTTCCCATCAAAACCCACTAGTTTCTTTACATAACTTGTATTACTCACCTCCTAACTTGTAACGCTATTCCCATACCCTCCATGACTCCCGCGCTTTACCGGAGGCCTTCAATCATGGGAAATTATTCCTGACCTGTCAATGTTGGGGTGGGCAGGGGGACATGGCGCAGGCCAGTGCCCGTCAAGAGGAGGAAGCGGGCAGGTTGGAAAGGTTTTAGGAGGTCGCAGAGGTAGAGAGGGGCAAGACCATAGAGGGCTTTAAAAGTGAAGACTTTAAGGATTTTAATCTCTATCTCTGGAGGATGGAGAGCCAATGGAGCCTGGCGAGCTCAGTTCATGGAGCTTGGTGCAGGAGGGGACACAAGCTGCAGTTCCGTATAATGCGCACCTTGTGGAGGGAAGAGTTCGGAAGTCCAGCAAAGCGAGGAGTTAGCATCATCAAGCTTGGACATGATGAAACCATTGATGAGGGTCTCAGTGGCAGAGACTGGCAATGTGCCTTGAATCAAGTATTCAATTCAGCTGTGCCTTGAATTTGATACTTGAATTTGATATTTGAATTTAATACCGTAACCTGCCAGCCCTGGTATCATCCTCGTAAACTTACACTGCACTCTTCCCATCCTATATTCCTCTTATACTGTAGAACTCTTTGCTTCTCCGCTGCTCCTCGACAGATTAGGTTCCTACCCACCACTAGACGGCTTCTTTGTTTTTCCCCTGACAAAGTGAATCACTTCGCATTTTCCTCTGTTAAATTTAATTTGCCAGCTGTGGTGTCTGCTCATTCTGCTCATCGGTCTCTTAAGTCTTCGATGATACGTTTAAGGGGTTTCTCAGTCACGGCGCCGAGGGATTTCTGAAGCGCACGCGTTTTGCGCCGTCATCCACGTTAACACCGTGGCGTTGCGCCAACGCGATTAACCTGTCCCCAGCGAGACCAAGCGTGGGAACAAGAAAACCACGGTCCCTTTAAACGACAAACTCAAACACAGTGTCAAAGTCACTTCTTGAGACAATTCACCGACAAGTCGTTTAGAGGGTACATCCTCCAAAGGGAAGTGTATCAAATGCAAGTCTGATGATGATGATGATGATGATGATGATTCAGCAAGCGCTGTGAGGCGCCTGTAAGGCGTGCAGTTCCCCCTCCCCCACCCACCCCGTTAACAAGATTATATCACGCCAAGGAATATCCTCACCGGGACCCCAGCTCGAAGGGTGAAGCTGTCGCGGCACAGACCGACCGACACTGGAGGCAGCGGGAGCGAGTGGAGAGGAAGAGGAGGGTGTAATTTAGGGGGGAGGGGAGGGGGAGATTTAGGGAAGCAGCAGGTTTCTCGATTCGGGCAGGAAAGTGAACCCGGTTGACCCCACCCAGACCGGGGCTGGACGGACACCGCGCCCCCGGCCGCCCCCTCCCCACCCCCAGCAGGCCCCTCCCCCCAGCAGGCCCCTCCCCCAGCAGGCCCCTCCCCCCAGCAGCCCCCTCCCCCAGCAGCAGGCCCCTCCCCCAGCAGGCCCCTCCCCCAGCAGGCCCCTCCCCAGCAGGCCCCTCCCCCAGCAGGCCCCTCCCCTCAGCAGGCCCCTCCCCCCAGCAGGCCCCTTTAACTCACCAGGCACATCTGATACTCCAGCCGCTTGCGCCCCTCTTCGCTCGGCTTCCTTCTCCGGGAAAAGAACATCATGTCGGTCGGGGCGGGGATGTGGGGGGGGCGGGGAAACCGTTACCTCACGGGGAGAGAGCGAGAGAACCAGCACCCGCGGTTCAACACACGCAACCCCCTCCCACCCTCCCAGGCCAGAGAGGGCGGCGGCGCGCGGCTGAACCAACTCCCCTCCCTCAACCTCTCCTCTCCTCACGGCCCGGCCCGGAGCGGCGGTTGCGGGCGGGCGGGCGGGGCGGGGTTTGGGCGGCAACGCCGACAAAACCTCGCAGCTCAGCTGCTCGAGCGCTGCTACCGAGCCACTTCCGGTTCTCCGGCTCCTCCTTCCTCCAAAGCCAAAGAGTGCGCGCGCGCGCGCGGCCGGACGGGCAAGAGGTGACCCTTCCTCGTTCGTTCGCCGCTCCTCCTCTTCCTCCTGATCTCCCCCTCTCGCCGCCATTGCTATCGCTCCTTACAATGGCCGACAGGCGCCGAGAGACGCCGAGTTAACGGCGGCGGGGATGAGCTCGACGTAAAGTCATCTTGTGGAAGGAATAGGCCGTTTTCTCCTTTGCGAGGGGGAGGGGGTTTCCGGGCGACGTTTTCCGTCAAAGCCGCTCCCCTCCCCTCTGTTGACGGTCCGCCTGCCCCGCACAAACATGGCGGCGGATCGGGCGCGATCTCGCGAGGTTCGGCGCTGGGGTACATAAGGCGGGGCTGGAAAGCCTCGCGCCCTCTCCGTTGGCAGCCGGTGAAGGTGCAGCTCGCCCCCTCCCTCGGTCGTCCCGAATCCGGGTTCATCCGACACCGACACCGCGCACCCCGTCCCGCCGCCGCCGCCCGCCCCCGCCGACATGCCTCCCAAGTTCGACCCCAACGAAATTAAGATCGGTGAGTAGCCGAGAGGCGGCGGCGGGCGGGCGGGTGGGGTGGGCCCGGCCCGAGGCCAGCGGGGGAAGCCGGGGCCTAAGCGTTAGGCTTCCGCCGAGGGGGGAAGAGAGCCGCTCGCTCGGCTGGTTTCGGCCTCGCCGGGGTGGAGCGCACGTGGTTGTCTGGGGTGGGGGGCGGAGGGAGGGAGGGAGGGGGTCCCTTCGAGGGCGACCGTATTGGTGCTGAAGACCAAATCCAGGGCCACGTTGTGCTCAAAGAGTTTAACGTGAATAAAACCGAACGACGACTCCCCGCAAAAGCCGGAACTGGACGGAGGAGTTCCGTCGGATTTAATGGCCGTGTGTGGCGGAGTCCGGTGGCTCAGCGGTTAGAGCACTCGCTTTGCAAGTGAGAGACCTGAGTTCAATTCCAGGCAGAGGGCGAAACCTTGGCCAAGTTTCCTTACTCCACACAGAGCCTAATAACAATCCCTCCAAAACCAAAACAATAATAAATTGATCATTTTCAATCCATGACTGTTTGTGGGACATTGCTGTGCGCAATTGGCTGCCGCGTTCGCCCACAAATATACAATCAATTCACTTTCTGTGTTCTGTGAAGTGCTTTGGGATGTCCTCCCGACGTGAAAAGCGCTATAACAAATGCAAGGATTATTATTATTCTGTCTGTGATGAGTGCTGTAGCGCGTCGCTTTTCTTGCTCAGTCCGTGGCTGAAATCCGGAGGGGTCGGTGTATGCGGTCACCCCCTTTTTCTCACGTCTTTAGCTCCTGTTTGGAGCAGAGGGGGGAGGGGAGCTCCAGGTTATCCCAAAACAAATGGGGAAACTGCATCACCTCTGTTTTGGGTTTAAAAAAAATATGGGGCATTCTTGGCCAGGACACCGGGAGAGATTCCCTTCCCTTATCGAGTAGTGCCAGAGGATGTTTAAGCCGAGCTCGACCTGGGACCTCAGTTTAATGTCTCATCCGAAGGATGGCACTTCAGGCAGCGCAGCACCCTTCCTCCACAACACTTAATTGGAGTGTGGGTCTCGACAATTATGAGTACTAAGTCCTAATGTGGGGATGGAAAAGAATGAATGCTTTTGCAATGGGTGCCCGTTGAGTGACAGGTGCTCAGCAAAGGATTCAGATAGGAGACTTCAATATTTTGAAGCAAAAATTGTTCAGAGTGAGTTCCATCAAAATTAAAGCATCCTCACATGAGTGAATCATATGGTACCTGGGTTCAGGTCCTATTCCAGAAGCTGCGATATGTGGAGCCGGTCAAATCTCCAGATTTGACCATCTGATGTCTGTTTTTTTAAGAAATGATTCATAGATTAAATCACTTTTTTATTCTTTTTAAACAACAGTTGGGAGCAATGGTCTAGTTTCAATCAAAATGTAACGCCTGGTCCCCAATGTTTGATGTGACATGCGGAACTTAATCCAGAACCAATGATTCATTCTTTTATCTTCTAAGCACAATACCAATATTTAAGCTACATCGGTCTTGCACTTTTAAGAATTTTAATTTCTAAACTAAATGCAAGACATACATTATTAATTGAACCTGTGTGGTTTGAGCAGTGCGACACTTGTTGCCGCATTTCGTCCACAAAATATACAGTCAGTACACTTTACAACGTATTCTGTGAAGCGCTTTGAGATGTCTCAACAATGTGCACAGATTATTACCCATTTGGAAGAATAACATTTCTGTTCTCTTCTGCCTGACATACACACACTTGCTACTCAACACAAAACACCATAGAACAAAACTGGGATTAGTAGGTATATGGCATGGCTAGTCCTTTGGTAAAGGAGTGAATCGATGGTGGAGATTTTGGATTGTCAGCTATACTGTTGAGTGCATTGGAACAATGTTGGCAGCTGGGTCTTTGGTGGTTCTAATGTTATTGTTTCTGTTCAGTGTTCCTCAGATGCACTGGAGGTGAAATTGGTGCCACTTCTGCATTGGCTCCCAAGATTGGCCCACTGGGTCTGGTGAGAAGCTATTCTTTTCTTCACAAATTCTTCAGGATGTTTCTAAAGGTTCTTCTATTTTTTTAAAAAACAGAAAAACTTCTTTCTCCGTTTAGTCTCCCAAGAAGGTTGGTGATGATATTGCCAAGGCAACAGGTGACTGGAAAGGGCTGAGGATCACCATCAAGCTGACTATCCAGAACCGACAGGCCCAGGTACGTGACTGTTTCAAATGTGTTCTCATGCTGTGTAAACGGCCGCTGGGAATGCAGTGGGGGTGTTAAAAGGCTATTGACTGGTGGTAGAGCAGCATTGTTGGACAGCACACAACTAAGCATTAACTGCTGTGTGTTCCATTGGGTTTAACTTGATCCATGTGGTTTCAAATGGAGAGTTTATATTTTGCTCTTTGCACTAATTGTTGGTGTGATGAGTGCAACATAATCCCTTGAATGATTTTAGCTGAACAGGTTCAGTCATAAAGTACTCGTTTTCACTGGCGTTTGTATGAAATGCCTTTACAGAACTGGATTGCTCTATCTCACTGTCTGGGGTTTAAAGAGCCTGCCTTAACACTCGCTTCTTTGACCACGCTTTCAGTCATCTCTTCCCTTCCCACCCTCTTCAGGGCCCACTCCAAGTTCAGGTGCCCAGCCAGAAGTATGAAGTGCTTTGTGATGCTTTCCAGGTGTGAAAGGCGCTGTATAAATGTAAATTGTATTGTACAGCAGCACCAATTCATTAGATTACTGATGGGGAGAGGTTGGCAGGTAAATGTGCTGATGGGGCCTAATATGAGATGCTGGCTAAGTAATAGCACTAGTCAGTGCAACTTTGGGCTGAAATTGGGGGTGGGAGGAGCGAGCAATCACAGGTGAGTGATCAGAGAAAGGTGCTTTGAAAAATATTCCTCCGGGACAAGTAATTGAGATAATCTATTTTGGCTCAGAGAAGTGATGCATGCAACTTGCAAGTCATTCTGTGTGACTCTGACTTAACTGTGCAATTCTAATTAGATTGGAACCACATTACGTCTCACTTTATTGAGCACTTGTTTTTTACTTTCATTGGGACTATAGCGTGGCCTTTGTTCTTGCAGTATTTGAGGAAACTTGCCTCGTTGGTAGGGCTCTGTATATATTGATCCTACAGTTATAGCATTTTGTGAACTAAATGTACATTTACATTTACATGGCTGTGTAAATGGCTCCTGTACTGCTCTACTGGATCACTGGGTATTATTTTGCACTTGAGCTACTTATCTTACACAATGGTTGTTTTCCAGATTGAGGTTGTCCCATCAGCGTCTGCTCTGATCATCAAAGCCCTAAAGGAACCACCCCGCGACAGGAAGAAGCAGAAGAACAGTAAGCAATAATAATACTTGCATCTGATATAATGCATTATCACCTCGTTGAGACATCTCAAAACACTTCACAGAATAAAGTGTAAAGTGAATCGACTTGTATATTTTGCGGGTGAAACGCAGCAGCAAATTGCGCACAGCAGTGTCCCAATACAATCGTGGATTTTTTTTAGAAAGGGATTAGTTCCCCTGGAAAGCGATTCGCCAATTAACTAACAACCAGGTTCCTACATACTGCTAGGTAAACAGAAGCATATGGAGTAAGGAAACCTGCTTAAGGTTTCGTCCCACCCATGAATCAAACCCGAGTCCTTCTGCTTGCTAGGCAAGCGCGCTAACCATTATGCTACAGGACTCCATAAATGTTCCATATCCACTGGCTCCTTCCCTCTTATAAATCCTTGCCTGAGGCACTGCACGAATTATAATGCACTGAGACAGGGAATGCAGTACAAAGCTGAGAATGAATCGAATCTAGGGACTGAGCCATTGGGGGAAATTCAGTTCACTAGGAAAACTGACTAAATAAGAGGGCTTTCATGAGTGATATTTAATAACCCTTTATTTTTGTTCTCCAGTTAAGCACAGCGGTAGTATCACCTTTGACGAAGTGGTTGGCATAGCCCGTGTGATGAAACATCGCTCTTTGGCCAGGGAGCTTTCAGGTGAGTTATCAACATTCTTTGGTCTTGAGTTTACTGTCCTTTTCCTCCCTCTCTTTCCTGATGCTTTGGTTACATCTCTGAGGTCACCTCAGGCTCCTTGACTTAAGTGGCTATTATTGTCAGTGTTTGCCCCACAAGGTGTCACAACCGGACTTGATCAGAAGCTATTACTAATTTATTTGTCTCCCCTAACCTGATTTACTGGGCCCAATATTCCAGCATTCTTATCCTGCACCAGCACAGATGAGGATTGAACCTACAATCTTAGTCTTTGTGTGGGAATGCTCATCATCTAGTTTTAATATGGTGAAACCCTGTTACGTCACTGGTTCATTTGTAATGCGAATGGTTTGAGTACCCTGAAATTTCCTTACCTTACAATTGCTGAAAACGTGCTGTATTGACACTTTGAAGCTCAGCAACGTGAAGACGCCAGCTGGGTTTCTGTGCGCAAAATCAAAGCGACGTCATCTGCGATTGCACCTATTCGGCACATCAAATCTCCACTGGCTCTCGGAGCAAGGTGTTCATTCAATCTGCATCAAGACTTTCACATACCTCTCTTGTAACCCTATCCATACCACCATTCCATGTCCTAACAAACCTTGAGAAACCCCCCCCCCCCCCCCTGTGGTGTTGGCTCTACTGTATTTACTGTGAAATGGGGACAAAGTATTCATTCTGTGACTATAATTGCAGGGACCATAAAGGAAATCCTGGGAACAGCTCAGTCCGTTGGCTGCACCATTGATGGGAAACACCCTCACGATGTCATCGATGAAATCAATGACGGTACAATGGAGTGTCCCACAGTAAGTAGTTAATGGTTGTGTGGAGTTTAAGTTTTCTTGTGCAATCAGTTTACTTTGCATGGTCATTATTTTACATGTTTTTTTTTCTTCCACCAGGAATAAAGAGGCGACAACATGGAACAGAATATAAATAAATTGTTTCAAGGAATGATCCTGTTGGTTTGGGCTCTTTTTGTGGGGAGAAAATATTAAAGGTTTCTTTGCCTCACTTTAAAGATGTGTTGGAAGAACGAAAGTGGGTCAGTGCAGTTCAAGGGGAGTCCTGCATTGTCAAGAGATGGCATCCTTCAGAAGATACCAGGTCTTGTCTGCCTCTTCATGTGGATGTTGAAGAACCCGACACAATTTGAAAATAGAAGGGAGTTCCTCCTGTTGTCTGTCCTGACAAACAATTTTCCAGTTAAATTGTCCATTTACCTCCTGGCTGGCTGTAGATATTGCTGTGAAAATTGCCTGCTATATTTACTTACAGAAATCCCTGAAGTCATAGCACTGTTATTTTAGTACACCTTTCATAGGAACCGGATTCAGTCCCTCAAGCCTGTTCTATTAAATTCTATTAAATCAGGGCTGATCTTTACTTACTCGCCTTTTCTCCATATCCCTTACCTAACAAATATCTATCGACCGCAGACTTGAAAATTTCAATTGACTCACCATCCACAGCCTTTAGGGGGAGAGTTCAAGGATTATTAGATTGAAGCTCCTAATATTTGTAATGGCCTAACAACAAATTGCATTTATTTACATAATTCCTTTTGCGGCAGGCAGACCATAATTTAAACCATTGCCTGACCTTTCAGCATTAATGTTTGTCTCAAACACAATATAACTGTTCAGCTTCGCTAGTCTGAAATTCTATGGGGCAGTTCCATGAATTTAAAAATGTTTTATTTGTCCTTTTGAAAATGTTAAAAACTTAATTTTTTTTTACAAAATGATCAGAAAGATTTAACAAAATAGAAAAGGTTTTACCTTCAAACTATACATTGGTACAGAACCAGTGAAGTAACAAGCTATGAGGTGGGCTTGAACAATCCATGGGACCACGACTTAAGTCGCCGGGTGATATTTGTCAGGTGCTTCAGTTCTCCACATCCTCTTCCTCATTCTCCAGTTCCTTTGGATCATCATCTTCCACAACTTTCCCTTCATTGTCTTCCTCAGTTTCCTCTTCCCTGCTCTTGTCTGGTTCTTCGTTTTCTGACTTCTTATCCCTCTTACGAAGTTCAGAAGCTTCCTTCTTTCCTTTCTGGTCTCGCTTGAAGGCTAGTGGGGGTTAGCACATTTCTGAATCACTCTCTGAGATAAGCTCAGGTTCCTACACACCAGTTCTCTATAATGGGGCACATATATGTCAACATCAAGCATGTGCAAGGTAGATCTAAAGCATAGAACCATAGAAATTTACAGCACAGAAAAGGTTATTTGGCCCATCGGGTCTGTGCTGGCTCTTTTAAAAGCATTCCTTTCAATCCCATTTACCTGCCCTTTCCCCACACCCCTGTGGTTGACTCCTTTTTATGTATTTATCTAGTTCCCTTTTGAAAGCTAATATGGATTCTGCCTCAACCACTGAGGCACTAACAGTGTTACTCTATTACCTAAGCAACGCATTTGGTGCTCAAGTGGCAATCGTTCAGCTGGAGGTCAAAATTCCACATTGGTGCAGATATGCATTGTTGGGCATAGAAGAGACTAAATTCTGCACTTGTTAGGTCACTTGATAGGACAATGAAATGAGAGCTTTACTGCACCCAATCCATACATGATTTGACCTGCAAGTACTCAGTGTCTGAAAACAAGGAAGTTTTATTTCAGTGTAAACTTTCCTTGAGCACCAAAAATTACAATAAAAAAAGGAGCGGGTCAATTAGAGGGCGTTTGATCCACCCCAAGGTAATGTTTAATCTAGACTGAAGGACTGCCCTAAAGCAAGAAGGAAAATATTAAAGCTTTGTTCTCAAAGAACTGCTTTAACTCATGGTTTCCAGTACATCTTACAGCTCCTGCTGAGACAGTGCCCTTGATGATGTGAACAGCAACTCACCTTCCAAAGCATCCTTTAGAGGAGTTATGAATCGTTCAAACTCCATCTCTTCCATTGCTGCGAGCACATCAGTGGCATTCAGTGTTTTCCTCTTGCTCTTCATTGCAAAGTTATTGGCACTGGGAAGAGAGATGGCCTTTAATATACCGCAGTGTAATCATAACTAGGCAACATATTGACATTCCTGTGCTGTTCTGCAACCTGACTAATAACTTTCATAGCTTTAAAAACATTTTTTTTCTTTACCTTGGCAGCAGGCAAAGAATGGAGAGAAAGTGAATAAAGGGGGCTGGAGTCTGTGTAGATGAGTCAACGGTGGGCAAGAGCCTAAAAATATGTGCTTGTGAGAATGATTCATCAATTTTCTTTTGATCAGCTGTTCTTCATGTGGTCTTGACACATGCAAAATCCATCACTATGCATAAAGAGTATTCAAACCAGACAAGAGTTCAAACTTATTCCATCTACACATGGAAATTCCTGTGTCACCAATTGTATAATGTTAAACATCAGGAGAAACTTCTTTCTCTCTGAGTAGCGCCATGGGATCTTTAACATCACCTGAACAGGCACACAAGACCTCAGTTTAACGTCTCATCCAAAGGACAGAACCTCAGTGCAAGTTTCAGCTTAGACTGAGTTCAAAGTACAAGTGGTAGGCCAGGAGTGTGACATTTGCTGCTAAGTGTGACTAATTGAATAGGTTTACAATGTGGATCCCTACCAGTAATTTTAAGCCTGTATCATCACAGTCAAAACACATTAGCTCCAGAAAACATTTTGTCTCAGTGAGTGAGATTGGTGTGATTTAGGGCAATGCTGCTGTCACAGATGGAGCTATTAGTGCCAGTCACAGCTTCAATACACCAGCACTCCCTCACTTAACTCTCCACAAAAACTCCAGGTGAGAAGGGGCGCTAGAACTGAGCTGAGCGTCAAACAGGTAGAGCTCAGTTCCTTACCAGGAGGTTGCATAGAGAACGAAGACACTGGCTGCTCGGGATATTGCGCTGCGAGCTTCCTTTGAGACGTTCACTCCTTCTGGGAGCTGAAATAAAGCAGAGAGCTAGTTAACCGCACTATTTGGGAACAGCTTCATGGTGAATACAGAAATGGTGCGGATAATGGGTCGTCATGTAAAAACTGTTATAGCGCAAACAAAAACTTCTTCCCTCAAGAGTTATACTGTCATAGTACATGTCTGTAGTGCCACACAGTGCCAGTCCTCTCTCTCATACATTTATACAGTATATTTACACATCAGGCTCTTTCCCCAAGCTTGGCATTGCTTTAACACTGCTTATATATTTGCTCGTAACCTCTGTTATTGTGTTCAGCTGTGGTGATGTCCTGCACAATGCCTTTCAACAACAACAGCAAAATACACGGTCAGTTCACTTTAACAGTATATTCTGTGAAGCCCTTGACACGTCTCGAAGACATGATAAGGCGCTATATCAAATGCAAGTATGATTATTAATTACGTTTGTATAGTGGCTTTCAAGTTAGACGGACGTCCCAAGCTGCTGGACAGTCAAGGAATTGGACCCGAGATGGGGGTTGGGATCAGGAGGGGTGGAAGGCAGGGAGGGAGGAAGGTTAGGGTTCCCCCATTTTTTGCCTTGGTTTGAAACAAGTATTATAGTGCCTAAGTTAATACTCTAATGCTGTGCTGGGGATGTGTGCATTGTTCTTCGGATGAGACATTAAACTGAGGCCACATCTGCCTGTTCAGATTGATATTAAAGATCCCATGGCACTATTCGAAAATAAATTTTCTCTCTCCCGGTATCCTGGTCAACAATCCCTTGTTGACTCACATTGGTCACTCACTCCAAAGCTGTTTGCGATTATTGCTGTGTGCAACTGACTGCCGCGTTTCGCCCACAAAATACAGTCAAACCAATTCACATATCCTGTGAAAAGCTTTGGGATGTCTCAACGATGTGATATTAAATGCAAAAATTATTATTATAGTAACATATCCATATACTCACCGCTTCTTTGATGATCCGGGTAACGACTGCGTTCGGCAAATTTAAATCCTCTGGCCTCTCTGCCATCTTCCTCACCTAAACCACCAACGCAGAAACCACCATCAAAAACATCCCAATCATAGAGAGCGGCTAACTGAGAACTCCTCATGATAACACACCTCAGGCAAACCTCCTCCTTCCCCCCCCACGTATTTTAAACTCCTGAAAATCTACTCTTTGTCCTTGCCAACGGTCACCTCCCTCCCCTCCCCCACTCTGTAAAAGCTCTTTGAGACATAACAACAAAATATTGAATTTATAGATTAAATTAAATTTAAAATTATCCCAAGGTGCTGGATTAGTCAAGGATTTGGACCCAAACAGCATCTGAATAAATATAACCCAACGTGAAAGCGGCTGTGTAAATGCAATATAGTCACATTACAACAACAACAACTGGCATTTATGTAGCGCCCCTCAAGCACGGGAGCGTCTCAGAGCGCTTGACCCGACCTTAACCAGTGTTGGTGTGTCTGTGGCACATATCACTGAACTGGTTAGTTGTAGGATCCCAGGATCAAGCAAATAAAAATGCACTTTCACCTCCAATACCCCTTCCCGCCCTCCATGGACACCCAACACCCCCTCCCTCCCTCCATGGACAACCAACACCCCCTCCCTCCCTCCATGGACAACCAACACCCCCTCCCTCCCTCCATGGACAACCAACACCCCCTCCCTCCCTCCATGGACAACCAACACCCCCTCCCTCCCTCCATGGACACCCAACACCCCTCCCTCCCTCCATGGACACCCAACACCCCTCCCTCCCTCCATGGACACCCAACACCCCCTCCCTCCCTCCATGGACACCAACACCCCTCCCTCCTCCATGGACACCCAACACCCCTCCCTCCCTCCATGGACACCCAACACCCCCTCCCTCCCTGGGTCACCCAACACCCCTTCCCTCCCTCCATGGACACCCAACACCCCCTCCCTCCCTCCATGGACACCCAACACCCCCTCCCTCCCTCCATGGACACCCAACAGCCCCTCCCTCCCTCCATGGACACCCAACAGCCCCTCCCTCCCTCCATGGACACCCAACAGCCCCTCCCTCCCTCCATGGACACCCAACAGCCCCCCTCCCTCCATGGACACCCAACACCCCTCCCTCCCTCCATGGACACCCAACAGCCCCTCCCTCCCTCCATGGACACCCAACAGCCCCTCCCTCCCTCCATGGACACCCAACAGCCCCTCCCTCCCTCCATGGACACCCACCACCCCCTCCCTCTCTGGGGTCGCCACCACCCCCTCCATTTCTCTCTCCCTCCCTCCCTCCCTCCCCAGGACACCCCCTCCCGCGGCATATTGTTTGGCCGCTTCACTCGCAGATGGACCGACCCGGGGACTCGCTACTCCGGGTGGTGGTGGGTGAGGGGGGGGTTGAGGGGCAGTGAGTGAATCTCCCGCCTCTCACACACTCACCCGATCCGGCGTTGACCCTTCACCTCTCACCTCCGCGCATGCGCGCTTGCTGCCGCCTCCCTGTGACATCACCGAGTCGGGCCCTTTCTCGCCCAATTGGGCGGGTTCACGCCCAATTGGGCGACTTCTTGTTCTCCAGGGTCTTCACAAAGCCCTGTTATCCCCCCACACCCCCCACCCCCACCCCCCACCTCGCGCGTGTTTTTTTTTCTTACAATTCATTTTTATTTTCTGTTGCACAGATGAGTCGAGGCGCGACGCCTGATTGTGAACTTCCTCGTCCCTCACTCCATCCATCCGTGTTACTGAAGATGTGGGGCATCGAACATGGCAACGGATCATTATCTGTCATGAAAATGATGGCGCTCTCTCTCTCGCGCGCACACCCACACGCACCGAATCATCCTCTGAACGTCTAAATTCAGTTAAACACTTCTACTGAATACAATTAAGTACTTCTAAATGCAACTAACATCATCCTCGGGAAAAGCGATCCACCAAACGACTAACAACTGGGTTCCCTCTTACTGCTGGGTAAGCAGAGGCGTGTGGAGTTAGGAAACTTGCCCAATGTTCTGCCCTTCTCAGGTCCTCTCGCTTGCGAGGCGAGTGCTCTAACCACGAAGCTACAGGACTCCACAAAGGGCACACACTGCTTTCCTAATTCATTAAAGTATAGGGCCTTTCACGTCAGGAGGATATCTCAAATTGTTTCACAGGATGACTACAAATTGTAGAATATGCATTGTAGCACTTTTTACTGTAAAGTGCAGTGACTTAGTGTAGTGCTTCCGATAACTGATAGCTCCATGCACACCTACACATGGAAATTCCAGAGATGTTTATTGGAACGCAATACCACTCTCTCATTGAAGGGCACATCCTGCTTACTTAATTAATTAAAGTATTAGGCGTAGATTGACAAGAGGCAAGGCTTGGGGAGACTAGAGCATGTGCTGTGGTAACTGCTGGATCTCATCATCTAAAACCACATAGCTTGCCATTGAGAGCACTGTCTGGCAAGCTTTCTCGCTGCTTGTCCTACACATTAGGGCTTTGGCTTGCAGCGTTAACAGGAGCTAAGTGGAAGGATTCACCTTCACAAGTTTCACCAAGGAACAATTTATTGATGCAGGGGAGGAGAGAGAAGGGGTGGGAGAAAAGAAAGTTAGGAAGGCAGCACGAAATTATGATTTGTCATATTATAGGAGGGGGGGAGCCCCCGCTTACTGTACAAGATAAACATTTTAATTAATATTGTCAATATAACAAATGAGCAGAACAGTCAGAATTTTACTCAGGGAGAGTTTCAGGTGGCGAAGAGGGGATGAAGGAGATGGGAGTGGTGGTCAATCGCAAGTTCTTGGCTAGGACTGAGCCCAGAGGTGAAGGTGGTGGTGCCATTGGAATTTCTTCCTGCTCTTCAATTGGAATGCTCAGGCCGAATGACTTATTTTCACTCCTGAACAAGTTTGGAGATACCCTGCTGCTCGTGACTTCAGAGGTTTCGCCACTCTTGACAGGTGTGAAGCTGCGAGTCACCCTTCTGCTCAGCGTGAACTTTGGAGTTGTCCGTTCGCTCTCACTGCTCATTTCCTCCACGCCAAGCGTAGCACTACTCTGGAAGTAATGGTTTAAAAACAATCCTTTGTCTTCAAACACACTGTCTGTTGGCTCCAAGGGGATTTCAGGTGTAGTCAGTTTGCTTTCAAAATACCCTGAGTGACAGTAAAACAGATTCAGAATAGCACATCAGGGAAAACTCTGAAAAGAGTGAAAACTCTACATCTCTTTACTGCCTCATCCCATATTAACGCAGTTTTGCCAACTGGGGGAATCCAGAACAAGGGGCCATAATCTTAAAACTAGAGCTAGGCCATTCAGGAGTAAAATCAGGAAGCATTTTTTCACACAAATGGTAGTGGAAATCTGGAATTCTCTCCCCCAAAAGGCTGCGGATGTTGGATCAATTGAAATTTGCAAGACTGAGGTCGATAGGTATTTGTTAGGTCAGGGTATCAATCAAGGGATATGGAGCATAGGCATGTAAATGCAGTTGAGGTACCGATCAGCCATGGACTAATAGAATGGTGGAATAGGCTCAAGGGTCTACTCCTGCCTCCCATGTTCCTACAGATGAAGTAGGAACCTATAGTTAGTGGTTAGAGCTTCACAAGTGAGAGGATCCGGTTCAATTCCCGGGCGGGGTAGAACCTTAAGCAGGTTCCTTTACTCCACATGCCTCTGTTTACCTAGCAGTAAGTTTCTTAGTCGATTGACAGAATGCTTTCTGGGGGTAATAATTCCTCTATTAAAAAAAAATTTGGTGACTCAATCCACGACTGTTTTGGGAGGACACTGGAGGTGCAATTGGCTGTCCACAAAATACACATTCAATTCGCTTTACAATATATTCTGTGAAGCGATTTGAGTCGTCTCGATGATGTGATCAGGCCCTACATCAAAATGCAAGGATTATTATTATATTATTATTATTCAGAAACATTACTCACCCTCCTCATCATCCTCATTCAGGGAGCTGCTGGTTGTGTTCTTGAGTGTTTCCTGTGACTCACTGTCCCTCTGTTTGGAAGCCGTTTTACCTGCCGTTGCAGGTTCTGAATCCTGAATGGAAATAACAAGAGGGAGCAATGTGCGTTCATCCTCTCATCTCAGGCACAGCGAGCATCATGTTTCATTTCCCCTCCTGAAGTTTGGGACTTGTGTTGCGGTGGGGTGGGGTGGTCGATGAGCGTTACTCTGCCCAGTGATAGCAATGGGGTATCTCTTTGTCTCGTCATACAACCACCTGGTCAGTGAGGGTCCAACCATTGGGACCTGACTGAAATAAGTCCAATCTTCTTGCCACACTTCCATTGGGGGGTGGGGTAATCGCTTGATAGGAATTAGGAGCAGACACTTGGGACTATGTATCCCTCTCCTCCTATTACACCTCAAAGGAGCTAAACACAAATCTTGTCTACCCCTCCCTTTTTCACACGGAGGATAGCAGAAATCTGGAATTCTCTCCCCTAAACAGCTGTGGATCAATTGAAATTATGAAGACTGAGTGGATACATTTTTGTTATGTCAGGGTATCAAGGGATATGGGACAAAGGCGGGTAAATAGAGTTGAGGTACAGATCAGCGAGGATCTAATAAACTGACGGAACAGGCTTGATGGGCTGAATGGCCTTCTCCTATGTTCCTATGAATGGCCTTTGGTCATTACATGCTTTCTCATATTCTCATCAGTTTGAGCTCTCTGGGGTTCAAAAGCCAGAGATGGGGGCATTAGAACTGAAATAGTATAATGTGAATACTGAGGTGATTAGCAACGAAATAATGGAATTGAGTCGAAACTTCGTGTTGGTCTCTATAGTCCAGTCTCTGAGCCAGGTGGGTCTGCAGTATTCCAAGGCACACGGTGATTAGAAACCAACCAGCCTGGCTTATCGGCAGCACCTGCATGGGCAACCTAGTCACTTGGGACAAGGATTCTTCTGACTTGGCTCCTCTTAATCCTTACCGCTGGACAAGCAGCTGGAGCCACACGCTATTTTCAATGGGAAACAATGCAGTTTTAGCTGGTTCAACACCAGCAGTTGAGTTACCTCAACGCACAGTCTGGAGGTGCCTAAGCCTTGGCTGCCTGTCTAATGCTCTCCAGAATTAGGTAAGCAGCGTGTGTCCTTCCAGGAAGAGAGTGCACGTTCTATCCCAGACACGCGTTCACCAGTATGCACACATCCCCACCCTCCCCACGAGAACAGAGTTCACCAGTACAGTAATGGTTGGCTTGGTGGAGTTCCCAGACTGAGTGGCTAAGGCCAGAGATTCTTTTTCCTCGGTGACCTGTTCTGTGGTGGTGACCTGGACCAGCAATCCCTCGTCTCCTGCAGACACACACACACACACACACACAGGAGACACAGGTATTTTAGGGGCTCTTCATTATAAGCAACTCACCCAGAACTCCGCCACCCGCACCAAACCTCTCTGATGTCCTTACACACCATTCCACCTGTCCCATTCGCTCAACCGATGATGGCCTTCTACACGTCCCTCGTCCCCTCTGCCCCACCATCAACAGCCATGCTTTCTGCCACTACGCCCCAAAACTCTGGAGCTCTCATGCCTCAATCCCTCCACCTTGCCCGTCTTCAGATCGCATCTGGATTGCATCTAAAGACTTTCCTCTTTGACCATTCCTATGGTCACCTCCCCTCTCTCCCCTGCTCAGCGTCAAGCTCCGCTGCTGTTAAGCTCCCAGGTTCCTGGCCAACAATACCCAAGATAAAGTTGATCATTCACTTCAGGGCTGTTTGTGGCAGATTGCTGTGTTCAAATTGGCTGACGGGTTCAGCCACAAAATACAGTTACTACCATAAATAACTCGCGGGTCCCATTCTCCCTTATTGGCTGCCCTCGTGTCTCTTGGCACAACACTACGCTTTATAGTAAATCCTATAACTTGCTCTGAGATGTCTCGACGGCGAGATGAGGCACTGTATCAAGTACAAGGATTGCAATTCCTGTATTGGGCGAAAGGCACTTCCATGAGTGAGTGCACGTAATTGTACACCTGTCCACTGGCTAGCGCCACTGAGTGAAATAAGGTGCGTCCACCTCCCTCAGGGGAGATGACCGGAACAGACGTAATAAATAATAATAATCCTTGCATTTGATACAGCACCTTATCACTTGGTCAGATTCCCTGACTCTGAGATCAACTGAATGCAGCAAAATGACACGAAATCATGGCCGAGAACCCACGTCCTCTGTGTCCATCACCGAGTCTCACACTCTTGCTGCCCGCAGTTTGTACATGAAACGTCTTTCTGATGAGACGTTAAACCGAGGTGCCGCTGGCTGTTCAGGTGGACGTCAGCGATCCCATGACACTATTCGAAAAGAGGAGGGAGTTTCCCCCCCAAAAAAAGAATTGGTCGCTCACTCCAGTCGATTGCTTTCCGGGGGTAATAATCCCTCAAATAAAAATGTGGTCACTCAATCCACGACTGTTTTGTGGGACACTGCAGTCCACAATTGGCTGCCGCATTTCATCCTCAAAAAATACAGTCAATTTACTTTACAGTATGTCCTGTGAAGCGCTTTGAGACGGCTTGACCACATGGTAAGGTGCTATATCAAATGCAAGGATTATTATTATTATTTAAACCTGCAGCAGGGAGGCGAGGAGAGAAGATTGAGAGATTACCAGCGGCTAAACCTTTCTCCAGGTTCTTCTGGAGTTCGTCACAGCCCATCACCACCGGGGGACAGAACTGCAGATTCTCAGGCCACGCAATCGATGAGGACTCCTTCTGGGAAGATTCTTCTTCGGCTAAATATGAGAGAGACAAATTCTGTTCATTTGACTTGTAGAGTTTTAGAAACATCTCCCCCTGCTCCTCCCCCCCCCCACTCCCCCAAGTCGTCCAGGGCATCACCATCCCTTCCCACACCTTGTCCATTCCAGTGAAATAAATAAGAAGAGGGAGGGCGTCCTGCAAATCACTAAATCACTACTCCCTGGTTAACACACAAAGTTCCTAGACAGGGCGAAACCTTAGTTTCCTTACTCCGCACGCCTCTGTTTACCTAGCAGTAAGTAGGAACCTGATTGTTAGTCGATTGGTGGATCGCTTTCCAGGGGTGAAAATCCCTCCAGTGAATAAATAACTAAACTGGTCACTCAATCCACGACTGGATTTGTGGGACACCACCGAGCGCAATTGACTGCCGCGTTTTGCCTACAAAATACACAGTCACGTCACTTTACAGTATGCGCTGTGAAGCACTTTGAGACATCTCAACGCCACGATAAGGCGCTATATCAAATGCAAGGATTATTATTATTATTATAAGTGCCGAGCAGAAGAGGGGCTGGGGGAGCAGGGGAGGGGGCTGCAGTTACCAGGTGCCTCTTTGCAGGGCTTGGGACCATGTTTCTGTATGTACTTCTTCCAGAGGTAGGGCTGCTTCTTCATCCTCTCATGGTCAATGGTGTCCTGCTTCCCGACCTGTAAGTAATGAAAGAAAGGCTGTCCTTCTCCCGCTGAATCCACCCACCAGAATACCTGAAGGCTTGCCTGCCCAGGGCTCCTGCTCTCCACCCTGGAATCCCTCCCACTTGGCCCCTCTCCCCCCCAACTTTCAAAGCCCACGACTAACCTCATTGACCCACATGCAAACGGTACTCGACTCCAAACCGGCTCAGCTGCCCAGCCAGCTGTGTAACGTCGCAGGAGGATAGTCACTGTTGAGATCATACCTCAACCAATTAATAACTTGAGGAGCAGGGGCTCAAATATGGAGAACGAGTGGGGAGGGGGGTCCCAAATTCATGGCCACGTTACTATGACACCGCCATCTTACCTTCTCATCCATTCTGTAAGCACCTTTGTAGGTTAGAGCACAGGTGATGTGCTGCTGCTTCTCCTTGATGCTGTGCAGGGTGACTCTGGTGTGGGTGGGAGCGAGCAAGATCGGAACCGCCGGCTCCGGCGTAGAGACAGGAACTGCAGCTGCGCATGTTGAAGGCTCTGGTGGGAGCAAATCTGTTGGGCTTTTGCCCGACACGCGTCCACTCAGCGGCAAACTAGCATGACAGGAAGGGAAAGAACATCGACGGTCGTGAAGGCTCAAGTACAACAACAACAACCTGCATTTATATAGCAACAACAACAACAATAAAATCACATTTATAAAGTGCCTTTCACGTCGGGAGGACGTCCCAAAGTGCTGAACAGTTAGGTATATAAACATAAAATAACATCTCTCTTGTTTGGGCAAAACCCATTCAAACACCCTGACTCGGCCCATCAACAGGACTTCGAAAGGCAATGGGATCTTCCCTCTCAGCTCCTGTTAACCCTGCAGACCAAAGCCCTACTGGCTAGGGTGGTCCTAGTTGGACAGGCAGCGGGAAGCTTGCTAGAAGTGCTCTCTTGTGGCAAGCTATGCAGTTAGACTCCAGCAGTTATCCCAACTATTGTCTCTTTCCAAACTGTGGCTCATATTCTTTGGGATTAGGTAAACAGGATATGTCCCTCCGGAGAGAGAGTGAGTTCCATTTCAATACACAGGAATTACATGAATAGTAATCCTTGCGTTTGATATAGCGCCTTATCACCTCGTTGAGACGTCTCAAAGCGCTTCTCAGAATATATTGTAAAGTGGATTGACTGTGTATTTTATGGCGAAACTCAGCAGCCAATTGTGCACAGCAGCGACTCACAAACAGTCGTGGATTGAGTGAGTTTTTTTTGTAGGGATTCTTACCTCCGGAAAGCGATCTGCCAATCGACTAACTGAGTTCTTTACTAACTGCTAGGAAAACAGAGGTGTGTGAAGTAAGGAAACTTGCCTAAAGTTTCGCCCTGGCGGGAAACGAACCCAGGTCCTCCTCTCACTTGAGAATCCCATTCTACTTCCTTTCATAGAATCAAAGAAAATTACAGCACAAAAGGAGGCCATTCGGCCCATCGTGCCTGGAAGAGCTCCCCAATCAGTCCCACTCCCTCGCTCTATCCCCACACCCCTGTACATTTTCCCTTTAAAGTACCTATCTAATTCCCTTTTGAAAGTTGTTATTGAATCTGTTTCCACAGCCCTTTCTAGCAGTGCATTCCAGACTGTAAGCGATACGCTTTCTCCCTATATTCTTTCATATTTCCCCTTCTCTGATATTCAACTAAGTGCTTCTGAAGAAGCTAAAAAAGACTGCTATTGTATAAGTACCTCTGAGGAGCTTGAACCACGGGGGATTTTGTCTCCGCTGATCTCGCTGTGAGCTGTAGCTCTGTTGGTGTGGCATTCTCCTCACTCCACATGAGCTGCCGGGGGGAAATTTGATTGCTACACGGCTGTTGCAAGGTGTGTAAGGTATATGGCCGGCCTCCGGTTGGGACTTTATTCAACGATTTACTTTTCTGAAAAGCAAAGCGAGGTAACCAGGTGATTTTTACCCTTGAAACCAGAGCTGAGGGGTATCATCTTGGCTCAGTTGGTCGCGCTCCCCACTTTGGTAGTTTTAAGCTCACAGTCTAGGTTGACACTCCAGTGCAGTGCTGGGGGAAGCCCTGCTTTTGTCAGAGGTGCCACGCTTCGGACGAAGCATTAAATGGAGATCTGTCTGTGCCTGTTCAGGCGGACATTACAGATCCCATGGCATTATTCGAAAAGAGAAGGGAGTTTCTCTCTTCCAGTGTCCTGCCCAATAATCCCCCAAATAAAATTGGTTACTTAATTGTATTCAGTACGAGTGTTTAGCTATGTTTAACGTCCAGAGAATCAGTGTGAGTGAGCGCCATCATTTTCATGGCAGATAATGATCCATCACCATGTTCAGTGCTACATCTTCCATGACATGGATGGAGTGACGAGGGCGAAATGCGTCTCTGACAGCTTGTTTCAGCTGCTCCGCGATCTCACATCCCTGTTTTGTAACAGGATGGGTAAAAAAACTTTGTGGACAACCTGCAGTATTCTGTGGGACATCTTCCCAATGCGAAAAGCTCTGTAAACCTCGGGAACAGCCCGTGAGCCCACCTGCCCTGCCCAGATTGGCCCTCACCACTGTCGACTTGCTCTTTGTCTCTCCTCCTGGCCCCCCAAGGTCTTCAGGCTGCTGAAGCTGGAAGACAATGTCCTTTACTGACAGCAATGGTGGGGCTTTCTTTCTGCGTGAAGCACAGAGCGTAAACCATAGGTAAACATGTGCAATACTGCATTTCCTCGCCCCACCATTTCAATCACCACTATCACAAGCCCCAAATAATAATAATAATAAAACTTGCATTTGATATAGCGCTTTTCATGTCTTCTAGATGTCTCAAAGCGCTTCACAGAATATACTGTAAAGTGAATTGACTGTATATTTGTAGGCAAACGCGGCAGCCAATTGCGCACAGCAGTGTCCCACAAACAGTCGTGGATTGAAAATGACCAATTTATTATTGATTTGTTTTTGGAGGGATTATTATTAGGCTCTGTGTGGAGTAAGGAAACTTGCCCAAGGTTTCGCCCTCTGCCTGGAATTGAACTCAGGTCTCTCGCTTGCAAAGCGAGTGCTCTAACCACTGAGCTACAGGAATGTGTCGTTCCTGCAAAACAGAGCTTGTAACAAGAGAACATTCATACGTTCATCAATATATTTAAGAGAAAACTTGATGCACAGAATATACTGTAAAGTGGATTGACTGTATTTTGTAGGTGAAACGCGGCAGGCAAATTTTTCACAGCAGTGAATTGAATGAAAACATAATTTGGAGGAGCGGGAAATAATTACCCTGGAAAGTGATCTATCAATTGACTAACCACCAGATTCCTACTTTCTGCTTGGTAATCAGGCGAGTGGAGTAAAGAAACTTGCCTAAGGTTGCACCCTACCCGGGAATTGAACTCGGGTCCTCTGACTTGCGAGGCAAGTGTGCTAACCACTTCTCTACAGGACTCCACATTTACATCTATGTAAGTATCTTCAGCGATTGGTGAAAGCCACCAGGGAGATACCACAAATCTGATCACTCCTCTCTCCACTGATATGCTATTAATACCCCTCCCAGGGGTCCCAGCTGATGGCATATCTCACATAATTTGGTTTAGGACTTTAGAATCCTAATCAGTTTAGAATCGATCGGTGCTTACTCTCGAGGCCAATCGCTCTGCCACTCTTTCCTGAACTGACGGTTTGGCACCCAGACCAGGATGGTTTCGGCCTCCGCCAGGCTCTGGGGCTTTTGATCTTCAATCTCCACCTCCACAACATCAATCTGGGGACAGGGAGAAGCCACAGAACAACTTGTATTTATAGAGCGCCCTTCCCGTAGTAGGCGTAACATCTCAAGAGAGTCGCGAGGGGGGGGGGTTGTTGAGAAGCTCAGACAGAGCCAGACGAGAGCTGAGAATGGCTTCCATCTTATCCATAAGAAGTTGATGCAGTGCAATGGTTACTGGCACAGTATCAGACAGATCTGTAATTCCCTTCCCATCCCCCAAGGAAAAGAGGTTTCCCTTCATACTAACGCACAAGACCCCTCCGCCCCCAACAAGCAGCAAAGCTCAAACCAATGAACTCCAAGCCCCTCAGCCAAAGATCCTCCGAGCACTCACCTTCTTGAGCTCAGTGGGTGACGTACTCTTGCTTCTCATGTGTGCCTCGTGGGAGTGGGGAGAGGTCATGACACGATGCTGGCGCGTAATGTCCCAACTACAAGGCAAAAATATCTGCTTAATAGGCCTAGTCTCAAGCCCAAACTAGATGCAGGTCTGTCTCCCTGACACACAGTTTCTGCTCAGTGCCATGTGAGCTTGTGTCCACAAAGTCGTTTTTAATGTCTCATCGGAAGGACGGCACCTCCAACAACGCATTGCTCCCCCCAGCACTGTACTGGAGCATCATCCTAAACTGTGAGCTCAAAGTCCCAACATGGGGCTTGAACCCACCACCCTTCTGACTCAGAGGCAAGAGTGCTACCAACTAAGCCAGGCTAAAACCCGATTCCCAAATCCCTCCCTTTCTCTCACAGACTGAACCTCACCCCATTTATCTTCAGATCAGTACCAGTAAAACCTGTCGGGCCTTACCTGTCATCTGAAGCGATATCAAACTGACAGTCAGTGCGCGGGATACTATAACGGATATTGTCTTGGTGACGAGAGGTGGGAGTGAACAACACAGCCCTTTTCGCATTCTGCATCTCCCTCAGCTCACAGAGAGTCTCCAGGTCCTCCCAATGGGGGAACTGCAAGACTTTCAGCATCGGCAGGTCACCTAGAAAATGAACCAGGAAGTACAGCCAGGCAGATTCATTCTCAGAGTCAATGCAGTGCCACATCCAACCCCTCACCAGCCTCCAGAAAGTCCATTCGTTTTACAGTATATTCTGTGAAGCGCTTTGAGATGTCTTGAAGGCATCATAAGGCGCTATATCAAATGCAAGGATTATTATTATTATGTCCTTGCCCCACCATTGCACTCGACTGCGATCCTCGTCAGCCACCCACACCCTTCATTCTACTATAACAGCCTGATGCCTCCCCCGCACGATCTGTCCCACCATCGAAGGGCAAACTTATAGACATTTTCCCCAAGCTCTCCGGAACACTCTCTCTAAATAGGGAAAGAGCAGGAGAGTGCGACGAGTTCTTTCACGATGGTCCGAATGTCCTCTTTCTTTGCTGCAGAATTCTATGATTCCATGATAAATCACTCGGCTTTCATCCTCTGAATCTTTGACCGTGTCTTTGGCCACATCCCCAGCTCTGATTCCTAATCTGCCTCTGTGCTTTGAGATGTTTTCTTACAGGAAAGATTCTAAATAAGTGTAATTCCCTTTGCAGCAGAGGTGTTTGGGTGGGGGGGGGGGGGGAGGAGGTGGGGAGCAAAGGCGAGGAATGACCGCAAATTCGCAGTGGCTGAATCTCCACATTATCCCAGTAAAGCAGTGGTCTCGGCCCACAGGGCAGTACTATACCTTTGGTTATGTGAGTGGGTCTCTGGCTGGCTTTAAACGATTTGAAAGCAAAGCGAGGGAGGCCTTTTTCCAGTCTTCTGATGGACTCCCAGCACATGGGGTGCTGACAGATGACCATCTTGCACGTGGTCTCATCCAGGGTGGTAGAGAGCTGTTTCATTCTGCAGCGCACCCTCCTGCAGGAGAAACAAAACATCAATGCACAGAAGGCGGCCATCCATGCTGTCTTGTCCACAGAAAGCGGCCATCACTGCACCCTCTTGTTCTACGTCGTACCCCCACACCCTTTCTTTTATTCACCCCACTCTCTCTCCACACAATGCGTCAGCCTGGTTCAGTTGGCAGCACTATCGCCTCCGAGTTAGTGAGTTGTGGGTTTGAGCCCCACGTCTAGTCTAGGCTGAAACTGCAATGCAGCGCTGCATGGTTGTGAGGTGATGTCCTTCACGTGACATGTTAAAACAAGATCCCGCCTGTGACTGTTCAGTTGGATGTTAAAGATCTCATGGCACGATTTGAAAAGAGTAGGGAGTTTCTCCCCGTGTCTGGGCCAACAATCCACCAGATACAAATTGGTATCCCACAAAGTCGTAGATTGAGTGACCATTTTTTTTAGGGGGGTGGAAACGGATTATCACACCCAGAAAGGTATCTGCCAATCGACTAACAACTGGGTTTCTACGTACTGTTAGCTAAACAGAGGCATGTGGAGCAATTAAACTTGCCTAAGATTACCCTTTGGGTTCAAAATGTCATCTCCTCTGACAATCCAAAGCTCACCTAATATTGAGATAAGATTGTCAGCCTGGACTGTGATCTCAAAGTCCTGAACCCACATCCTTTTGACTCAGAGGCTACTGAGACTGTGCCAGACTGACATTGCACCACACCTTCCACATTGCTTTGATGAATCACACAGCCATCCACTGGGCACAGGATAACTGTGGAGCTGCTAATGATAGGAGTAATGGAGGAGTAGAGGGAGAACTCCTAATCATAATCCAGCTACAGTCCTCAACTGCCCACCCATCCCACACCCACTTAAATGAAAATATTTACCATGACAATCAAACACGGTGTGAGAGACTGAAACCATTTGCAAAAAGGATAAGGGTCAAAACGCAAAAGAAGAACTTTCTGGGGAACTTGTAAAATTTAAAATGCAAACTTCAGAGAGAGAGAGAGAGAGTGAGGAGAGGGTTGGGGGGGTGGGGTGGAGGGGGGAGAGAGAGAGAGAGTGAGTGGGGGTGGGGGGGGTGAAGGGGGAGAGAGAGAGTGAGTGAGGGGGGTGGAGGGGAGAGAGGGAGTGAGTGAGGGGGATGGGGTGGGGGGGAGTGGAGGGGAGAGAGGGAGTGAGTGAGGGGGGGATGGGTGGGGGGGTGGAGGGGAGATAGGGAGTGAGTGAGGGGGGATGGGTGGGGGGGGTGGAGGGGAGAGAGGGAGTGAGTGAGGGGGGATGGGGTGGGGGGAGGGGGGAGAGGAGTGAGTGAGTGAGGTATGGGGTGGGGGGGTGGAGGGGAGAGAGGGAGTGAGTGAGGGGATGGGGGGGGGGTAGGGGGTGGAGGGGAGAGAGGGAGTGAGTGAGGGGTGGGGTGGGGGGGGTGGAGGGGAGAGAGGGAGTGAGTGAGGGGGATGGGGTGGGGGGGGTGAGGGGAGAGAGTGAGTGAGGGGGGATGGGGTGGGGGTGGTGGAGGGGAGAGAGGGAGTGAGTGAGGGGGGGATGGGGTGGGGGGGGGGTAGAGGGGTGGAGGGGAGAGAGGGAGTGAGTGAGGGGGGGATGGGGGGGGGGGGTGGAGGGGAGAGGAGAGAATGCAATGTCCTCACCGCTGACAACTGGGATTCCAGGAGAGAGTACCAGTGCTTCTCCTTTGCTTCATTGTCGGCCATGTGAGGCTCCGGCAACTGGTGGCAAAGCGTTGCTTAGCGACCGGGACGCCGCCGGACCACGCATGCGCCACCTCTTCACTGCATTGTGGTGCGTCCACACCCAGAGGTCATGGCCATCCCTCAATGGCTCTCTCTCTCCCTCTCCCCCTCTCTCTCTCTCTCACTGCCGACTGGTCACCAACATACCCCCTCCTCGCTCCCTCCCTTCCCTCCCCTCACCCTGACCGTTCCCCCCCCCCCCCCCCCCCCCAAGGCTCGGGTCCTGACCCAACTGTCCAGCGCCTCGGGACGTCCTCCCGACGTGAGAGGCGCTCTGTAAATGGAATCTTGTTGTTGTTGTTGTCGCCGTCCCCGGGGTGGCATCGACACACTCTCGCGCGGCCTCAAGCGGGCCGTCCGCCCGCTCCGAACCAGTGGTCCCGGGGCGGGCGGTTTGGGCGTCAAACCAGTCAACCGCAAAGTCTAGTCTCTTCCTGTTCGGAACATTGTTTCCCCCCCCCCACCCCCCACCCCCACCCAGTCGAGCGCATGACTTTTACGTTGTTAGTAATAACAATCCTTGCACTCGAAATGCAGCGCCTCGTCGCGTCTCGAAGCGTTTCACGGAATTAACAACAAGGTTACGTTCATAAAGGACCTTTCACGTCGGGAGGACATCCCAAGGCACTGAACAGCAGAGGATTCGGGACTGATAATAATTCTTGCATTTGAAATAGCGCCTTATCACGTCTTCGAGATGTATCAAAGCACTTTACAGGATATAAAGTGAATTGACTGTATATTTTTGGGGCCAAACAGGGCAGCCAATTGCGGACCGCAGTGTCCCATCAGGTGGATGGTAGCTACAAGGAACTCCCTGCGAGCTTCCCAGTGGGCAACACATCTCAGCAGGAAATGTATGATAGCATTCTGTTTATAAACACCACGGAAGTGACGGTGACTGTTTTGTTGCGTGATGTGTGATCGCCTCTCTGTAGTGTTCGCTGTGAGGCCATCTGAGAACGCTCCATCTCCTGCCCATTGCTAATTGGACTCACGATTCACTTAGAAGCAGTTTGTATATATATTATATATATGTGTGTATATTTAAAAAAAATAAAAGTCAACATTTGGGGGAACATGAGTTGAAGCGAATATTTATTCAAAAGTTGAAGTGAAAATGGCAACATTAGAAAGGGCCTAATGCTTTCACAAAAAGCCCAAAGACAATGCAAATTATAACTGCAATCATTCTCTAGAACGGCGTGCACTATTCAATGATTTCATTTACAAAGCCATGACTGTAGACTTTACAGAAAAACATCCAAAGGCATCTGAGTAGAAAGAAGCTGTAGAACCTATGTTTACAGCACTAGACACCAACATTTTAAGCATCAAGTGAGTGCCTTCCAGCTGACACAGCTTCGAGAGCACATAGCTTAACTGGAATCATTTGCAGTTCCACAATGTGATTTGATCGCGCTCTCCATTTACACATGATGGTATTGTGCATTTCTGATCAATCTCGGCACCGACATCTATTTTTATATTAACATCAATTCAGAGAAGCCTGGAACTGTTACCTGCCCTAAAGTCACACATCTTCAAGAAATACATTGTTCCCAAAGTCAGCAAGTGAGATGCATTTGGCTGGAAAGTATTTTTATAAACATTTATATAAAATCAAGGCTGGATGCCTCGAAGGTGGAGCTTCTGCTTGTGTCAACAGCAACTCCTTCAATAACAGCACATATAAGGACATTACTGAACTCATCTTCCAAAATAATTAAAACAAGAAAGATAGGTGCAAGAAACGGAATGGACACCTGGATTCAAGAGGTGGGAAACGCACTGAGAAACTGATGTTGATGTGTTTAAATGTCTGATAAGTTAAAAGAAGTGGTAATCAGTATTGGGTGAAGGAGTGCGATATATTTTAAGAGTACATTATACACAGTGTTTGGGGATGCAACTATATGCGATTGCAAATAATGGCGATCGTGTTTCAGCCCAGTCCCTTTAAAGCACATGGATCCACTCATTATGCAACTGGATTATACACAATGTAAGACACAGGTTTTCCAAGATTAATGTGTGTGTGTTTTTTTTTAAAATTGAATAGGTGCAAAAAAAATAAATTGACGACATCTTCCAAGCTGCCACTCAGCTTGTGAAAGGAAACAAAAAAGAAAGCATGTTCTGGGGAGACAAGAGTTAAGAGCAGTTAGTAACTACTAAACATATCCCTAAGCCACCCCCCCTCCCCCCACACGCACACACTTCCCATGAGATACGAGCGAGATTTCATACGGGAGATCACACGCACACACACAAGGGTATACTCTGGCAATAGGGACTGGATCATGGCTTTGCAAGTGTCTGCTTCCTTGCCAACTGGTCAACATGAGGAATTTCTAATGTCCCATGAAAATCCATTTAGTGCAAAGAACTTATACTCAATAATCAGTGGATCAGGCCTTCAATATCTGGCTGATGCAAATTTTTTCCATCAACTGTATGGCACACATCTGCTCATTTAAGATTGGTTCTCGCTCCCTTTTAACATGGCAGCTGAGATCTCGTGCCAAGCTATCACCATAGTCTTCTGGGCCATCTCGGTCAGGTCCGGGACATCATCTGCTGTCAGACCCTTTGTCTCAATTCTTTGAAGAATCTGAACCGTGTAAGTCCCTGGAAATGGATGAAAGGAACAGTCAACTCAAGGCGTTCTGTACTCTCCGGCTACAATAATGCCACAGAAACTTTAACGTCCACCTGAACAGGAACTCGGCTTAAAGTCTCATCCAAAGGACGGCACCTCCGACATTGAAACAACCCCCAGCAATGCATTGGATTGTCATCTTAGGCGATGTGATTTGAAGTCCCGACATGGGGCTTGAACTCACAACCTTCTGACTCAGAGGCGAGAGAGATATCACTGCGCCAGGCTGACAAAGATATCAAAATAAGAAAAATACATGCAGCCTTGCTTAGCTTCAATGGAGAAGCCAACAGATATAATGGATAATGTGAAGGGGAATTGGGACTAGAGTATTTAGCTCCAGTGGCGCAGTTAACTCCAGCAAGCGCAACGGGGACCTAGGAATAAAGTAATTAGCTCCATAGGGGGAGCTGGCACCAGCACACACAATGAGCACTCCTGTGCTTTCATTGCTATAATTCAATGAATGGACTGTCTTGTGGTGACTGAAAGCTGACTCGGGGGTGGGGAAGAGAGGGAGAGGGAGAGAGAGAGAGCGAGGGAGGGCCTTAGAACATGGTCACTTCCCCAGTGCACTAACATTTATTACACATTAGAGGACCAGAGATGGAGAAACTGTTCCATGTGGCGCAATCTCTTATACACACACACACCTGAGTCAAACCGCTTTTCCTTTTTGTTATAGAAGTCATTGTATGAGGAGAACACCACAGGGATAATGGGGACCTGGAACACAAGAGCGCCACCGGTTAAACGCTGATTAATGAGCTAGACAAAATATACAGCTCCCGTAGGACACAACAAGAGGGCAACGCAGGAACAGCACACACAGCACCTGCGAGCTTTGTAACCAGGCAACAGCGTAGCCCAGCAACAGCAATACAGGCCGCGGCTGATCAGCGGGGGGATGGAACACAGAGTATACAGCATCTGGTGTTGGGTTACAAGTGATCGCACACTTGAGAAGCTTCAGTGCGTTATCCATTACCAAAGTCGGGCTTCAATCCGTTCCCTTACATCTGACCCTAAAAGAGTGCTTAAAGCACTGACCAGGTTATCTTCAGCATACGCAGGATAGGGTCTGGTTAGCTTCATTCAGGCATTGGCTGGAACATTAGCATTCTTTAGCAAAGCTATAATAAACATCCCTGTTGTGAGGGATCTCAGGTCCACATTCCCTGCACCCACAACTCACTTGTTCGCTCTACACAATGCCTAGGGTTAAAAAACAGATGTTTTATTAGTAGGCGCAGTAAGAGTATTGGCTCACTGTCTGCAATGGGCCAGGCTTTTCAAGCATAAAACGGCCAAAAGCCGAGCATACAGATGACGGCACCGACTGTATGGTGGTACACCTGGCGTGTGTGTATGGGAGCTGAAGCTGCGGTGCTGTCGTGTGCATGTGGGTGAATGCCTGTCACCAGGGAGCTGATAAGAGTTTGCACATCGCTGCAGCGTTTTTAACCGCAAGCTGCTTTGCTGTCCTGAAATGATGGGATTTTTTTTTACACACATTCCCCTAAATCTGAATGGTTCTGACCCACGATTCTCTCTCCGGGCGTTTTGCAATCATTTACACTGCCGAGCGCGAGCGATGGCACCGAAATATTGGCACGCTCCAAACCCAGTGGGGGTGGTGTTTACCTGGGCCTGCACCGCTAAGTGGAATGCTCCGCGTTTAAAAGGCAGCATTTTTCCGTCGTGATTTCTGGTTCCTTCAGGAAACACCCACAACCTGACCTGAGGAAACAGAACAAGACACAAACCTCCGCTCAGTACAGCACAATTAGACATTTTGCTGCTTACGTCGATCCTCTGCCTCGTCAGTCTCTCATCCCCCCCACCACTGCAGATCGGTTTGAAGTGAACGGCATACGTAGATGGGGAAAGTCGTCATGGTCCTCGCGCACAAAATACAGTCAATCAATAATAATAATCCTTGCATTTGATATAGCGCCTTATCACGTCTTCTAGATGTCACAGAGTGCTTTGAATTCACTTGAAAGTATATCCGGTGAAAACGCTTTGAGACGTCTCGATGACGTGATGAGGCACTAAATCAAATGCAAGGATGATTATTAACGTTAATCACCACGGAGAGTGCAGCGAATGCAGAGCGGTGATCCACTCGGGCTAATTCAGGGATAAACTCCCCAAAGCACTCAGGGAGCTAAATGAGTAATAACAATAATAATCCTTGTGACATAGTGCCTCGTCACATTGACATTGACGAAACATCTCAAAACACTTCACAGGATTTATTGTAAAGTGCAGAAACCATTTGTAGACAAGCGAGAACAAGAGAGCGCAGTGACTACATGGACTGACTATTGAACTACATGCAGAGACCCAATGAACGCAGATGAATGGATGAAGGCTAGATTCTGAAATAATAATAATAATATTCCTTGCATTTCGTATAGCGCCTTATCACATCTTCGAGACGTCTTTATCACATGGTTCAATCAGGACCTGAAAGGGAAAAAGAGTGAATGTTCTGTCCCTTCACCAGGACGGAAACTGTGGCTGAGAACAGAGAGCAAGTACACCCAGATGGAAAAAGAAAGACATTAGAAGTTAAAATGTAACCGCACTAACTACATATGTAGAGACAGCCAATGGGCCATTAAACGTACTTGGCTTAAATTGTCTGCTGCGTTTCACCCATGGAATATACAGTCAATACTCTTTAAGTACTTTGAGACGTCTCAAAGACGTGATAAGGCGCTATATCAAATGCAACGATTATTATTATTGAAATACTGTAAAGGTGTTAGTAGTTACAGACGGAGTGAAATTACAGAAAATCTGCCCACGTAGCTTTAAACACAAAAGGATGGGTGGAAGTGGTCGTGTTGGAAGTGGTTTCTGTCTGCAGGCTGATAGACTAATAATAATACTTGTATTTAATGTAATGCCTTATCACGTTGTTGTGATGTCTCAAATGGCTCCTAATCTAGGCTTATTCTCACCAATGTAGCCCAGCTCAGTTGTTGGCACCTTTGTTTTTGATCAGAAGGCTATGGGCTCAATCACACCAATGCTGGACCTCACAGCACTAGGCAATCAATCCCGTGAATCACTACCGGATTGTTTAAGCGCTGCTGTCTATTGGACAAAGTCACGGTTACCTATTCAGGTGTAGGCGAAAGATCCTGTGACTTTATTGGAAAAGGGAATAGAGTGACTCCCTCTCTCTTACCCCCACAACCCTTGCCCCCCCCAAAGTATCCAGACCATTAATAATAATAATAATCCTTGCATCATCCTCTGGGACCTTACCAAAAAAATTAGCTGCTGCATTTGCCTATATAAAAAGTCACTACACTTGCCAGTAATTACACATGATGAGGTTGAGATGTGATGAGGTTATAAACATGCATGTTCTTTCTGTGAAGGAGATCACACCCAAATCAGCAGGCTGGGGTGAGGGAGTGCAGGAGGTTCACATGAGTCAATTTGACGTGGATGGCGTGTAGTGTGGGAGGAACCTAGGACCAGGTGTTATATTCTGCTGTGTTGCAGAAGTATGAGCTGGGACAAAAGAGGTTGTGCTGATAGTGAGAGAGGAATGAATTAAGGTATTGTATTGCAGCACTCCTTACACTGGAGAGGGGAAGGATGGGAAGAGGCATCTAACATTGTCTCCTGATGTACTGGACATGGGAGTGTAGGTGGCTTGAAGATGAACGACAATTTTACATTTATAGTGAGCCTTTCCCAGTGAGGGATGTCTCAAAGCGCTAAACAGAATCATCTGGTAGTTCACACTGGGGGTGGGGGGAGTTGCGGAAGGTGTGGTGTGGGGAGGGGGGATGACCATACGTTCGGTTGAAAAGAAAGACTGTGCTTAAAAATGGGGGGAGATGACAGGAAGGAAATGAGTCGGAGGGATGGTTGTGCTCCAGAGTGCGGGGGCAGAATGGTTGAAAATTCGCCCGCTGAGGGTGGTTGACTCTTTGTCGGAAGGCACGGGTGAGGGGGCGGTGCAGGGAATGGGAAGTTTCGATATCTGGAGGAAACTGCAATGCAGGAAAGAGGAAGTAGACCGCAGAGCGGGCAGGCTCAGACATAAAGAAACAACAACAGCAACAAGATTACATTTGTATGGCGCCTTTCACGTCAGGTGGAGGTCTCAAGAGAGAAGGAGAGAATGTTTGTGAGTAGTCAGCAAGATTATTATGGAGATAGAGGGGAGACGGGTTCATTTGGGCATCGGCTGGAGTTTGTCAACGAGCTCAAGTCGACAAAGCCTTGCATTGGTGATTTAGTGTGAGCGAGCAGCAAGTTAATTAATGAGAATAGGAATAGCAGGACTGGATGCCAGGCTGAGGCACCTGCAACCTGCCCCTGCACCATCCTGGCTCCAGAATATCTGGCGACACAGCATCAGCGTCAAATGGGTGAGGACTGTGCTCTCAACCAGAGAAATGACACGTCTGAGCATCAATCAGCCACATTCTCAGGTCTCTCCGACTTGCTCCCTTTCTCAAGGTACTCTCTCATAACAACATCAACAACTTGCATTTATATGGCGCCCCTCACACAGGGTGGCGTGCCAGAGCACATAAAGTATGTTCGATCATGCTTTCCGTCACCTTTCCCCTCCTTACCCACCTCCCCTAACACACACAGCAACCACCCTCAGCTCTGGTGGCCAGCCAGACTGAATTGCATCGCAACGTGTCACTGGGAAGCTACCTGTCCAGGAGGTTGGCACATTAGTTAATGAGAACAGGAGTAGCAGGACTGGATGCCAGGCCGAGTTAGTTGTGAGAGACAGAGTTGCTGAGGGGTAGAATTTTGAGGAGGTAATGGGTAGCACACAGGCAGACAGGAGACAGGAAGAACTCTGCTGAGTTTCCAATTCTGTGGACAAAGACCATTCGCAATTAACACCATGACACAAAGTGGCTGCCGCAGAGGCCAAGTCACCTGGACAGGGACATGTTAGTTATGAGGGAGCCTACAATTAGGAGATTGTTAACCGGTGCAACCTGGTTCAGTTGGTACCACTCTCGCCTCGGAGTCAGAAGGTTTGTGGGTTCAAAGCTTCATGTCAGAACTTTGAAGTAGTAGTCCAGACTGACACTCTAATGCAGTGATGGGAGTGCGTTGCATTATTGGAGGTGCTGTACATCAGATGAGATGTTAAACTGAGGTTCCACCTGCCTATTCAGGTGGACAGTAAAGATCCCACGGCACTGTTCGAACAGAGAAGGCACTTTCTCTCTCCTGGCGTTCCCCAAATAAAATTGGTCACTCACTCCATGGCTGCTTGTTCGCCTACAAAAACAGTCACTACGCTTCACAGCAAAATCCTGTGCAGCACTTTGAGTCTCCCTTCTGACACGAAACGCACTGTATCAAAGGGAAGGATGATTGTTATTATTATAATGCTGATGGTGGAAAGGGAAGTGAGAAAATCAACTCAGAACATAGAGTTTTTGAGCACAGACGAACCCTAATCGGCCTATTGTGCTAACTTTGCTTTCCAATTCATTCAGCTTTAGATTTGGCTCTCCATATCTGCCTGAGAACTTCCACAGAAAGTCATGCAGCCCACTCTACTTCCCCATACCACTACACACTTCCCTTTACCCCACTCCTACTTCCCTGTCCTCCCGCCATATCCTTCCAAGTTTTCTCCTTCCTAATTATCCATCCAATTATACACAGAATTACACATTCTCTCAACACCAACTTGCATTTATTTAGCGCCCTTCATACGCAGGATAGTGTCTTGGAGCGCTGCACAATGGTGGAGTTTGGACCCCGAGTGTGGGAGAGGGGGGATTGGGGTGGTAACCATAGGCAAATGGTTTATTTCTATCCAGTTTATTACACTACCTTTCCTACAGTGACCCTCAAGTTGCATCATTATCTCTTATGTGGTACCTTATCAATGGCCTTCTGAAAGTTCGTGTACAGAACAGTCACGGCAACTCTCTCATTACGGTTAGTTATTTCCTCAGCGAATTCAATTAGATTAGATTGGAATGAGGCTGAGGTCACAGAGGGATTAAAAACACAGGCAAGGATCCCAAAATAAATCTGCTGTGGGACAGGGAATCGATTTGGGAGTCGGGGTTTCAAGAGGCCATAGGTTGGAATTCTTGCAAAAATGTATTCACCCCCCCCCCCCCACTCCCCGAGCCTTTCACTGTCCTGCAATCTCATACAGAACCACAACCTGACTCACACACTCCTCACAATAATGGAATCCAGCCTGTTCCTTCCTGATCAACAAATTGCATTTACATAGCGCCCCTCATGCAGGTTAGTGTCCCAAAGAGTTTGACACTGATGGAGCACGATGCTGAGCCAGGGGGAGGAAGGGGGATCAAACCACAAGCTTCTGATATACATGCAGTGACTACCCAAAGCACAACTTTAAGAGCCACTGAAATCAAATAGCAAAGAGTGGATCCACTAGGACGTTACCTGGGGTGATGAGTTTGTTAGGAAAAGGAAAGTTGTTTCGCCTACAAAATACACAGTCACTCCACTTTACAGTATAATCTGTGAAGCATGATAAGGTGCTGTATCAAATGCAAGGATTATTGTTTTACCGTTAAAACTGAGAAGGTTCGGGAAGGGGACCGGACAAAGTTTTCCAAGGATTATGAAGCTTCGAGAGGTTAATAGTAATAGATCAGTTCCTTTAGTCGGTGAGTCAGAAATGAAAGGGCACAAATTTAATGTGATCGCAAAAGCAATTAAAGGGGAGGTTTGAAGAAAACCTTTAAACATTAGGTGGTAGGGATGTTGTTGAGCCTATAAATTCTTTTAAAGGGGAATTTAATAAGATACTGGAAAAAAAATAAAAGTTATGAAGAGTGAGCAGGAGAGTGAGATTCGTTCAGGTGAAGAAAACACCAGTGAAGACGTCACGTCTCCAGTGGTCTGTGTGTGTGGTGTGACATTAGATGAACCCGGAGTTGAGGAAATGTACATGGTTTAAGCAGGTTTGGAGTGTAAGCAGGGAGTGCCCTGGAGGTAAAAATTTGTAGGAGATGGATTGGATGTGGATTTTGAAACTCAGCTCGGGGCTGACCTGAAATCAGATGTTGCCTAACGACAGGTTCAGCCTGAATGAGCAGCCAGAAAGGTTGCTGGAGCCAAAGCACACAGAAAGGCACTGTCTGTTGCAGCAATATGGCATATTGCAAATTAGAAATCCATGCTGAGTAAACCAATTTTAAGCTGAACAGTAAAGGAGACCTGACAATTGGCCTCAGCGCAATTCAGCTGAAGGCGGAGGGATGGGGAGACGAAAGAGAAGGGGAAGAAAATTAATTAAATCATATCAGAAGGAACATCTCAAAGCGCTTCACAGGATATAAAGTGCAATGGTAGTATTTGAAGGCCAATACAGCAGCCAACTTGTGAAGAGAAATGGCTTACAAACAGCTATGAATTAGCCGGGGTGCCCGCTTCCACTCCAGATCACCAGAACATTTACATTGGAGGCTGGCTGTTCTCAGCCTGAGTGGTGATGCCCCTATGATCTGATAGCTTGATCTCCTGATGCTCTCTGTCTGGGTTGACACTCAGACATGGTCGAGATACCAGAGGACAGACAGCACCCGTGAAACCGAACCCTGCAAATATCAGCACCCCAGAGACTGGCAGGAAAGAGGGAAAGAAGAAGAAAAGTGCCAACTTTTAAAGAGGACAACCTTAATGTTAAGCACCTAAGGGTATGGAACAAGGCCATTTGGTTGTCCCTCTTCAGACCAAAGAATCACCCTACCCTACCACGGTCTGACCCATCTCCACCATAATAGGGTTCTGTCTATATTGACCCAGCCGGCACCCGCCCAGCTCAAATGACCAAATCTCTAACAAGTCTGGCCGCAAAAAAGCACTCTCCCATCGAGACAACAACTTGCTCTCACATGCCACCCTTCACATGGGGCAGAGTCTCGGAGCGCTTAACAGTGGCGAAGCCTGTCGCCGAGCCGGGGGAGGGAGGCAGGGAGGAGGTGACCGTAAGCATAGACAAAGAGGCCATCATGGCAGTCAGTGCTAATGATAGCTCTAACATCACACACATCGCTGAGTCAAACAGGAAGGAAAGGAAGGCAAGAGACTTACATCCTCTTTCAGCATGGTCTGTGCTGCCTCGCTCATCACACTTTTTGCATCACTCTTCTTCTGCCTGTTGATGAAGACGATACCAGTGAGCCAGCACACCAGCCCCACAGTGCCGGCATACATCAGCTCCTTCTTAGCAATAGCAACGCAGCGATCGGGCAGGATTTCCATCATACCTGGCAAAGCAAAACAACTTCCTTACCAGCGGCACCTTTACCCATCAGAGAATTGTAATGATAATAAATAATAATACTTGCCTTTGATATAGTGCCTTATCATGTCATCATGACACCTCAAAGCGCTTCACAGTATATACCATAAAGTAGAGTGACTGTGTATTTTGTGGGTGAAACGTGGCAGCCAGTTTGTGTACAGCAACGTTCCACAAACAGCCATGGAGTGAGTGACCAATTTTATTTGGGGGATTTATTGGCCAGGACACCGGGAGACAGAAACGGGTTTCACCACTACACTGCAGGAAGATCATAAAATATACAGCATGGATTCACTAGAACGTTATCAGCGATGAGGGGTCTCACTAGATCTGAGAAATAATAATAATAAATAATTATTGCATCTAATGCAATTAACGCTTTTCACGTTGGGAGTACATCAGAAAGTTTTATGCAAGTATGGAGATTATGTCTTTGTAGGAGAACATTGCAAATAATGTGTACACTGAAGTGTCCCACAAACAGCTATGAAGTGAGTGACTAATTTTATCTGGAGGGTTGTTGACCAGGGCACAGGGAGAAACTTCCTTCCCTTTTCGCTGGCCCTTTGAAAGAGCAACCTTTTAGTCCCATTTATCTGATTTTTCATAGCGTGTAGATCCTCACCACATCACCTGCAAATGATTCATTTACTCGGTTGCTACCAGGGCCTTTAACATCCTACAAACAGTGTGTAAAAATATTACTATTCCTTCAAAAATTACCGTGTTGCTCATTATCTTGAATCAGTGCCCTTCGGTCGCCAACCAGTGAAAATAATTCCTCCCCATCGCCTCTATCAAAACTTCTTACCCCACTTTAGAAAGGATGTCAGGTCCAAATAAAGGTTACAGAGAAGATTTACTAGGATGATACCAATCAGGTGGGTGTTGAAAGAGAAGAAAGTTTCTCCCAGTCTCCAAGCCAACAACATTCAAGAGAAATTAGTCATGCACTTCATGCTTGTGGATCATTGCTGTGTGTAAATTGGCTGCCACATTCGCCTACAAATAGACAGTCACTAAACTTCACAGGAAATCTGTTAAGTCCTCTGAGACGTTAGATGTTAAAGGTGCTACATCACAAAAAGATTGCTACTGAAGTTTAATTCCACTGACAGTGTAACTGTGGAATTCTGTTGCATATTGGTTAGAGCACTCGCCTCACAAGTGAGAGTACCCGATGTGTTGAATGAGTACTTTGCGTCTGTCTTCAACAAAGAAGTGGATGCACCAAATGCTGCAGTATTGGAGAAGAGCGTAGAGGAAATGTATAGGATAAGTATAAACAGAAAGGAAGTACTGAAAAGGTTGACTGCGCTGAAGGTAGATAAGCTATTGGATATAATTGGCTATAATTTTTCAATCTTCGTTGGACACAGGAGTGGTGCCAGAGGACTGGAGAGTGGCCAATGTGACTCCCCTGTACAAAAAGGGACACAAGGATAAACCTGGGAACTATAGGCCAGTCAGCCTAACATCAGTAGTGGGGAAACTCCTGGAGACTATAATCCGGGACAGAATAAATCTTCACCTAGAAGAATATAGATTAATTACGGACAGCCAACATGGATTTGTTAAAGGCAAATCTTGTCTAACAAATCTAATAGAATTTTTCGATGAGGTAACGGAGAGGGTGGATAAAGGTAGTGCAGTTGATGTAGCTTATATGGACTTTCAAAAGGTATTTGACAAAGTGCCACATGAAAGACTTGTAAGAAAGATAGAAGCCCATGGTATAAAAGGGACAGTGGCAGCATGGATCCAGAACTGGCCGGGAGACAGAAAGCAGAGAGTTGTGGTGAACGGCTACTTTTCTGACTGGAGGGAAGTGTACAGTGGCGTCCCCCAGGGATCGGTATTAGGATCACTGCTCTTCTTAATATACATAAATGATCTGGACTTGGGTATAGCAAGTACCATTTCCAAGTTTGCGGACGACACAAAGTTAGGGAGAGGGTAAACAGTGAGAAGGATAGTAGCCAACTGCAGGAAGACATAGACAGAATGGTAAAATGGGTGACACATGGCAGATGAGTTTCAATGTGGAGAAATGCGAAGTAATGCATTTTGGCAGAAAGAATGAGGGGAGGCAATATAGGCTGGTAATACAATCTTAAGGGGGTAAAAGAACAGAGAGACCTGGGGGTGCAGGTAAGTGAATCCTTGAAGGTGGCAGGACAGGTAGACAAAGCCGTAGAAAGGGCATATGGGACACTAGGCTTTATAAATAGGGGCATAGAGTACAAGAGACAGGAGGTTATGATTAACCTATATAAAACACTGGTTAGGCCTCAGTTAGAATACTGCCTGGAGTTCTGGTACCAGGAATGAGGGACCTTGATTATGAGGAAAGGCTAGAGAGGCTGGGATTATTCTCATTGGAAGGTTATGAGGAGACCTAATAGAGGTCTTCAAAATCATGAGGGAATTTGATAGGGAAAAACTGTTTCCACTGGTGGTTGTGTCGGTGACTCGAGGTCACAGATTCAAAATAGTCTCCAAAAGAAGCAGAGGGAAGGTGAGAAGAAATGTTTTCATGCAGCGAGTTGTTCGAATCTGGAACGCATTGCCTGAAAGGGTGGTCGAGGCCAATTCGATAACTACTTTTACAAACGCGGTGGACGGGTATTTGAGGAGGACGGGTTTGCAGGGTTATGGGGAAGGGGCCGGGGAGTGGGATTGACATTAATTGCTCTAATCAAAGAGCCGGCACAAACTCGATGGGCAGAATGGCCTCTTTTTGTGCTGCATGATTCTATGATTCTATGATTGTTTGCAGGACACTTTCACCCATAAAATATAATCAATTCACTTTGCAATGTATTCTGTGAAGCGCTTTGAGACATCTCAATGATGTGATAAGGCGCTATATCAAATGCAAGATTATAGGATTTTGCCTTACCCATCAGATCCAGAGAGCTCTGGTGGTTGGATATAACCACAAATGGGCCTTTGACCTGAAGGTTTTCCATCCCGTTGACTTGCAGTTTAATTCCATACAGATATTTGATGTGTTGCAACACGTAACGGACTATTCTGTAAGAAAAAGAAAACCGAGATGTTCAGATGGGAGACAAGAACCAGCACGCTTCCCAGGTAACAGGGAGTAATTCTTCCCTAATGAGTGGTTGCTGGATAAACTGGTTCAAGTTTAAAGGCAACCCTCAAACCTATACCAGGAGCTTGGCATATTTCAACAACAACAACTTGCATTTGTATAGGGCCCTTCACGCAGGACAGTATCTCAGAGCACTTAAACAGTGGCGGAGCCCGACTCCAAGCCGCGGGGAGGGAGGGGATGACGTAAGCACAGTCGAAGAGCGAGGTCTTCAACTTTCAGCTGATATGAGGCTCACAAAAGCCGTTACCCTCATAAGGGAAAGTTACCTTGACAACCAAACAATTCACACCAAATTGCTTAAAAGCATAAACCACAGACGTCAGCAGAGAAAACGCAGGAAGCAACAGGACAATATGAAGGAGCACATTGCAGTTAGTCCCTCCAGGATTCAGTAAGTCAAAGATTTTCCCCCCAAATGGCCATTCACTGTACAAAAATAATAATCAATCTCGCATTTGATACAATGCATTTCATGTCCAACTCCTCAAAGCACTTCCTAGAATCCTAGCTGTAAGCTGCCGTGACTATTTTTGTAAGAAAATGTGGTAGCCGTTCAATTTATGCACTTTCCCCACCGCATACAGCATCTATCCAAAACAAGCATCATTTTACATCAATAAGTTGAATGTCCTTCCTGTCAAACCTCTGCTCATCTTGCAAAATAACTAAATTTAACGTGGCCTTTCACAGTTCATTGAATTCTCCTTTCAACCAGGTTTCCCAGACTGTGGCATGACATGAAAATGTAATCTGTAACAGTTGCAGTGTGGTCTGTGCTCTAGTCTCAGGCACATTTTTCACTTCCAACGCACAAATTTACACAGGGAAAAAAGTACACCTCCATCTCAGCACATCTCCAGCCTCCAAAGCATTCTATAATGACAGTAATTGCAGACTGGTCAGCAAAAACTCCCACTCCCTCTCTCCCCAGTCCTGCTTAGCTGGTTGCAAAATTGCCTAAATATATATATATTTTTTTAAAAACACAAGTGACACCGAATGCTACCTTCCCATTCTGTCTCCACCCTCGACTCCTGCTGCCCTGATTGACTGCCTGTCAGACAGACATCCGAGTCCTGGATGAGCCCTAACTTTTTCCAGCCCAGCATAGACAAACCTGAGGTTCTCTTGCTTGGTTCCCACCAGTGCTTCATCACTTCAGGTGCTGACCGCATTGACCTGGTGTTGGATACACCTGGCCGGCTATCCCCATTCCTGCCCCCTCACACCATCCCACATTTGGTCAACTCGCAGCCATTTTGCCCTCACCCCCTGGAACTCTTCCAAAATCCATCCACCTCCCCCCTTCTCTGCTTTCAAAATTTATCTAAAGACGCAAACCCCTGACTGCACCTTCAGCTCTTTCCTAGTTCATGTTCTCACTGAAGTTCTTGGAGACCTTCTCCCTACGTGAAAGGCAAATTTCATTTGAACACGCAAAATACTTTTATTACACAGGCTTTAATAACCCTCAAATGTACTAAATTGCTTCCCTTTAAAATCTTTGCTCCTGTCGATGTAGGTGTGTTCTGAAGCTCACTGCATGGGAGGTCACAGGTCCAGGCCTGTATCATTGGCCTATTGGCACAGTGCGGCGGTGACTACAGTTATGGAAAACTGGTATCAAATGAAACTGTTGACTCGCACACGACTACAAGCTCACAACAGCCATATAGTCTAGGCCTTAACCCAAGTAATGGTCAAGCTCTCCCCGTTGCCAAAAGTCCTTTGGATAAGACAAACTGAGGTCCTCACATCTGCTTGCCACCAGGCAGATGTTAAACATCCTGCGACATTACCCAAAGAAAAAGGGCATTTACCAACAATCCTCTACTGTCTCACACCGCAGGCCACCGAAACCCTTATACACGCCTTCATTACATCGAGGCTCAACTATGCAAATTCACTGCTTGTGGGCCTCCCCAACTCCTCCTTCCTCAGGCTGCAGATCATCCAGAACTCTGCAGCCAGTGTCCTCTCCCGCACTAGGCTCCGCGACCCTATCACCCCCATCTTTGCTCGACTCCACTGGCTTCCCATCACACAAAGGACACAGTTCAAGATCCTGGTCCTCACCTTCAAAGCCCTCCACGGTCTTGCTCCTCCCTACTCTCCGACCTCCTAACCCCCTACCACCTTGTTCGCTCCCTCCACTCAGTGGGCTCCAGCCTGCTTCACTTCCCCCGCCTCGCTCGCCCAACTATCGGCGGGCAGGCCTTCCGCCACTCTGCACCCACCCTCTGGAACTCCATCCCGCAGTCCCTCCGGCTCGCCCCCTTCGAGACCCTCCACTTCGACCGTGCTTTCGATCTTCCTGCTTGAATGAAGACCCATTTGATGTCATCCTTCCAGAATACCCAACACTCCCATGACAGCACCAAGATTGCTTCTTAAACAAGTCAGGTACTCTCTCCCGGTATCCCTCGCCCCTTCGCACTTTGCTTTCAAATCCCACTTGAAGACCTATCTCTTTTTCGACTGTTCAACCGTCAACTCTGAAAGGTGGAAGAACAGGCGAGCAAGCAATCAGAATGGAGAGACCAATATTCTGTGCTCGTACACAGTAGGTAACCTGGGGACGAAATGGTTTCACTGCATTGGAATACATTTGTGGATTAATCAAAAGCAAAACTGATATATCTCAGCAATTAAGAGGGGTGTGGCATAAACACTAGAATTCTAAAGTCTAAAGCAGTTTAAAGGAATGGTTACTTTCTCCAAGAATCACTTCCTGTTGTATCATCCCACCCTGTTAGTGGACGCAGCCCCACGGTACGACAGAGCACAGTCAGCCTTAGCTACCTTTCAGTTCAGGAAAATCTTTACAGGTCACAATAAATCACATAACACAACCTGTGCCTGCCAGATAATAATAATAGTAATCCTTGCATTTGATATAGTGCTTTTCACGACTTCTAGACGTCTCAAAGCGCTTCGCAAAATAGGCTGTAAGGTGAATTGACTGTATATTTGTGGGCGAAACGTGGCAGCCAATTGCGCACAGCAGCGTCCCACAAACAGTCGAGAATTGAAAATGACCAATTTATTATTGTTTTGGAGGGATTATTATTAGGCGTGTGGAGTAAGGAAACTTGCCCAAGGTTTTGAATCCAGCTGTCTTGCTTGCAAGGCGACTGCTCTAACCACTGAGCTACAGGACTCCAGATAACTAATGATCAACAGTGACTATTGTGCTGGTTGTAGTGGAGGGGGGTGAGTGTCTCCTTGGGTCTGAGCTGGCTCGAAGATGACAAATGTCAAGCCAAGCAGGTCCCTAGTACTCCTAGGTATTGTTGATGTCAGAACAGCCAGTCTGGTTCATTAGCAGGACTTAGAGGGGCAGATTGGGGGCAGGGACTCATCCCACTTGGCTCCTGCTAATCCCATAAACCAAAGCCTTAGCACAACCAAAGCCAACCTGTGCCCTGATTTAAGGTATGAATCAAGAAAGATTCAATCAAGAAAATGTATTTTGTTTGCCGACCATAAAGGTTGGTCACCACTGCCCTAACGGGTGGGGTGGTCTAGTTGGATCCATAGCAGTGTCCTGGCAAGCTTGCCCGCTCTATGGAAAGCTCTGCAATGTTACCAGGTTGAATTCCCATCAATGGTATTCGAAGCCTTGGCTCAACCTGCACCTAATACTCCCTGGAATTGGTTATGCAATGGGGAGGGTATGCACAATCCACTCCACACACAAGAAAATGTCTGTGTGTCATGTGGAAACATGCAGAACCGTCACTCTGGTTTCAACACTCTTAAGCAAGGCTCTGAGTTTCTCCACTCATCAAGACACCCGGGTGATCGGAGGTCCATACAATCACAACCGAATGGGAAATATTCCCAGCAAACCAATTGTCCCGAGTATCAGACATTCGTCTGATGCTCGGGACAATTGGAATATCGACAGTCATGTCGCAGAAACTAATAGCCTCAAAGATAAGAAAGAGGAGTAATTGCACAAGTCCTGCACGCAAGGCTGCTCTTTGCCTGCAATGATTTTGCTGAACAGTAGCCAGAGTTTCACAAACAATAACTAACTGCTGGCTGGCCAGCCAGTTGGGCAAAACAGCCCATGGCGTGACAGAGCATGCACGGTCAGCCCAACTACCTTCCAGTCCAGGAAAATCTTTCCGAGTACCGATCACCTCAACATTGCTGCTTCTTGCCTTGTAAATGTAATCCCCCCCCCCCCAACCCAGCCCAGATACACACACCAAGGTCAAATACACCTGCACCCTACACACCCACACCCAACACCTAATGTACCATTTCAATTCCTTCCCTACTCCTCCTGGAATGTGTCCACGTCTATGCAGATGGCCTCTGACCACATCCTTCCGGCTGATGTTCTTTCTTTCGGTCAAAAGACAGTGCAATCAGATTTCAGTGGCTGGTGGGTGGTTGGGATCCAAAGCTCTTAGAAGAGCCGGCCAGGCCGGCGAAGAGAAGGAGCCCCAGGAGACAGACTTTGCCCCCCACCCCCACCCTCCCCCAGAGGAATGCATCTTGCCTTCCCTCAGCGACCTGGCCGAGAGATAGGGAACTCTGCACGGATGCAAAGCACACATACCAGGCATCACACCCACACACACACACCCCCCCCCTCACACCCCCCCACCCTCACACCTCCCCCCACCCACACACACCCCCACCCACCCCCCACACACCACCCCCCCCCACACACACCCCTTACCCACACCCCCCCCCACCCACAACCACCACCCCTCACCCACACACAACCCCACCCACAGCCCCCCCCACCCACACCACCCCCACCCACATACACCCCCCCACACCCCCCCAGCGGGTTCCTGGCACTAGCCGCCAAGGCTGAGGAGGAGCTGTGCCATATGCCACTCACTTCATGTTCTCCACATTCCGGCCCCTCACCAGGCAGAGGGGGATGACGCCCAGAGCCAGAGCCATGATCCAGGAGTAGTAAAAGGCCATCTTGAAGTAGTACTTGAAGGTGGCGCTGAGCTGGCACAGCACGGGGATGAGCAGGAGCAGCAGCAGCAGCAGCCACACCGCCATGGCCTTGGGCCTGAGTCTGAGCCCGAGCCCGAGGCTCTCAGGCCCAACCTGCCGCCTGGACCCCCGAGCCTCCCGCCTGCCGCCTCCCGCCGCCGCTCGCTTTGTCCAGGGCCCCTCCTGCTCTCTGCCCTCCCGCCCGGGCTGTGGCCGCTCTCTGTGGCCGGTGTTTCGGTGCCTCTCTCTCTCTCTCTCTCGGCTCCGCTCCCACCCGGGGCTGCGGTCAGGGCCGCTGTCGGGCCGCTCCGGTCCGGTCTGTCTGTCTCTGGGCTGTGACTGACGCCGCGCTCTCCAGGCTCTGGGGGGCGGGGCTACAGCACGTCCGTCGCGTCTGGGCGGGGCCGAGCGCGGCCTGGCGTGACGTCGGCACGTTGGCCACGCCCACCACCCTGACTGACACTTAAAGTGACACCAACAGTGACACCAACACTGACACTCATTGTGACACCAACTGTGACACCAACCCTGACACACATAGTGACACCAACTGTGACACCAACCCTGACACTCATAGTGACACCATCAGTGACACCAACCCTGACACACATAGTGACACCAACTGTGACACCAACCCTGACACTCATAGTGAGTGACAGTGACACCAACCCTGACACACATAGTGACACCAACTGTGACACCAACCCTGACACTCATAGTGACACCAACAGTGACACCAACCCTGACACATCATAGTGACACCAACAGTGACACCAACCCTGACACTCATAGTGACACTAACAGTGACACCAGCAATAATAATAATCCTTGCATTTACTACGGCGTGTTACACGCCGGGAGGACGTCCCAAAGTGCTTCACCGAGTGATTTACTGTGAAAGTGGAGTGACTGTGTTTTGTGGGTGAATGTGGCAGCCCATTTGCACACAGGAACGTCCCCCAAACACCCATGATACAAGTCACCAAATATTATTTCGGGGATTATTCGCCACTACACTGGGAGAAACTCCTCTTTTCAAATAGCACCATTTAACGTACACCTGAACAGGCAGATGGGATCTCGGTTTAATGTCTCATCCGAAGCATGGCACCTCTGACAATGTAGCACAACCCCAACACTGCACTGTTGTTTTTTTTTGATTGGATTATTTAATTGGAGCATCAGCTTAGACAATGTGAATTCAAGTCCCGACATGGGGCTTGAACCCACAACCTTCTGATTCAGAGGCAAGAGTGCTACCACTTGCACCAGGCTGACGCAGCCTGACACCAACAGTGACACAAACAATAACACCAACAGTGACACCAACAACAACAAATTGCATTTATATAGCATCTTTTACATTAAGAAAGCATCCCAAGGTGCTGAACAGTTGAGGATTTGCACCCGAGCTGAGGGTTGGATTCAGGAAGGCTGGTGCCAAAGGGGATGGGGGTGAGGATGTGGTCAAGATGAAGGTCTTGAGGCAGACCTTGAAGAACATGAGATGAAGGGACTCCAGATCCTCCAGCTGGAGGATGGAGCTCCAGAGAATGGAGGCAGAAAAGCTGAAGGCCTGATCGGCAATGGTGGAATGGGCAAGACATGAAGCAGGCCAGTGCCCACCAAGCAGAGGGATTGGGCGGGTAGGGTAGGGTTTTAGAAGGTCGCAGAGGTAGGGTGGGGCAAGACCGTGGAGAGATTTAAAAGTGAGGATGAGGATCTTGAACTCAATCCTCAGGGGGTTGGGGAGCCTTGTGCGGGAGAGGACATGAGCTATAGAGTTCCAAATGGTGTGGAGGGAAAAGTTGGGAAGATCAGCGAGCAGAAAGTTGGATGTGATAATCTATCCTGGACATCATAGATCCTAACTCTAAAAGCATGGATAAGAGTCTTAATATCAACAGTGATACTAACCGTGACACCAACAGTGCCACCAACATGAAACAAACAGTGACACTAATTGTGTCACTAAAAGTGACATATCCCTGACATTAAGAGTGTCAGACACCCGGCTGACCAAATCAAATGACAATGGCCTCACACCTCTCCTCAACCAGAAACACATGGCCATTCCACCTGGAGATATCGCCTTCTGAAGCTGCGCGACACTCCCTGTCCTCTTTCCTTCTCACCCCCTGCAGTAGAAAATGAATACTTTTATTATTGATTTATTTTCAAAGGGAAACGTGGTTAACGTGCTCTCCTCGCAAACGAGAGGACCTGGGTTCGATTCCCGGGCAGGACGAAACCTTAGGCAAGTTTCCTTACCCCTACACGCCTCCGTTTACCAAGCAGTAAATAGGACCCTGGTTGTTTGTCGATTGGTGGATCATTTTCTGGGGGTAATTATCCCTCAATAAATAAATAAATAACATTTCTCACTCAATCCACCACTGTTCGAGGGACAATACTGTGCGCAATTGGCTGCCACATTTCGCCCACAAAATACACAGTCAATCCGCTTTACAATATATTTTATGAAGCGACATGATTCGCTTCAAATTCAAGGATAATTATTACAAGGATTATGGAATAACAGGGGTGGGTGTTGAGTGAGATGGAGAGGAGGTCCTTTAACATCCATCCACCTGAAACAAGGTCCGAAGGACCAAAATTGATGATTCAAGGAAAAAAAAGGGGGGAAGGCAAAAATAAAACATTTTGTGGGGGAGGAATTAAAAAAAAAGTTTTAAGTTGAGCCCCAGATCGGTGCCCCCAACGTGTTTTTTTTTTTGGGGGGGGGGGAGAGAGGAGAAAGAAAAAAAGAAAGCTCTCCAATCCTCATTCACAAGATGGGTGCCCACCAGCAATGAAAGGTTTCAGTTTTAATGCAGTAACTGCAAGAGACAGAGAGAGAGAGAGAGAGAGATAGAGAGCGAGACTCGAGTTCGAATCCCTTCGTGGAGTGAATAAAGCTGTGAATAAAACACTTTGTGCAGCAATGACTTTGGGTTTCACATTGCCACCACCGTCCTGCGAGTCGCGTGTTTTCCATCTTCTGATGTCTGCCTTCATGTGCAAATAAATCTTATTGATGCACCTTCTCTCCCCCCACCGCCCCCCCCCCTCCTCTGTATCTCTACTGGGAGTGGGTGGTGGGTGGTCTTTAGCTGCCTGTTCTCTCCCCCCCACCCCCACCCCCACCCCCACACACACATCACTGCATACAGTATAAATGTGCAATCAACTGCACTGTCAGCCCTGTGACCTGTGCAGGTTTTGTTCATTTCATTTCAAGCTTTGATAATAAAATCTTTTGTGAGTGTGTGTTTTTTTTTTGTGCAAAGCAAAGAAGGTGGGGGGGGGGGGGGGGGGGGAGAGGAGGGGGTGGGGGAAACCTTTTAATAAAAAATGCAGTTTTTTTTTAATGCATGTGATTTACACACACATATACACACACATACACACACATAGCATTCAATCAAATGCAGAGCCCCCCCCCAAAAAAAAAAGCATTGCGCAGTCTCACACTGAAGCCAACATCAGCCCTGGCTCTCTGCAACCCAACCACACAGCACAGCACAGGGGCAGATCATGCAGCTCCTTTAACAGGGGGCAAAATCGTGGGGGGAATATATTTGCACCATCCTCGAAGCCCCCCCCACCCCCCCCCCCCCCCCTCCCCTCCCACACACACACACACACACACACAGGATCCCAGCAATGAGACGCCTCCGGAGGCTGGTGCATTCTGTCCTTTTCCGTCCCTGGTCCAGGGGGATACAGGTACCTCTCTCTCTCTCCTCTCTCTCTCTCTCTCTCCTCTCCATCTCTCTCCTCTCTCTCTCTCTCCTCTCCATCTCTCTCCTCTCTCTCTCCTCTCCATCTCTCTCCTCTCCATCTCTCTCTCTCTCCTCTCCATCTCTCTCTCTCCTCTCCATCTCTCCTCTCCATCTCTCTCCTCTCCATCTCTCCTCTCCATCTCTCTCTCTCCTCTCCATCTCTCCTCTCCATCTCTCTCTCGTTCTCTCTGTCTCTCTGCCTCTGCTCAGTTTGCAAACAAAACAACAAGCGATTCGATTGCTCCAGTGATGGGCAGACAGATTGCTCACTGCCTCCTCGTAGCATTGATTGCCAGTAAATCCTCACCATGGCAATGAGACTTATTTGTATGTTATATATGTATGTATGAACATCTGGCAGCGTTACCAAGACACAATGCTGTTTGTTGCCAACAGCATTTAGATTCTTTGATTATACCCCATCCCCCAGACTTTCCCCACTTGCCTCTCTGCCCCTTGTTATTACCCCTCCCATCAGTCAGTACCGGATTGCTCTCTCTCGGGGTAAAATTTCGGCGTGTAGCGGGTTTTGCGCTCTCGGCTTGTGCTCAGGGATCATGTCAGATCCCTGTGAACGACCAATGATTCGTTCCTTTCTTAAACAAGATTATTATGTAAGGCGTACCCAGCGGGTAGCCCATGAGCGCGCCCAAAACTGACTGAAATAAGCGTACGGAAGGACGCTCGAGAGGTAACCAAAGAGCGTCCCGAAAATGTATGTACGGTAAACACGTGAGCGCACGGTGCCCATCGGGCGCCTTCCGAAAGTGGCAAAGGCGCCTTATCAGGGTCTGTGTGGGCACGCACATGGATGTGGTGTACACAGGGGCGACTCCCGACTGTGTTAAAGGGAGCGTCCCCTTAAAAAGACGTGTGCACAACCTATGTGCGGTGAAGGAATGTAGCGTAATCAACAGAATGTTTTTTTTGAATCGGGAGAAAAGGGAAAAATTGTAACAGCAGATGCTGTGTTTGTTTTGGATTTCTGTTGTACTAAATATTATATTTATAAATAAAAAGATTATTACGTAAGGCGCTGTGATAAAAGATCATTTTATCTGTAATAATAATATATTTTTGGAAAACCCTGATACATTTATTATTTTAAGTGCTAAATGAGATCCCTTCGCTGGTGGGGGTGGGAGGGCGGGAGGAGAGAGGGAGAAGGACACCAGATTTAAGTGTACATTTTCCACACTATTTTCCACTGTTAAATCTAGATTCTTGCAGAACGCTGACGGTAACTGTTAACCTATTTATAATAATAATAATCTTTGCATTTGATATAGCGCCTTATCACATTTTCTAGACATCTCAAAGGGCATCACAGAATTGACTGTATGTTTTGTGGGCGAAAGACGGCAGCCAATTGCAATCAGCAGGGTCCCACAAATAGTTATAACCAAATCATTATTGTTTTAAAAAATTTTTGAAGGGATTATTACCCCCGGATTATTACCCACCAATGGACTAACAACCGGGTTCCTACTGACTGCTAGGTAAACAGAAGCGTGTGGAGTAAGGAAACTTGCCCAACGTTTCACCCTGCCTGGGAATCGAACCCAGGTCCTCTCGCTATTTAAGGGAAGCTTCAAATCCAAGATGGCATGATTGACTTCTCTGACCCCACGGCCTACCACAATTTTTGAGATCAGTCTCGTTTTTTTTAAATATGGTAAACTCCTGGAAACTCATCACTCCAAGAAAAAAGGGTTCAGTGATTAGTTATCCAGAGCGGTGAGTTAGGCATTTATATTTATAAATACGTAAATAATAATAATACTTGCATTTGATATGACACCTTATCACATGATTGAGGCGTCTCAAAGTGCTTCACAGAATATACTGTAAAGTGAATCAACTCTGTATTTTGTGGGTGAAATGCGGCAGCCAGTTGCACACAGCAATGTCCCACAAACAGTTGTGCATTGAGTTACCAAATCGTAGAGAGTATCAGGTGTAGGTAGACAAGAGCCAAGGCTTCGGGACCCCAAAATGTGTGTTGGGGTATTGCTGGAGTCTAACCAGCTAAAACCACAGAGCTTGCCATTGAGAGCGCTGTCAGGCAAGTTACATCAAATATAAGGTCATGGTTGATGCACCAGTGCAGTGTGGGGGAGCAATGCACCTTTGGAGGTGCCATCCTTTGGGAGAGATGTTAAACCGATATTCCGTCTTCAGGAGGACGTTAAAGATCCCATGACTATTTGAAAAGAGAAGGGAGTTTCTCCCGGGGGTCCAGGCCAACAATCCATGGATAAATTGTTCATTTGCTTTGGTGGCTGTCCGCAAATTGGCTGTCGCATTCGCCACAAAAATATAGTCAATTCACTTTACAGTATATTCTGTGAAGCGCTTTGAGACATCTCGACGACGTGATAAGGTGCTGTATCAAATGCAAGAATTATTATTATTCATTTAGGGTAAATTCTGTGCAGCTCGTTGAGACGTTGCGATAGCATGAGAAGGCACTATGATAAATGCAAGGCTTAATATCATGATGATATAACCCATTTTCTGCATCTCCTTAGAACCGACTGCCAGGCATCAAAGTGAAGTACCTCTTGTTTGTGTGGCTGGGAATCCTTGTGGGAAGCTGGGTGCTTTACATGCATTACTCCTCGTACTCGGAGCTGTGCCGAGGACACATCTGTCAGATGATTATTGTGAGTACAGTAACCAGACACTAAAGCTTGACAATAAACCTTCTCCATATGTCATCACTGGCTATGAGATATGAACAACTGGCAAACAGCAAAAGGCAAACTTTAAGGTTTTAGCCGGTTAGACTCCAGCAGTTACCCCAACGCACACTCTGGGGTCTCCCAAGCCTTGGCTCTTGCCAACCTGCGCCAAATGCTTTTCAGAATTAATTAACCAGGGAGAGAGTGCGCACTCCAATCCAACAATCTATCTCAGGAATTTCCATGTGTAGGTGGGCTGCATGGAACTCTTAGTGTGGTTTGGATACTCTTAAGCATGGTGGTGGGTTTCCGCATATGTCCATAAATTTCTGGAAAGCATTCCAAAGAAATGTAAATTTCCATGCAATACATGCAAAATAATATCTCGGATTACAGTATATAGTTTGGGACACAACACTAGGTGGACCTTGGACTTCGTTTGACGAGCAAATTCTTATGTTCTTATATCGGTAGTTTGGTTTAGAGACTTTTTAAAATATAAATTTGGTGTATTCCTTTATTATTTTGCTATTTTTCTCCCTTATGCCCATCCCTACGCCTGTCTTGCTGCGGTGCGGTTTGATGGATGATGGTGTGATTAGAAGATTCTGTTGGCAAGGCAGAGTAGTGTTTCCGCAGATTTATTTTGAATTTATTCTGTGTGTGTCTGCAGTACACTAGGAAGGGTACATTCTGTGCAATGTCTGGAAGTTCCCTTTGTGTAGATGGATGAAATCGATTACTAACGAGTGCTTTTTCCTCTGGTTTTCAGTGTGACCGCTACAAAAAAGGCATTATATCTGGCTCCGCCTGCAGGGATCTGTGTGAGGAAAACACACTGGTCTTCCAGCACTGTCTGTCCTCAACCCCCGTTCACCAGGTACGCAGCGGCAGTGATCAGATAACAGCACTTGGAGAATGTGTACGTGCGTGTGTGTGCGTGTCAGATGTGTTGCTCTGGGCTATAACACACGGCAATTTCCTGTACAGACATCTCTAGGCCATAACATGGCTCAGGGCATCTTTTAACATATAAAATGTTGTGGAAAATCCCCACAAGTCCCTAAGAACTCCCCAGCAGTAATTTCAAAAGCCCCCACCAGTAAATTGCCTGATAATAATAAAGGTAATGGTGATGTTGTCGGCAGTGGGCGTGCAGGCATCATTTAGGCATTGATGTTGTCGAATCTGTAGTGAATCTTCATCAAATACGTGACGCATTGCTTCACCTGTAGAAATCTGTTGTTAATGTTTCTGGATGGCCTTTTTCTGTGCCGTAAATTACCTGTGGTCCTAAGTACTGGTAGGTGTGTGTGTAACAGTGCAGGTACTTAGCTATGAGTGGATTGCACAAGAGCGAGCACTGAGGCACACAGATTGCGTTAGTTCGATATTTTTAGTTACGCTGAACATTCACATTAGAGAAAAAATAATGAAGTGCCTGAGACTTTTACCTATTACTGAAATAAATGGCCTACTTTTCTACAGGCGTGAGATAAGCAGTCGATCTATCCTTGACCTATTTCTGAGACCCCAGGACACCTGCCCCCTCCCACCTAGCCTGTTGGACGAGGTAAACTATTTAGCATTGGCTGAGACATTAAGACTGAGTCATTATGTTACGTTTGGCCAACCAGCCGTCTGACACGCAAAAAACCATCACTGTACTTAAGCGTCTCCAAACCAGAGAGTTCCACATTGGGTGTTAACCCGGCTCAGTTGGTAGCACTCTCGCCTGGAACCACATAGTCTAAGCTGACACTCTCCAGTGAGTTGCTGGGGAAGCGCTGCAATGTCAGAGGTGCCACCCTTTGAATGGGACGTTAAACTGAGGTCCTGCCTGCCTTTTCAGGTGAACATTAAAGATCCCCTGGCACTAAGTGAGTTTTTCGTGGAAAAAGTAGTCTTCTCCTGTCAACACATGTGCACTTACAGGCTGCATTGAATTACACATACACAGTGGAGATTCTTGATTAAATTGGATTTTATACGTTTGCCTGCAACTCGGACTTGGCGTAAGTCATATTAAAGGTTATGGACCCGACTGATATGACTTATGTGAGTTTTATTGTATTGGACGCAAGAGACAAGAATTGGGAACTCCTAGAATGTGCGTTGGGGGTAACTGCTGGAGTTTAATTAGCTAAAAGCACGCATCATGGCAAGTCAGATAGTGTGGGCAATGTCACGCTGCTTTTTTAGCTGTGTTAAACTCCAGCAGGACTGAAGAGCTCAGCAGTACCTTCCTACACATGGAATGTGGAGGCATGAGCTGAGTAGCGTGGGAGAATACGGCTGTGGGTTTCAATTTATATTTACTGACATAGCTTTGTTATCTCAAATGTCCTTTTTATGGCTATTGTTTGAATACATGAAATGAACAGAACAAGTGTATGACAGAATAACAATAACGTGCATTTACACAGGACCCTTCACTTAGAATAATGTCTTGGAGCACTGGACAGTGCTGGACAGACGCAAAGTGGTCATAGATTCGGTCAAACAGATGGGTTTTATGTTAGGACTTAATAATAATTTTTGCATTTGATATGGGGCCTTATCACGTCTTCAAGACATCTCAAAGTGCATCACAAAACATACTACAAAGTGAATTGGCTGTATATTTTGTGCTATATCATATGAGGAGGGCTGACATCTGGCTCAGTCGATAGCACTGACCCCGATTATACCTGAATGATTCTGTGTGTTAATCAACACCAGTTGTATGTTGTCTCCAGTGGTTGTGATGCAACATTGAACTGCTTCTTTGCTGCAGGTTTATGGGGGAGTGTGGAACAATCAGGAGGTGATAATTAAATGTGGGATAGAGGAAGCCTTCAGAGCAGATGTGAGTCTGGACTCTCTCCCCCGGAGGGACCTTGCTTTGTTTGACAAACCAACAAGAGGAACTTCTATGGATGAATTCAAGGAGATGTTGCTGACATTCTTAAAGGTAAGTTTCTTCCGAATAGGTCTGAAGGTATTTACTGCAGGAACAGCTTAAGCTCACACTTATACAGTGTCTTTCGTGTAGTATGAAAGTCTCAAAGTAATTTCTTAGCCTTTGTGGCTATAAATCATTTATTTTTAATCTATTGTAGGTTGGCTACTAGTCTTCTATCATAGCTCTTCTTATCTCTCATTGTTTCTACATTGAGTTTTCTAGACTTTATCCAGTTTTCCTCTGTATTCTGTGTCTTTGCGATGATCAAAGGCGTTCTTTTAGAGAGACGGTAGAGGCATGCTGGGTTGAATAATAATAATAATCCTTGCACTTGATATAGCACTTTATCACATAGTTGAGATACCTCAAAGCGCTTCACAGAATAAAGTGAATTGATTGTATATTTTATGGGCAAAACACGGCAGCCAATTATACACAGTAGTGTCCCACAAACTGCTGTGGAATGAGTGACCAAATTATTATTATATTTATTATTTAAATTTATTTCTTTGACGGGATTATTATCCCCGAAAAGCAATCCGCCAAATCGACTAACAACAGGGTTCCTACTCACTGCTAGGTAAACAGGCGTGTGGAATAAGGAAACTTGCCTAAGGTGTTGCCCGGGAATCGAACCCGGGTCCCCTTTTGCTTGTGAGGCAAGTCTCTAACCACTACGCTATAGTATTCCACTAAGGAGAATTGGCCTTCTCCTGTGCTGTGAATTTCTGCGCCTCGGTGTGGTGTCACTTTCAGGATTGCTCTGACTTTGGAACGCTCTCTATTTTCAGTCCAGCCTCGGAGACCAGCAGTCGCTCGGGAGTCTGGTGAGCAGAATAATCACAATGGCTGACATCAACCAGGATAAGAAGGTCTCTTTGGCAGAAGCCAAATCAGTCTGGGCCTTGCTGCAGCTCAATGAGTTCCTGCTGACAGTCTCGCTGCACGAGAAGGAACACACCCCAAAGCTCCTGGGTTACTGTGGAGACCTGTACATCACTGAGAAAATTCCCTATGACTCACTGTACAGTGTCAAGCTCCCTCGCTTCCTACAGCCAGCTCTGCCCCAGGCACTACAGATGCGCTTAAACCACTGGTTCGCCCCTCCGTGGCCCAGGAGAGCAAAGATAACCATCGGGCTGCTGGAATTTGTGGAGGAGATATTCCACGGGGCGTACGGCAGCTTTTACATCTGTGACTCTGAGCCGGCCAACATGGGCTACAGCGAGAACTACGACTTCAAAATGGTCAACCTGAGGAAAGTGGTGACGGAGATGGGGCTTCGGGCTTTTTACAAAGGACGTCACTGCGAGCGCAACGCGGACTGCACCCACATTAGAGACTGCACGGCGACGTGCGACAGGCTGATCAAGCAGTGCAACTCAGAGCTCATTCAGCCCAACCTGGCCAAGGTGTGCCGGGTGCTGCAGGAGTTCCTGCTGCCTGGGGCCCCCCCGGACTGCAAGGAAGAACTGCAGAAACACCTGCAGACCTGCATGACCCTGAGCGGCCTGGCCAGTCAGATGGAGGTGCACCACTCGCTGGTGTTAAATAACATTAAAACTCTGCTGTGGAAGAAAATCTCAGACACCAAATATTCCTAAAGAGAATTGCTGCGGCTCCCAAAATCCCACTTGGTCCTGGCCAGGAAAGAGCACTTTCTAATCAAAAGATTTAGTGAGAAATCAGAGAATCCTTCAATTCAGTTTTAATTTGGAAACCGACTTGTTAAGACCTGTGTGTGAGTTGGGACAGGGGTGGGGAGGCTTCCAATGTAGTTTTCCAAAATTCTACAAGAATTATTTTTTGGGGAGGAGGGCGGTAGGTGGGTTGGGGGGAAGGGGTCAAGTGTTTTGACCCATGGAAATCCAAATAAGCGATTGAGAGCTTCACATATGCATGGAGATTTCTGGAGTGGGAGCACTATGAAGTGGAGGTCGACATGAGCCAAATCTTTGGGAAACTCGATGTGCACTGCAGTTTAACCCCTAAACCACCGGGCAAATTTCTCACCGTTCCCATCTCGGATCATGCTTTGCTTATTAGGTCTTTGCTCGCAGGATTCACGGAAGCCAAGTGGGAAGAATCCTAGCTCCCCCTTCTCCCTCCCAGTGAATGGTCTGCCCTTCCCCCCCCTTCACCTATGAATGGTTTGTGCCTCCAACCTCTGCAAACGAGTCTGGCTCTCTCATCCATCATCAATTTCAAGACATAATGTAAAATCTACTCTGTATTTTAAGAGGGAATGATCTTACAGGCTAAGATGAGGTGGGAGTTTGGGGCTCTGGGCATCTATCGAGGGGATTGTCCCAGTTAAGTTCTGAATGAAGTGTTGCCCTCAAGACAGTGACCTTGACGTTCTAAGCTGCTAGGTTGCGTCTCGTAACAGATTAAAATAAAATAAAACGCAGCTCGTGGAGAACTGCGTGCGAGCCAGCACGGTAAACTTGGTGATGAAGGTTATACATCTCATGGAACCGCTGTGCTTCAATCATACAAGCACTTTTGTCTCCCCATGCAGTTTCTCTCTACCTGCCCTCGCAATATCATTCATTGTATTGGTGTTTAAACTGTGCCTCGTACCACCTTAGTAGTCAGCAACCCTACCTACCGGCCATCAACAATCCTTCCGACTTTTGCAACAACTTGAATCTATATAGCGTCTTTCATGATGGTCAGCAGTTAGAGAGCGCTTAAGAGGCAGAGCCTAATGCTGGGGTGGGAGGTGACTATAAGCCCAGTTGAAGAGGAAGTTCTTCAGTCGTGATCTAAGAGGCAAAGGAGGGGTAAAATGGAGGGTTTAAAGGAGTTCCAAAGCATCGGGTCATAGTGGTAACTCGTAGATTACCGGCAGTGGGATCAAACCCCTGGGTTTCCCGCAATCTGATGCCCACTCTCTTTCACTATTCCAGCAACTGATTCCTGGGGCCTCTCCACTCTTTCTGCCCTGTGGTTCTCGCACACTTGCAGCCGACCCATCACTTCAGCCCAAACTGCAGGGAAAAGGGCTTCCAAAGGCTGGTGTTAAGAGTGTGGAGGCGCTCAGGTCCAGTGCTGTAATTTCCTCAGCCCAACCGCCTGTTGTTGAGAAATTGTGTTGCAAAATAAAACGGCAAGGATTGCAAATAAAACAGGTCTACGTAGTATGTGATGATCAGAAATTCACCAACACTTCCCCCCACAATATGTGAACCACCAGCTTAAACCGCAACCTAGTGAATGCAGTCACTGATCAGTGATTACGCTGTGCATCACGCTCCCTCCTCCAACTGATCTACATTTCATACACCGATTAAATCACTACAGGTCAAAGAAAACATCAAAATTCAGTATATAGCGTCTTTATTAATGAATGTATCAACATAACTAAGTCAACATTATTGATCAAAAGTAACAACATTACTGGTTTGTTGGACATCACAGTTGAACCGAAAATGTATTGTCGTAATCGGATTCATCAGAACTCATTTTATCATCAGAATCACTTTCAGCAGGAAATGGTGGTGAATTGCTCAATCTCGCACGTCCTGCAAACTCTCTCACATGTACTTGTCCCATCCTTTTCAATCCAATGTGAAGGACGCCAAGCAAGTTTTGGGCCATCATTTTAGTCCCCAATTCTTTCAATGTACCTGAAACAAACAAAAAAAAGTTTAGTGAAACATATACGTACGTATCTTTTGAAATGTCGAGACAGCAATTATTATAGAAATTTAAGGTAAATCACCATATGTGGTGTGGCAGAGATGAACTGAGTTTAAACTTTGACCTCCAGTGACCTCATTTGTGCCAATTAAATTAACACTTGCTATAATCTGTGTGTAATTTACGTATAATACCTTGTGTGATGATTGAACTAAAAATGTAGCAGTTATAAATGTTTTTGTACCCCTATCCTGTCATAATAATAATCCTTGCATTTGACATAGCGTCTTATCACATCGTTGAGACGTCTCAAAGTCCTTGAGAGAATGTACTGTAAAATGAATGGATTAAATTTGTGGGCAAAACGTTCTTAAGAAAACCTGCCTAAACTTTTGTCCTGCCCAGAAATCGAACCAGATCGTCTCGCTTGCGAGGCGAGCTCGCTAACCATTACGCTACAGGATTCCATAATTTGGCGAATCAGACATATCTTTGTAGTGTAAATGAGCCATAACTCATCAACAGATTGTGCAGCTCTTCAGATTATTCATTATCAAGTCCCTCATTCCTGAAACCACCATACCGTACCTGGACAAAACATCCCAATTCCATGATGACCTTTTAAGAAAAATCCGACTCGTATGTCCGAGGACAGAGGGTCAGAACTTTTGCGTTTTTGGTAGAAATACCAGCGGCAACTCCCTCGTCTCAAGACTTCCTGTCATACCTGCAGGACAAAGGAGCATATCATTTGAAATGCATAGTGGAGAGTGACCACCCACATCTGAGTACCTTATAAGACTCACTCATTGCCCCAGCCCTAGCCTGTAGTGTGGTCAAGGTTTTTAAATCCAGGATCATCCCAACCAAAGCCCTAAATTGCGCAGTGACTCACTGAGTCAGTCAAACATGCAACTGCCCTCAACTGAAACAATAGAACTGCCAGGGGAATGTCTGCAGTTTCTGCTTCTGTTAATGGAAATCTATCATAGTCTTTCAAAATGTTCCGATGCAGGAAATGCTCCCACATTAAATGAAGCTGCTTGTGTTATTTTGCCACAAACTGCACTCCAGGACTCGCAGAGATGCTGTGTAAGGCTTCAATCATTCCAAACGACCACTGGTCAGGACGCTCAGTGTAGTTACAGCCTGTTCTTCTCTGCCTCTATATGACACAAACCAGACACCGAGTCAGGCTGCAACACCTTTAGGGCAGGAATAATGAATCCAGTAAATTGCAAATATCAGGTGGCGCATAACCTAACGCACAAGTCCATCAACAAGAGGCTCAGTCCATCCATAAAGTACGAGACAACCTGGACTAAGTCAACAGAGATGATGGAAAGGCGCTGAACATCTTAACCAAATGAAATAATTGATGTAATGCATTTCACATAAAACCAAAATGCGGAAGCATTTTGCAAAATATAATGGATCAAAAATGAAGAGAGTGGTATTGAAGTAAGCTGATCTACACCAGAGGCATCTCACAAACAGTGCGATGTGCTGCCAATTAACATGATATTGGATACTCATAACATTTCAAAGACCCTCAGCCCCCTGGCGTGACCAAGACTTGCAGTAAAAATGAGTTTACCTTCTTCAACTCATGGGAGTCTCAGCTTACACCAAGTCAACTCTGCAGCCTGGAATACAACAGAAAGTTTCTTCAGGTTAGGCTGGACAAGGCTTTGGTCTCAACAGAGCATCTCATTTCTATCAGCACAAAAATACTAAACACGGTTACTCGGACACCCACTAATCATTACCTCCCCAAGAGACTGATTCTAGGAGCTCGCCACGAGGTCCCCACTCCCTCCATTAAATGGGAAGATGGATTCTGCAGCAAATGGCAAACAAGTCATACCAATACCTTCACTTAGTAGGCAACAGTCTGCTTCATGTACCCCATCCTATCAGTGCCACCATCAGTTGGGAGTGGGGCTTTTGCTTTCAGTCTTTCTGACCCCATGCTCTGTAACTCCATCCCAGTCTCTCAGACTCACTCCCACTCATCTATTCAAGGTCTCAAGACCCTTCAACTGCGCTTTTGGTCTTTGTTCTCCTCTTCCCCCGACTGCAACCCCCAGCACTGTCAAGTGCGATGCCGTGCCCTCTGGACGTGAAAGGAGCTGGATACATGTAAATCTGCATTGCAAGCCAAAAGCAATTGGGACTTGGCAAAAGCTGACGATTCGCGCTACAAGCGTTGGCCCCACAACTGCGGCAGTGTAAAGGCTTCAATCAATCCAAGCGGCCACGGGTCAGGGCGCTGATCGTAGTTACAGCCTGTTGCTCTCTGCCTCTACACGACACAAACCGGACACAGAGTCAGTCAGGCTGCAACGCCTTTTGAGAGGCAAGAGCGCAAAACCTGCGAGGTTACCGACCGACACGAGACACCCCAACGGCTCAGCGAAAAGAAAAGCCAGATAGGAAATCTGTGACATTCGCACAGCCACAAGCTCTCAGTTCCGGCTCGGTGACCAATAATAATCCTTGCATTTGATATAGCGCTTTTCACGTCTTCTCGACGTCTCAAAGCGCTTCGCAGAATAGACTGTAAAGTGAATTGACTGTATATTTGTGGGCGAACGCAGCAGCCGATTGCGCACAGCAATGTCCCACGAACAGTCGTGGATTGAAAATGACCAATTTATTATTGTTTTTGGTTTTGGAGGGATTGTTATTAGGCTCTGTGTGGAGTAAGGAAACTTGCCCAAGGTTTCGCCCTCTGCCGGGAATTGAACTCAGGTCTCTCACTTGCAAAGCGAGTGCTCTAACCCCTGAGCCACAGGACTCACACACACACACTCTTAATACTAAACCCACCCTCTCTCCCTCCCAGAGTAACGGTTCCCTCTTTACCCGCTGGTCTGGAGCAGAAACAGCCCGAGGCCTCTTACCTGAGCCTCACTCCATTGCTCGCTGCCGGCAATAGCCCCCCACCCCCCGGCAGAGCCCCAGCCCCAACCTCAGCCCCAGCCCTCGGCGAGGGTGGAGGGGTAGGGTGTGAGCTCCTCTGTCAGATCGGGGGTGTTTCTCATCGTGCGTGAGGGGAGGGAGTGTGTGTGAGGGGAGGGAGTGAGTGTGAGGGGAGGGAGTGAGTGTGTGAGGGGAGGGAGTGAGTGAGTGTGTGAGTGGAGGGAGTGAGTGAGTGAGGGGAGGGAGTGAGTGTGTGAGGGGAGGGAGAGTGTGTGAGGGGAGGGAGTGAGTGTGTGAGGGGAGGGAGGGAGTGAGTGAGGGGAGGGAGAGTGAGTGTGTGAGGGGAGGGAGTGAGTGTGTGAGGGGAGGGAGTGAGTGTGTGAGGGGAGGGAGTGAGTGAGTGTGTGAGGGGAGGGAGTGAGTGAGTGAGGGGAGGGAGAGTGAGTGTGTGAGGGGAGGGAGTGAGTGTGTGAGGGGAGGGAGTGAGTGTGTGAGGGGAGGGAGGGAGTGAGGGGAGGGAGTGAGTGTGTGAGGGGAGGGAGAGTGTGTGAGGGGAGGGAGTGAGTGAGTGTGTGAGGGGAGTGAGTGTGTGAGGGGAGGGAGTGTGTGTGAGGGGAGGGAGTGAGTGTGTGAGGGAGAGTGAGTGTGTGAGGGGAGGGAGAGTGAGTGTGTGAGGGGAGGGAGAGTGTGTGAGGGGAGGGAGTGAGTGAGGGGAGTGAGTGTGTGAGGGGAGGGAGAGTGAGTGAGGGAGTGAGAGAGTGAGGGGAGGGAGTGAGTGAGAGAGTGAGGGGAGGGAGTGAGTGTATGAGGAGAGAGAGAGAGAGAGAGAGGGACACCTCCTCCTCCTCCTGTGTTCCCGGTGACTGAGAGGCGGCGCGTTTGGCGCCTCCTGTATTTATACTCCGGTTGGACGGGAAGCAGCGCCGGACAAACGGCCGCGCGTTTCCTTCGCGGAAACAACTCGAAACCCCCGACAGCCCTTTCCGACGCAGCCTCACCACCGTCTCCTGTTGCAGTCGAGAGGGGTCACTCACCTCTGAGTTGTGTGTTCAAGGCCCCTCCCCTCCCCTCCCCCCCCCACCCCCCACCCCACCATCTCAGGTCTTCGGACAGCGCCCCCCCACCCACCCCGGGGCCCGTCTTTCCTTCCCGGCCGAAGTGCGCTGCTTTACTGACCGCCGCTGCGGTCGAACGCGGTCTCGGCCGCCGCTCCGGCGCATCGCTGGGGGAGTGCCGCCGCCGCTGGTCGGAGGCGTCGCCCTTTCGGACCGAGCGAGCGAGCGAGCGCGGGCCGGAGGGATTGCTTTGGGTCGCTCTCGTCAAGGAGCCGGCGCGGGCGCGGGCGCGGGCGCGACGGGCCGAAGGACCTCCTTCCGCGCTGTGCAGTCGTACGATTCTACGAGACGTCAGAGCAACGTGTCCCCCCCCCGTCCCCCGTCCCCCCCCCACCCGTCTGCCCGCTAAGCTGGATCCCATGAAAAGAGTTCAAAAAAAGGGTGTCACTCTCTGGCCAACAAGTCCCCCCGGATAGCACTGATTATTCATGGCTGTTTGTCGGACACTGTTGGGCACCAATTGGCTGCGTGTTCGCCCACAAATAGTCGCTACACTTCGCAGAAAATCCCTTGAAGTCCCTTTGAGACATTTTTCCAATGCGGTCAAATCAAGGATCGTCCGAAACAGGATAATAATTTGACAAATAATACCGTAGATCTTTCTGGATTGCTCTTTCAGACATGCTGTCTGACCAGACATACTGGTCATTCATTATTCCGATTCTTTAAAGTCTTTTCCACTGCTCTCAGCTTCAGGTCATTGAAAAATAGCCTCTTAGCAATTCTTCGTTCTGAGTGCTGTCCTGACTTCCTCTGACATTTCTGCGATATCTCCTGTTACATTTATTGAGTGGAATGGTGCTTTCTCCACACCACTGTATATAGACCAACTTCTTCACTCTACCAGTCCAGTCAGACTCGACCCTCGCATCAACTGTCCCTCAACCTTCTCCCAACTGTCATAAACAGTCTCCCAATTGTCATCAACTGTCAAGTGTACCCCAACCATCAACTATGTCCCAAGTGTCCTGAAATGACCATCTGTCACCATCTATCTACCACCAGTAGCTGTCAATCATCACAAACTGTCCCTCAATTAAGCAACTATCACCTAAGTGGTCACGAAGAGTCTTCCATCTGCCCCTAACTGTGTTATGGCCTGTTGATGTCACAACTGAACCCCTTTTCCATCTCTGTTCCTTCACAGAGTTGTTTGGGTATCTTGTGCACCACTGTCCAGCCTGTGGTCACCCAAGTTCAGTTAGAACAACTGCAACTTCAGAGTGTAAAATAGTGACCTTATAACCCTGGCCAGAACGCTTGTATTACAGAACTGGCTGAACAGTGCACGCAAAATGCAAAATTGAGGCAGCTTCCTTTAATACAGTACCAGACAACTTTGTTAAAACAGATTTTAATACAGTGATTTTAAATACAGTGGTTCATTTGACTTCTTTACCCTCATACAAGAGTTCCATCTGCCGCCTCTTATCTTTTGCCCTGAGGATAGTCATCTTAAAGAGCTTACAATATAATTCAACCGCCGAGGGCGTATCGTCATTGCCTGGAATCGGGTATGTGAGCAGTGATGGGTTGCAGCTTGTGTCCACTATCCCCACCGTGGGGATGTTCATTTTGGCGGCATCTCTCACCGCGATGTGCTGCTCGAAGACGTTGTTCATGGTGTTGAGGAAGATGAGGAGGTCGGGCAACCGCACCCCAGGGCTGTACTGTACGTGTGGGTTGGTCAGGAGGCCTCCCCGCCAGTACCGGGTGTGGCTGTACTCCCCACTCTCCTGCGCTGTGTTTTCAATCAGGTGAGAAAACTGGCGGTTTCGGCTGACAAAGAGTATGACCCCTTTTCGGTAAGCGCAGTGAGCTGTGAAGTTCAGCGCCTCCTGCAGCAGCGGCACAGTTTGGTCCAGGTCAATGATGTCTTGCTCCAGGCGGCAGCCATAGATGTAGCGTTCCATCAGCCTAAGGAGGTAGAGTCAAGATATTTACAGTCAAAACCAACGATCTTTTTAACAAGGAAACAAACTCAATCCCGACTAGATCCTCACTCTAACCACTTATCAAAGATCCCACTAAACAGGTGCCAGAAACGCCCCCTCCCCCTCATCTAAACCAGTTACCAGAGATCCTTACGAACCAGCCACAAGAAACTGTCACTACATTTACAGTAAAAATTCTGTGACTGGTCTGCCCTTCCAGGTCCTGCCGATGAGCTAGGCTGGCTATGCAGTGCCTTGGAATACTGCAGACCCTCCTGGCTCAGGAACAGACATACTGAGACCACCATAGAGAGCTGGCTCCAAATCCGAATTCTTTTGCCAAGCATGTCACCTTGGAGTTCAGCTCCAAGGAGTCCCCGCTTGAGATATATTGACATTGTGGTATGGCAGTATACCAAATGGGTTAGTATCCCACTTACCAGACACCAGTAATATTGTTGATAGGGACAGCTAACATTGAAACCACAATGTTTGTCAACCTGGCTCAGTTGGAAGCACTCTCACCCCTGAGCCAGAAAGTTGTGGGTTTAACCCCCATGTTGGGAAGCTCACATTTGAGCCCACAGTCTAGGCTGACACTCCAATGCGGTGCTGCAGGTGGATATCATTGTTAGCTGTAAGAAATATGACCCAGGTTTATGCAGCTTGCAGCTACTTAGGGAGTCATTTAGGAGGCAGCAGGTATCCGGAGGAATAGAGGAGTGAAGAACATGACGTACCTGTGACGACAGCCCCTCTTGTGGCCGTGGTGCACTCTGGCATCAAAGAGCTCCTTTAGGGAGAAGAGCTCACTCAAGTGGAAAAAATCTGGGTGTTTCAGGGGATTTGTTAATACAGGATCACCATCATCTGGAACAAAGCATTTCACATCGGAGTCACTTCAAAAGCTGGGAAAGAAGACTCATGGAGTCCTGTTGCGCATTGGTTAGGGCACTCGCTTCACAAGCGAGAGGAACTAGATTCAATTCCTGGGCAGAGCGAGATCTTAGGCAAATTTCCTTACTCTACGCGCCTCTACACTACACTCTACACACAGTAAGTAGGAACCCGGTTGTTAGTTGATTGGCGGATCTATAATCCCTTCAAATTTTTTTTTAAAAACAATAATAATTTGGTCTCTCAATCCACGACTGTTTGAGAGACACTGCTGTGCCCAATTGGCTACTGCATTTTGCCCACAAAATACACAGTTAATTCACTATACATTATATTCTGTGAAGTGCTTTGAGACGTCTTAACCACGTGATGATAATAATGCAAGGATTATTATCATATATTGTTGTGCAGAGAGCTTGGCTATTGCACTCAACACTGTGAGGCCTCATCACAAGCAGAGAGAAGTTATTGCATCTGCGAGGCTCATTATGGGACTCACCTGCATCCGGGGTCTTGTGTGAGGACGGCAGCCGGCGTTCCACAGGCACCGCAGCGTTGCCGTAGAGCCTTTGAGGCAGCCGGTGGCTGGGCAGGCACACGGCACGGCCGGGCCTGAGTGCCAGCACTGAAAGGCAGGAGAGGTCAGAATGAGTCACCTGCCCCGCCAACCCCTCTCCCTGCAACAGGTTAACCGCCCCCACCCCACCGGCAGTGTTGACTTGGTAGCCCCACAGAAAAGGACTTGGAGCTGACTGTCCAGGCTAACCGTCCAGTGCAGTGCTGGGGGAAGCGCTGCATATTGTCAAAGGCCGTCCTTCGTCAGACAGACGTGAAACCGAGGTCCCAATCTGCGAAGGAACCCGTGGCACACGTTACCCGATGTTACGTTACGTTAGGTTACGACTCGAAAAGAGAAGGGAGTTTCTGCCCTCGCAGCGCGTCGGCCGACCACCTCCCAGACAAGACCGGTCACTCGCTCAACGCCGCGGGCGAAGGCCGCGCCCGCGAAGACACGCGGCCGGTCAATTCGCTCCACCGCGGCCGGCGCCGGACCCTGCGAAGCGCTCTGGAGACGTCTCGAAGAACGTGATAAAGGCGCTGTGTGCCAAGCGCGAGGGCGATAGTATTATTCGCTGTTACACAGTCACTACACCTGACAGCAGCTCCCAGGGAAGCTCTATATCGGGGGGTCGGTCCTCCCCAATGACCCACATGACCTTAACCCTTAGCTGCGGCTGGTACAGAGCCCCCCACCCTCCCCCCGGGCACCCCCCCGCCCCCCGCCGCGGGGTAGAGGGTTAAAGTCAGTTGCCCTGTTCTAAGCGCCGTAAAAAGAGACGTTAATAAACCCGACGCCTCTCCCTCACCTCTCCGGAGGGCAGCGGCGGCCATGACAGCCCGAGTCTGTCACTGCCTGCAGCGCCACCAGGCGGCGGGAGGACCCGCTGCAGCGCCACCAGGCGGCGGGAGGACCCGCTGCAGCGCCACAAGCGGGTGGGAGGACCCGCTGCAGCGACACAAGCGGGTGGGAGGACCCGCTGCAGCGCCACCAGCCGAGTGGGAGGACCCGCTGCAGCGCCACCAGGCGGGTGGGAGGACCCGCTGCAGCGCCACCAGGCGGGTGGGAGGACCCGCTGCAGCGCCACCAGGCGGTGAAAGATGGAGTGGAGTCTGTGATCAGAAGCTCAGGGCCATTTTTGCCTTAAATTATATAATTGGGTTTTATAGCAAAAAAACACAGGTTCATTGGGAAGGCAGTTCTCCAAAGTTTTTTTTCCCCCAAAATTAACACCGAGTTCCAAACAATTCAACTTCACCTTTTAACATTTTAAGCTAAATTGATTTTTCAAACTGAGACGACCGATTAATAATAATAATAATAATAATAATAATAATAATCCTCGCATTTGATATAGGGCTTTTCACGTCGGGAGGACGTCCCAAAGTGCTTCACAGAACACACTGTAAAGTGAATTGACTGTATATTTGTGGGCGAACGCGGCAGCCGATTGCACACAGCAATGTCCCACAAACAGTCGTGGATTGAAAATGACCAATTTATTATTGCTTTTGGTTTTGGAGGGATTATTATTAGGCTCTGTGTGGAGTAAGGAAACTTGCCCGAGGTTTCGCCCTCTGCCTGGAATTGAACTCAGGTCTCTCACTTGCAAAGCGAGTGCTCTAACCACTGAGCTACAGGACTCCAAAGATTAGAAACTCAGTGAGAATAAACGCTCTCTATCGGTATTCAGATTCCTCCCTAAAAATGTAACCCATCGGCGGTGCTATCCTTTCCCCTCCTGCCGCCACCCCCATCTCCACCCGCCATCCTCCAGATTTGTTTGGGTCAAGCGGGTGGGTGTCTGACCCACACGGAAATGCAGCCCCAGTGCTTAAAAGTATGCGAACGTGACTGAGAATTCTACGTGTGGAAATCTCGCTGTGCCTGAAATGGAATGCTCACTCTCTCCTCGGACGTCCTGTTTACCTTATTCCCGACAGTATTCAGCACACGTTGACAAAAAGCCAGTGCTTGGGGATCCTAAAGTGTGCGTTGTTGAAACTGCTGGAATCTAAGCAGCTAAAACTGTACAGCTCGCCGTTGAGAGCATGATCTCAATTGCCATTGAGAGCCGGCTGTCTAGTTAGGGCCGCCCTACCTGTTAGGGCTTTGGCTTGCAAGGGCTAACAGGAGCTGAGTGGGAAGAATCCCTGACCCGAGTGATTGGTCTGCCCTTCCAAGTCCTGCCGATGAGCTCGGCTGAATGATCTGTCATCAACAGTACCCTGGGGTACTGCAGACATGTCTGAGTCAGGAACCAGACTATCGAGACCACCACAATGTTGGCTCAATTCCAACATTTTGTTGGCGAACATATCACCGTGGACCCAATTCCGCCAAAAGGAGACCGCGCCCTCCTCCCCCCAACCCACCCCACCCCACCAAGGAGGATATAATAACGAGATGTTAAACTAAGGTCCCGTCTGAATATTAAAGATTGCATGGCAGTACTGGAAAAGATAAGAATTTCTCCCAGTGTCCTGGCCAATAAAAATAAAAATAGATAAAAATAATCCAGTCACACTACCACCCTCCCCCCAACCCCAAACAAAAAATGTGGCCACTCAATCCACAACGTGTTATTGTTGGTTTTGCATCAATGAGTGAGTCTCTCGCTGGCTGTCAACGAGGGATCAATGCCTAAAGTTTGTTATTGCTAAAAGATTTCTCCTTAAAGATTGGCACATACTTTCAACTTACTGAACGTGTTCTGCAGCATTTTAGCAGCTGGACCCTTTCACTTCACCAGCTCCTTGTGTAACTGCAGCCCTTAGGCACATTGTCTAAGAAGAGAAAAGCTGAAACGAGAAAAGGACATAAGAACATAAGAATCTGCTAAGCGAAAGACCAAGGTCCATCCAGTTCACCTTCCATCAACCTAGCACTCGCTTGCACAGGTCATGTCCCAAACTTTATATTGAAAAGTTGGGGACACGATATATGAATTTGATTGCCAGGATGGTGGAAAGATATCTCCCTTGGCCTAAGTATATATATATATCGATATACTCTATATACTGTATCTCTGACCCAAGGGACCCCAAACACATCGTCCTTTGGATAGGGGTCTGAACAATTTGTTCCTATAAGTTTTCTAAAAGGCAAAGGTTGCAAACTCTGGAATACCCCACCATCTCTAACATCCAGCCTCATGCATCTGAAATGTTTACCATTCTTAGCACCATGGAGTCCTGTAGTGTAGTGGTTAGAGCACTCGCCTCGCAATCGAGAGGTTTGATTCCCAGATGGGGCAAAACCTTTGGCAAGTTTCCTTACTTCACACCCCTGTAAGTAAAATCCCAGTTGCTAGTCGATTGGCGGATCGTTTTCCGGGGGTAATATTCCCTCTTATATGTGAAAAAAAATGTGGTCACTGAATACCACGACTGTTTGTGGGACACTGTTGTGTGTTGTGTGTTTGGCTGCCACGTTTTGCCCACGAAATATACCATCAATTCACTTTACAATATATTCTGTGAAGATCTTTGAGACGTCTCTGTGATGTGATAAGGTGCTATTTCACATGCAAGGATTGTTATTAGTATCATCTTTACCCCCTTAACTTTCCTCATCTTTTCTTCCTCCATAGGTTCTTTACCTAAATGGACTTTACCTTAGCACTTTACTTTAGCACTTTATCTAAATGGCCATTCTTTATGAACCTGCCTAATGCCATGTGTTTTGAAGCGAGCATTCCCACCCACCTCTGGTTCAAGAGATCGCGGAAGGTGTGGGAGTGGGGGGATGGATGGAGGTGAGGGAGGGGGAGATTGAAGGGGAGAAGTGGGGAGGGAAAAGGTTGATTGAGGGAGGAGGGATGCAAGGAGTGAGGGGTGGAAGTGGTTGAGAGAGTGGGGTGGGGGTTGGAAGGGGTGAGGGAGGGGGGGGGGAATTGAAGAGGGGAGGGATGGAAGGGGAGAGGGAGGGAAGGAGGGGGAGGGAAGGGGTTACTAAAGGGCACTTGGATGTGGGATGGTGGTTGGAATAAAAGTGGTGGAGCCAGTTGCACTGCTGATGCGGAAGTTTGAGAGTATGCATTTAAGTGTGAGTGAGTGAGTGAGTGAGTGAGCTCGGGTTACCTGATAGCAGGTGAGGCACTGGACAGCAACACTCAACGCTCAGATGGCTCTCGATTTACAGAACCCAAGTAAGTAAATCTCATTTCAAAATGCCTGGGATTTCGTCTCGGTGAGAGATACGTTCTTGAAGCGATGGGAGTCGCTGGTGGGATGTAGGGCAGGAATATTGTACTCTATTTCCTAATTGCTATACAGGAATGTTAGTACTGTGTCCTTCACTGACTTAGGACTATAAAACACCCCTTTCCTCTCAAGGCGTTTATGTTTAAGGTGATTCCTAAATTAGAAATTCCACCTGGGTTCAGATTAACTCTCCTTTTTTCTTGTTGGCATTTCAAGGAGTTTTCACTGGCAAACTGTTAAATTTAGTCTTAATTCTGAAGCTCCCCCCACCCTCCCCGCAAATAATAATCTTACATTTGATAAAGCGCCTTTCGCATTGCGGGGATGTCTTGCAAACTTCCCACTGTTTGACCCACCCTACCCATCAGGGCTTTGTTTTTTTGTTTAAGGGTTAACAGGAGATTTATGGGAATAATAATAATAATCCTTGCATTTGATATAGCGCCTTATCATGTCTAAGAGACGTTTCAAAGCGCTTCACAGCATATACTGTAGAGTGAATTGACTGCCTATTTTGTGGGCAAAACCCGGCAGCCAATTGCACACAGCAGTGACCCACAAACAGTGGTGGATTGAGTGACCAAATTATTATTATTTCTGAAGGGATTATTACCCCCAGAAAAGCGATCCGATAAATAACCAGGTTCCTGCATGCTGCTAAGTAAACAGAGGTGTGTGGAGTAAGGAAATTTGCCGAACGTTTCTCCCTGCCCGGTAATCCTAATCGCTGCGTATTTTTATGGGTAAACACAGTAGCCAATTATACACACAGCAATGTCGCGCAAACAGCCGTGAATTTTAATAACCAATTTTATTTGGGGGTTTGTTGGCCAGAACCCCAGGAAAGAAACTCGCTTCTTTTTTTGAATCGTGTCATGAGATCGTTAAAGTCCACCCCTGGCAATTCAGCAACCCCCCCCCAAAACCTATATGAGTATCAGCTTTGACTGTAATGATGGCGTATGTTTGGTACAGGGCAAGAGTTACCAGGCAATCAGACGGCAGAGGCGACAGACGGCTCCTTCAGCTCCGAGAGCAACTCCTGCAGACGTGGGCTGGATGCGGGCGGCTCTGACCCCGTCCCTACTCCCCCCTCCCCGGACGCAGGCTCGCCGCGGCACGAGGACTCTGATTATCTGCCCTCCCTCAAGCTGGCCTGCGTCCTGGCCTGTGTCTTCCTCTCCGTCACTTTCCTGCTGGTTTCCAGCGGCACCAACAACACCATTAGCCGCTCGAGCCACGCCAACGCCAGCAAACAGAGGCTGTTTGGTCACAAACTCAACCGACTGAAGCTGTTGTTCCCATCGCAGTCTGACTCTCTCTGGGCGGAGCTAGAAAGTGCTCTGAATCGGCGTCTCCGGGACCAGGGGGATACCCTGCGAGCCCCCCTGATCGGAGTGGGAATGCGAGACGCCTGGAATACAATGCTCTGTCTGTCCAGGAACATTGTCGGCTTGTTACTGGGTGGCGGCAATGGGCTGACTCCCAATATCACCAGTAAGGTGCTGCCTTACAGCAGCTCGGCTGTGGGGGTCAGGTCTCAGGGTATCGCTGTGGCTGTGATAGCAGAGAGTGCAGCAAAGCAGGGTTACTCAGTGCTGCTGGGGTCCCAGCCTCCTGCCCTCGTTGCCGTCCTGCCAGCCAGCATGGAGCAGGCAGAAGAGATCTTGCTCCATAACCTGACCTTGAGCGTTCTGACTGAGGTCCTGGGGCACATGAACCTATCTGGGCTGGCAGTGCTGCCAGCATCCCTCCTGGCTGTGAGAGCTGAGGACTATCTGGAGAGCGGATTCGTTTGCTGAGGCCAAGCTATATTTAGGTGTTTTGTTTCTTGGGTAATGTGATGAGCAATAGTGGAAGTTCATCTACGCAAAACCACATGTTGACCATTTGTCTGTGTGATCAGGGCTCCCTCTGTCTCCTTGTCCTCCCATTTTTCTGCTGTTTCTGACACTGTTGACTAGATCAGAACGCCTCTTGTCATTCCACCTCCCCAGGACCACACTCTTCCAATTCCAGTCCTACCTGATCCATCGTCTCCACTTTGCCTCCTCCAGTACTCTCTCCCCCCCGCCACACCCCCACCAGACCTCTAGCCTCCCTCAGCCCTCTCTCCTCTTCCTCACCCACACAAACCCTACTTGGCGACATTATCTGCACACACAGGGTTAACTGACACCCAAATCTTCTCCACTTCTAATTTGGATTCCAAGTCTTCTGATGTTCTGTCAGACATGAAGGCCTGGCTGAGCCTCAAATTCTTACAGCTTAATGTGAACAAGACCGAAACCCACCTATAAACCTGTACCTCTTTGACCTTGTTGACAGTTCCCTCCTTAGGTAGCACATTGTTATTGGAGGCGAATGTGGCATCTAATCGGCGCAAAGGATCAACCCCACCCCTACACATACCCCACACCTCCCACCCCCCACTCCCCCACCACCAGAGTGAGTGAAATTAAAACTGCAAACCGGTTTTGTATAGCATTCTTCACATGAGTAGCGTCTCAGAAGAATCGAGCCATTCTCTGCTGCTCCATTGCTCCGGATGTCCTTTTGCATTCCCTGCATTGAGCCAACCCATTGCATCCCTTTCTGCTCCCGATGATTAGTCACGTTCATAACAAAAGATATTTTGTTTTGGTTTCATGTGAAAGTATTGAACATTATGTGAGGAGTCACAAGAAAATATGTTGAACTCAAATATAAATCTTTTATATAATAAACAATTTGTGACTCATTCTTGTCCGGATATACAAGGGATAGTGGACGGGCGCTCTTTCAAATGCAAGGATTATTATTATAAGGGAGGAGGCAGATAAGAAGCCTAAAATCAGCCTGTGTCTTAATATTTAAGGACAGAATTGTGGGAAATAATAATTAAAATCATAATAATCCTCACATTTGGAATAGCTCCTCACAGGATATACTGTAAAGTGCAGTGGCGGATTTTGTGGGCAATGCGGCAACTAATTTGCACACAGCAATGCTCCTCCACACACAACCATGAAGTGGATGGTTTGAAATAAAAACAGAAGTCGCTGAGTTAACGTTTCCTATGAAAGGTCATCGACCTGAAACGTTAATTCAGTTTCCTCTCTCCATAGATGTTGCCTGACCTGCTGAGTGTTCCCAGACAAGTCTGATTTTTATTCCAGATTTCCAGCATCTGCAGTATTTTGCCTTTTGCCTTTTAGTGAATGATTATATTTGGGGAGGGAATGTCAGCCAGGATCCTGGGAGAAACTCTTTTCTCGTTTCAAATCGTGCCGGGGGATCTTTAATACTGCCAGGAATACCACCGAACAACACAAAACAACACCTTGGTTTAACGTCTGGTCCGAAGAATATTTTACGGAAAAAGGCTTCCAGGTTGAGACTGGACTTAAGAGTTGGACGGTGTTCGAAATCTTAAAATGGTCCCGCAGGCTCGGACCAGGTGGAATTTTGGGACCTTTTGTATTTGGAAATGGATGTTGTACAGGCTGAGCCGTTCTCTCCCTGACCCTCTCCGCCTGTTGCGAGGGGCAGATGGGGTTCAGGCCACTGGAGAAGGTAATTAGCTGTGGGAGCAGATTAAACAGTGAGTGTCTCTGTGTGTAATCTCTGCCCAGGGATTATCGACACAGACGCCTCCCCGCACCCCCCACCCCCCCCCACACACACTCTGCCCTGGTACTCAACCCTGTCCCCCCACCCCGACCAGAGCCCAGCCCCCTCCCCACCCCACCCATCACTGGACCTGGTGATTAATGTTCTTTTGATATCCTAACAATGAGGCTGTGAAATGAACAGGTTTACGTTCTCCGTTGCTGGAGTGTTAACGCTTCTCGAATTGAACAGATGGCTGTCTGATCGCAGTGAGTGACAGCTGCTTGTCAGTGTGTCCGGGAAGAGGGATTAACGCAGGACAGGGAGGCCGTCAGTCAGTCATTCACAGGCAGAACATAACTGGCCTCGTTCTGCAGTGCAAGAATGAGGGTAAGTGTAAATTACTCACAAGTTACTGTGATGTACATTGGTGTGTGCTGTCACCGACCTGGGAGTGTGGACGGATAGTGTAAGAGGGAGCTTTACTCTGAATCTAACCAACGAGTCCCGTAATTCCCCTTTAGCCAGTTTAGCAGTCGTCTTCTCTTTAAAAATCGAGGTAAAAGGCTTTCAAGATCCACCACGTTAAGATGCCCCCGTGGAAGGGCGCTCTATAAATGCAAGTCACTGATTAAGAATAAAATGATGATAATAATAATAATCCTTGCATTTGATACAGCGCCTCATCAGGTTTTCGAGACGTCTCAAAGGGCTTCGCAGAATATACCGTAAAGTGAATTGACTGTGTGTTTTTGTGGGCAAAGAATGTTGCACAATTCTGCGTTCTCTTAATTTTGGGGACCGGGAGGGTACGGAGGGCAGGGACAGGGTGGAATTTCAGATCTCAGCGCCTTGGGACGTGCTCCCGATGCGAAAGGTGCTCTAACAAATCGCCGTTTATTGTTCCGGTTGTTATCTCCTCGTAATCGGACTTTTGTTTGTGTCCTGCGTCTTTGCAGAGGCTCTGGGCTCCCGCTGGTGGCTGCTGCGTGCTGTGCGCCCAGCTGTGCCTGGCCGTGCTTGGTGCGGAGGGCACGGCGGCGGTGGGCGAGCGGAGCGGGGGCGCCTGCGGGGCCGGGCGGGCCTGCCACCCCACCTTCGAGGACCTGCTGCAGGAGCTGGAGTCCTTCCCGCGGCACCGCGGCGTCTCGGCCAACTCCACGTGCGGCCGGGAGCCCGAGCGGTACCGGAGGGGCGAGGAGCAGACGGAGACGTGCGACGCTTCGCGCCCTGACCTGCGCCATCCGCTCTCCTCCATCTGCGACGGCCTCAGTCGGAGGAGCGGTGCGGTCAGCCTGGGGGGCAGCTCGCTGGCTCTCGCCCACTCCTACCCTGACCTGGGCAGCTGGTGGCAGTCGGAGAGGGGCGTGTCGCCCGTCCACGTCCAACTCAGTCTAACCCACCGCTTCCTGTTTGCCAGGACCGAGCTGGCCTTTGTCAGCCAGCGGCCCGACAGCCTGGTGCTGGAGGCCAGCGCCGACCAGGGCCACAGCTGGAAGGTCTGGCAGTACCTTGCTCATGACTGCTCGCTCTCCTTCCCCCACATCCCCACCCAGCCTGATCCCAGCCACTGGGACCCCACCGTGCCCCACTGCGACCAGAGTTATTTTGCTCGGGAGACGTCTCTGCAGGGATCTCACTTACAATACCAGAGGGTAATGTCCGCAACCGGGTGTCTGGCACGCGCGGAAACCCATCACCGTCACCGGGCTCAAGAGTCTCCCCAATCAAACAGAGCTCCTTGTGTTCCAGCTACGTGTGGGGATTCCTGTGCACTGGAATGGAATGCGCATCCTCTCCCTGGAGAGACATGTCCTGCTTACCTAATTCCATAAGAGTATTAAGCACAGGCTGGCAAGGGCCAAGACTTGGGGACCATAGAGTGCGTGTTGGGGTAACTGCTGGACGCTAACCAGCTAAAACAGTCATAGATCACCATCAATAGCACTGTCTGGTGGTTGTCCAGCTAGGAACACCCTACCTGTTAGGGATTTTACTTGAAGTGGTAACAGATGGTGAATGGGAAGAGTCTCTGCCCTGATTGACTGGTGAACTCTTCCAAATCCTACCAATGAACCAAGACCAGCTGCAGTGTCCTCAGCAGTGCCCTGGAGTACTGTGGACCCACCTGCCTCAGGCACTGGACTAGAGACCAGCTCAGAGGGTGGACTCGATCCTGATATTCCACTTCCATGAATATCACTTTGGAGCTAGTTCAACCCTGAGGAGATCCTGCTTACCCCCCCCCCCTGCCCCACCCACCAAAAGCCTTCCCCGGGAGGGGACATTCCTCCGACGTGAAAGGCGCTATGCAAATGTAATTCTGTTGCTGTGGTCACAAATGGTCATTTGCAGGTTTGAGCCCTCACTGGGTGGACGGCAGGAACTTCCTGCGAGCTTCCAGAGGGTGAAAGATGTCATTGTGTTTCAGGGCAATGCCACGAGCTCTGCCTGCAGTTTCACTCTGCCTGAAGTGTAGTTTCGCTTCGCCTGTAGCATCGCTCCACCTATAGTCCCGCACTGCCTGCATGCTCGCTCCCCCCTGAAATCCTGCCCCGCCTGTAGCCTCTCTCCGCCTGTAGTCTGGCCCTGCATGTACTTGGTGCTTGGACCTGCCATTGCTGTGGCCTAGCTGCACGGAGTGTGTGTGTGTGTGTGTGTGTGGGTGTGTGTGTGTGTGGGTGTGTGGCTGGGGGTCTCAGGCTGATGCTCTCTGTCTCCTCACCGTCCAGGTGTTCTATAATGCAGCAGCCCGGCTGGGCGGGGCGTACCTGCGGAACGAGACGCTGTACCGGCATTTCATCTTCACCGACTTGAGAATCACCTTCACCGGCTTCGGGGGCCGGGCTGCCGAGCTGCAGGATTACTACGCCGTGGCTGACTGGTCCGTCACCGGCCAGTGTGCCTGCTTCGGTCACTCCCACACGTGCAGCGGTCAAGTCAGTTATCCTCTACATCCCACTCGCTGTCTCTGTCGCCCCTCACTGTGCGTCTGTGGCCCCTCACTGTCTCTGTAACCCCTCAATGTCTCTGTAGCCTCTCACTGTGCGTCTGTGGCCCCTCGCTGTCTCTGTCGCCCCTCACTGTGTGTCTGTAACCCCTCACTGTCGCCCCTCACTGTGCGTCTGTGGCCCCTCGCTGTCTCTGTCGCCCCTCACTGTGCGTCTGTGGCCCCTCGCTGTCTCTGTCGCCCCTCACTGTGCGTCTGTGGCCCCTCTCTGTCTCTGTCTGCCTGCCTACAGCTTCCTCCCTCTCTCGCCGGATTGCACCTTCAACCACCTTGCTCTCCCACCCGGCTCGGGCTCCCACTTCATCTCTGTGACCCGCTTCGAGATGCCCTCCGACATGAAAGTAGAATGCAGTGTAAGTAGAAGATGTTGTTGTTGTTGTTGGTGGTGGTGATAATTCATTTATTGTGTGTGTGTGTGTGTGTGTGTGTGTGTGTGTATCTGCTGCTCCTCAGAACAAAGCGGAGTGTGAGTGTGAGCACGGCACGACCGGAGCCCACTGCCAGCACTGCTTGCCCCTCCTCAACCAGCAGCCGTGGGCAATGGCGATGCCAGGCAACGGGAGTGTTTGTCAGGGTGAGTAATGCTGTAACAGAGAGAGAGAGAGAGAGAGCGAGCAGCCGCCCTCAGTAACGAGTACACAACAGGGTAAAGGCGGTCTGATATAATAATAATAATAATAATAATAATAATAATAATAATCCTTGCATTTGATATAGCGCCTTGTCACGTCTTCGAGACGTCACAAAGCGTTTCACAGCATATACTGTAAAGTGAATTTTGTGGGCGAAACGCGGTAGCTAATTGCGCCCAACAGTGTCCCACGAACCGTCGTGACTCGAGTGACCAAATTATTATGAATCATTTTTTTTAAAAGTCGAGCGGGACTTTAGCTGTTGGTTTGAAAACCTTATGACGAATGCTAGGAATGGGCGAGGGGTTGGGTTGGGTAGGGAAAGGGTGGGTTGGGTTAGATGAGGGGGTTGTTTTGACGGGTATTGTGAGTGCGAGTGCTCTATCAGTCTGGCTGTGAAAGTCCTGTGGAGTCCTGTAGCTCAGTGGTTAGAGCAC